TTGATTTGACCCAACTTTTTTTGCTGAGAAATGACGAGCGAGTAACAATATAGTAGCACGCAGACAAGAGAGAAACTGAAGGCAAGCACTGGGAGACAAGATCATCGATCCCTTTGCTTTCACGGAAAAAAATTTGCCTTGACCGCCAACAGGTCGATTTCTATCTTACGCTGACCTTTTATTAAACAAGGCGTAAACGGCGTTTTTATGGAGCATCGCGAAAATCATCTCAGAAAGAACTCTTAGCGAAGCAAGCGTCACTGGGTCAGGTGGGCCAGCCCAAATAGGGAATGACTCTTGGTGCTGGTGGTGGACGATGATCGATAAAATTCGTGTGGCAGCCCCCGCACATGGCCTTTGCATGCTTGATATCTGGCGTAGATGTCTATACGGCTACTTCTAATGTTACCCGTCCCTTCTCAAAACTGCGCCGACACAAAAACACTTCTCCCCGTGGGCTTACTATATGTCGAGCTAACAAACAACAATCATAATAGTTACGTATGAAATCGTAGATCTGCATTGCGTGAACATGATTATATAGTAAGATAAAATGCCTGAACGCAGCACGTGTTCTTGTATATAGTTAGTAATAGAGGATGCAGAACAATAAATTCGTCTGACATTATTAGTATTTCGTTAGGTAAGATGTATGAAAAAAAAAGCATGAAACGTCGGTGCGCGGCAAGGACGAGTAGAATAGGCGTAGTGTCCCATTTAATGATCCTATTTTGGTTCCGATCCAGTAAAGATTCACTCGTTCCGACGCTCATGATTCACTACTGCCGGATTATCGCAGCATACAAAAACATTTGGCAGACGTCCATCCAATCTAATAAACGTCGGATGCCGCGAGGGTCGGTATAGAAATAAAACAAGGAACCCCAGTGAAGCGAAAGCGATTTGAAAACAGGCAAAGCCAGTGTCGAATTAATTCATTCATTGACATCCATAGTGAAAACGCAACCACACTAGATCACCTTAATTCAAAGGACTGGTTCAGTTTGTAGGCTACAAAATAAACAGCAAATCAATCACCGGTCGCGAAACATATCACCGCTTAATCTCGCAGCAGTCTTCGCGGATCTTACAACCAAGCTTCCTCTGAATCTCAAAGGGATATTTTATATCTGTACATTCCATTTTGTCGCCCAGATATATATTTCAAGGCCGTAATGATTTCTGATATTTTAAACGCGAACGAGATAACATGCGAAATATTAAACGTTTTTACCTCGGATATTCCGATCATTCCCGTCTCGTGACAAATTGAATAGGTACGGCCTAATTAGAGAACGGCAGCTGCGAATGCCACCAGTCTTAACCAACGTGAAGCCTTGAAGAAATCAGCTTTTTAAAAACAGTACAATAGCAGTAGATGCTACTGCTATATAGCTGTCTAACTAGACGCGAGTGGCAATCCCTTATTTTTTTGCTGCCTCTTGCGTTGTTGTTGCTGCCAGTACACCAACTTTATTCACGCAACACAGTAACGTAATCTAATAATGGTATCAACTGCCAATCGCTCGGAAGCGACAGGGATAACTGCTGTGTTGTCTCTTGCTCTAATTATTGCATAATAATAATAATAATAATAAACAACCAAAATACAAGAATTGTTAGGTACAACCACAATGCTACATGTCTACTACTACTACTACTACTACCGGTTTTCGCGTCACAAACAAAGCCTACAAGATAACTAGTCCGATTCGCCCAAAGCCATGGAATCTATCGTTTCGAGAGCCGCTCATTGTGGTTTTATATGGCAGTCGCATTAGCGCGGCTTCTTCGTTTCGTCAGCAGTCGAGGTCTATTTGCTAGCCCGTGCAGTCCGAGACACCGGGGCGATTAACCGCAATATTCCTATATAGTCAGAAAGAATGGAGCACTCGAATTGAAAAAAGCTCGCGGGCTGTTTGTGGTAACGGGCATGCGTTTATCCGCTACTCCTGGCATAAGACAAAAGCCAATTCTTTCTAAAACACCAACAAGGTCGCCATGGTGCATCGTTTCGCGCGTTCAAGCAATGATCCATTATCCAAGGTTTCATTACTAAACGAACCCGAACCTCGATTAAAAACTTTCTTTTTGCCCCAAATCTTGCATGCAACTTCGAAAAAATCCGACCAATATTTTCATAAGGCGCATTGGAAGGTCCTCAATAGAATTCAAATTTAAACTTATCGAAATTGTCTCAGAAGCAATTCTTACAAACACCGAGATTTCTGCTATGAAAATTTACAGCCACTTCAGTGAATATTATACCAAGTGCCAATTGAATAGTTCAGGTAAGCCTTTTAGTTGGTTAGTCCTTCTGAAACTTTTTGTACCTTTCAGATTTTTCGACTTTTTTGGCCATTTAGAGCCTTTGCATTTTTGGGCCTACTACTGTCAGCTCAAAATTGAGTTTCGTTACGAGATTTTTTGTGCGTAGGTTGTTTGAGCTACATTTTGACGATTTTACACCTACCAATGTAGCTTGATGCACAATTTCAATTAAATTAAGTTATTAAAAAAGGAATATGTTGAAGCTGCAATCGGAAATAGTGGTCATATTGAACAAAGAGCACCGTCAGGGCTAATACTGCTAGCAAGTGTGGGATATTTTGTTGAAACAGGACTTGTTTTTTTAGGACGGTCCTTAAAATGTTCAATTTAGAGAAACTATTCTGTAACACACACATATATATATATGTGTGTGCAGACACTTACGCGGTTGCGGATCAGTTTCAACTGACTGTCCAGCTTACGGGCATCACGAACCGATAATCTACTTATGCTATTCGTATTGTTGAGGAACGCATTTTTTCTTTCACGTCATTCTTGATAATTGTATTTCATATGTGTCTCTGTGCGCTTTTACGTCTGCAAGCTCAAAATACTCGTTTGCAGATGATTGGCCAACGTGGGATAAAAAAAGAAAGGTGAATCCATCAACCGTTGCCGTATCACTTCTGGCAGTTACTATAACGGTGGGGGTCGGTCGCGTGGTATCAGTGGTCTACCAGTACTCTTATACGTCTAGTGTCGCTGTTGCTTAGTTAGAAGAAGCGAATGCCGTTGCTTTTGCTAGTCCTGCTACTTCTACCACCACGATAGTACCAGAATTATCTATGGATAGAACGCAGCGCGCTAATCACTATAAGGGTAATTATAGTCCGTGTGCGCGTCGTGCGGGGCAGGGTAACAGCTTCGCTGGACAAGATTTTGACAGGACCGTAACACTTTTGCTAGACCATCCGATTTTGTTATTCTAGTATTCGACAAAAAACGAGTGTGTAACTGTAAATAATATGAGGACGCTTGGAAATTGTTGAATTCAAATAGATTGCGTGCAGTTTATAGGTACGAAATGGGATATTTCTATTACATTGATACACCGATCTTAACAAGTGTGGTTTTTACCGGGCTTTCTTGCTTATATCAGCATTAGATTAAACTTTGAAAGTTTACATACAGTGAAGATTTTAATGAATCTGTTGGCACGTTTATTTTTACGCTTTTTTTTTTTTTGTTACGTGAAAAACAAATGATCTACATTAAACTTAATTTTGGTATTGCATATCTTAATTGGATTGAAAAAACCCATTTAGAAGGGGATTTTACAATATTCCATTCCATATAGTTCCATTTTAGTTCCGGTCAAGTTTCTGCTTATTTTTTTTTCGATGTTTGCTCAACATTCGACGAGTCGCTTTGGTCACCCACTAAAACTTTGCATGGATGAAACTTCAATGCAGTGCGTGTAGAACAACGTTTCATAGAAATGAGAAAGTCTTTTTGGCAGTTATTGGCCCGGTTTTAGAATTATAATATATTTACAAATGTTTATAATATTAGTCATGTGCACTGTTTAGCCTACTTTGCGTTTGCGCGCTGTTGATTTTTTGCAATTTCTATAAGTTGGATGGACTGATCTTTGATAGAACTCAGCAGCTTTTATGCTAAGATAAATATACCTGTATATAATACGCAAATGTAAAATATTGCTTCGTAGCTCGGATGGCACTAGCGACAGGTCAGGGTGAGGCCATGTAGCGTCGTTGGAAAGGACAGAGCTGCATATTATTAGCTAAAAAAAAAGTTCTGTCCTATTTTACGTGTTCAACTCCGCCAGGAGCGGATTCAAGATACGAATAACCCTGAAGCAGACGAGGATTCCAAACGTAGACACCAGTCTGTTTAATTCCCACATGACGAAAGCTTATTAAAGGAACACGTCCCGCCAAGTTAAGTTTAGCACGATCTATCGAGTAGGCAATGTTGTGACTGTACTCTGGCTTTTCAAAATGAGATGAAACCTATCGTTATTCTAGGTATTCTGAAGTCTGCTTAGGTCCGTAGTTAGTGACGCTCATTTTACTTAAATTGGCAAATTTAGACAAAAATCACAACTGCATCCGCAAGGTACTCAAATCTGCAAAATTCCGCCGTTGGTGCATCACTGCCTGTAGTTTTGCTGAAGTGTATGTTTTTGCCTCTATGTTGCATACGTAAAATCTATAGGTTATATTTGGCTACAAGTGGCGGCATTGTGTGTTAAATGGACCACGGTTTTAAAATGTCTTGGAAACACAATCTATTATTCGGCATTACTCCTAAATATAACCTAACTGGAATAGAATAAAAAACACTTTAGGCTCTTTAGGTGCATATAACGACAGGGTGCATCTTGAAAAGCCAAAACATAGAGCCCTCATAGAGCCTATAAATGTCAGGTTTAAGGTTCTGAGCTCTAACACCACAACGACAAAGGACACATTCGTTCAATTGAAGCAATCAAAATAATTGAGGAGTAGAAGCTTCACTTATTAATAGTCGCCGTTAAAATGACCTGTTTTTTTTTTAAACGAGTCGAAAGACTGTCAGTCTAAAGAAAAGTCACGACACGAAGTAAACGACAACTATTACTACTACTACTACTACTATATGTCAAAAATAAAATATACAATATTTATCATAGTATTAAAGACACTCGTATATTGTACAGATACAACCTCTAGTTCTCCAGAGACGGTATTGTTTTTGAACAACACATAACAGAACGATGCCTTGTTGTCATTGTGGCCGAACGGATCTCCTTTGCAATCTTCGCTTTGGTTCTGTGTGGCCGGTACCGTCCCATTGCTATAGGCGCACCGAAAGATGGCCTTGTCACCGACACTGGCATGAAGAAGCACTACAGCAAGAACGATCCTCATAATAGTCACCATAGATAACCGTGTAGGCTGCATCATGCTAACAAAACTGTATCGTAGCCGTCCCGGGTCCTCTTACTGTTCAATACAAGGATAAATTCAGTCTCACTTCCTCACTCTGGCTCGCTCTTCGGAGCTTCTTCAATTGAAAACAATTTGTAGAAATATCCCGCCGATCGTTATTCCTCTGATCTAACTCTGCCCTCCACGTTCACTTGTGCTGTCTTTATAAGACACAATAATTACGGGTAAGACGGTCGTTCGCCCGTACGCCCAACACTACTCTGTAGTAATTAAACGATTGCCGAACGATTTGTTCCCTTTGACAGCAGTTACTTGGTTATTAGATGTTTTCCGTTTTTTTCTTCTTGTTCCAGCTTTCTCACATCTATCAATTCATGTCGTTGCGTTATTGATAATGATGCAGAAACAGACAAATTTTCTAATACCTGTGTTGATTTTCTGGCCGAACGCTCGGGGAATCGAGCAAAGCAAATCGATTTTTCTTGAGGAAGCGGTTCTTTTTTTATGTAGGTAGGCCCGTGCACACACTATGCTTTTAACTGATGTGATTGATTAATTTTGACGACGGCCAAACTTGAGCTTGAAGTTTTGTTAATCGTACGAATCACTGCAATGCGCGTGATGTCACTGAGTACCTCGGACGGACTCAGAATTAAAGCGTGGACGCAAATGATTAATGGCTATTGGAGTGAGCGACGAGTAAGGGTTAATTTCAACAGCTGCTAGTTGCAAACTCTCGAGCTGCAAAGCCACGATATGATATGGACGTCTAAGGGGTTCGTTTCAATAACTGTCAACAGTTTGATAGGCTAACGAACGGCCCTAAGCTAAACCAACGGAACCTATAAACAGTTATTTTTTGGTTGTTGAAGTTACCACAAATGCTGCTGTAGTCACTCCTGAACATCGACCTCTTGTCACATAGCCAGTTTAGCGTATGAAACTAAGGCCTTTTTCACAAAACAACAAACTCTTTGCCTTGTTCCGAATTACTCTGAGGCAGGCGCCTCAGGTGAGGATCGTTTAGGCGTTCATATACGCTACAACGAAAATAGGTCGAATTCGATTTGTAACAGGTTATAGTTACTGTTATGCCCAGTTCGCCACGAAGTTACACAAAAGATTAGATTAACACAGTTAATGATAGATCTGTTGATGGCACAAAGTCGATATTGTTGTTCCCGATATTGTTGGTATCGTCGCAGTCGCAGTTTTTGCTGTTAATGCTGATGTTGTCACCCACATGACTGTTATTTTCGTCGTTTATCTGCTCGCCCACGGCTGACTCGACACCCGTTTGTCTTCGCTATTATCGTCCTCTGCGCCCTTGTATCTTGACGTTTTACTCTCGTCTCCCATCCACGCACGCTCGATCTCCTCCCACCCTATCCCTGACGACTTTTCTTCAGCAGAACGTTCCACTTTCGAGTTGCTGGCAAGAGTTTTACGGAGGCTGCAGCTGTAGCACTGCACCGACAACGACGACGAAAACAATAGTAATAACACGTGACTCTGACGAGAAGTTAAGGCAGTTAACGCGAGCGCTATGGGCTCAACTACCGGACGGACATACAGATGATCGACGGAAGCATCAAACTAAGCCAACGGAGACTGGCTATTTGCTTGCCTGCTTGTTTGGCCTCATTGTATGCTCAACGTGTGGGTAAAGGCAGCAGCAGTAGCGGCTAGCTTAACAGCAGAGGTCTGTCTCGGGGCGATACACAGCCTTGCTGCTGTCGAGGTAGGCAAGAAACAGGCTCAGCAGCTACAGCATCAAACGGTAGTTCCTACTACGTAGGGTAGAATAACACAACAGCTGCAACAAAGGCCGTTGCAGAAGCAACGGTAGCAACAGGAATAAGTACAGTAACGTTAGACCTGGCGGGAGACGTACGTCGACATCGGCATAGCCGCAGTTGTAGTACTTGCCAACGACTGCGATAGTAGTTAGGTAACTACGTCGGCAAACCGGTGGCGCCGACTGCACGGGCAGGAGCAGTGAGGCTGGTAGTGGTATTAATTGTTGTAGCCGCGTTTGACCCTATTCACGTTGGCGCAGTAGAGTCGAAATGGTAACAGCGGTAGAATGGTTGATGGTAACAGCAGCAACCAGAAGAGGGGTACAGACGCTGCTCGACGAACTACTATTAGGGTAACTACGGCCAACCAACAAATTAAGTCAGGCAATCTGGCGATCAGCGCCGTTCTAATGGCTAGCAATAGTAATGCCCCTGTTGTGGATCGCAATGCTTGCGCCGACGCAGTCTTCAACTATGTTATTATGGATGCTATGATCGTTATTGCTATTGCTGTCGTTGTTGATGCTGCTGACAGAAACGGTGATGATGATGATGATGATGATGATGATAATAGTGATGATTTCATCTTCACTCAAAATAACAACAACGGGGACACCCAGACAAACCGCATGATGGGCAAATCGCTTAGGCTGCTCTTATGAAGCACAGACGACCCGGCAGAAACCACTGCTAGAGATTGACTGTTCGCTGTATCAGTGTGAACCGATACTGAATACAGCTGATACGGATAGTAGCAAAAATGGTAACGGTGTCGGCAGGAAAAACGTGACGAAACAGCTGACTTGTTGATCAGCGGAGTTCTATACGCTATTGAAACGCAACCGGCTCATTGGCATCATTCGTTCTCTCATCTTTTTTGCCTTCTTATTATTATAATAATTATTATTTAATACTATGTCTTATCCCTGTTAATGTATCTCCATGCGATAGCGGAAAGAGGATACATTAGACGTAGCAAAAACGTCTCTGAATACGTTCTGTTTGTTGACGCCAAAGACGATTCTGTGCTAATGATAGTCGCTTTGAAGATGCTGGTTACCGATGATAACTAAGGTTTGCCAGGAGTTGATTTTCGCAAAACGCACTGTCCCGCAGCTATATTTGCTGTCAGCACAACGTCCTGACTGTGCTCGGCAGTTGTTGCATGAGAAATATCCAGGACTCATGTGCCGTCCAACTGAAGTGTAAACACAGACAGACAAAGTAGCACACAAAGGAGCACCGAAAATAAACCTTCAAGAAACCTTTATAGCAATTAAATAGGTTTCAGTTAGAAACGCAATTATATACTATTGATGTTGAGATTGTCATTGATTCTACTATACTGCCTAGTTAAGCTGAGAACTTGTGCTTCAGCGCAGCGCCATTGTAAAGCTTCACAAACAACAATTGGGACTCTAATCCGTTGTGACGATCAACCGTCCGAAGATTGTTTGGCGCTGGATTCCGTGCTATTCGTCTCCGTTCGGGCACTGCTGCAGTAGTAGTTTCTACTGCTGGTCGGCTTTACCGAGTACATTCACACAGGCAAACTCTGAGAACCTGTCAACAAAGCGAGATCGTATTTGTTCCTAGGTTACCGTCAATGATAGCTGTTCAGGTATGCGAGCGCCACTCCGAAATTAATCAGTAGCGGAGGCTGTAATATAGACCTGTAATAAACGCCATACAAGGACTCTTTCGTGGCTTGTTTTCGTTTTATTAGCCGACCTATATTCTGCCTAGACCCAGCAGCATGACCAACGTGTGTCAGACCCAATGAAGACTACCGATAGTACTCTATGCTGTACGGGTCGCTGGTCAATTCTTTGCACTAATTCGACTGCCAGCCTTATAGGCTGCTTGCTGGCTATACAGAGCCTGCCGCCTGCATTGAGCCACAATTGAAACCGAGTCCTTACCGTCGGCCACCACTCGCCATTTTCCTGGTAACACGATTAATGAAGGGACAGATCCGCTAATCCCTGTTGTCGCCGTTAGTTAACACGTTCATCATCTTCAATCACTAATAAATGATGTAGACCCGCCGTCTGCATAAACAAGTTGTCTCACTACATCTCATGGCAGCAGCAGCAGCAGCAGCAGCAGCAGCAGCGGCGGCAGCAGCATAGCACCACGACATATCAGGCAACTTTCGTTCATGTCGCTGTTTGACCACTCACGAATGAACGAATTGCGTAGCGTAGGTCAAAACACCCGGATCAGAGCGGGCGCTTGAACCGGCACCAGGCGAGGGTCACCACTTAAGCCCTCGCCTCGCCAATGTCTATTTTTTCCTTTCGCTTTCTGGGGGAAGGGAGATGTTCAAGCATCGTTCTAGCTACAGCTTCAGCGGCAGCAATAACATCTACGTTACCTAAAACTACTCTCTACACTGTTAATATTGGTCATTTTATCAAACAACTCTGGCCGTGTAAGGTATATCGATGACCAGCAGCGCTCGTCGGCAGTTTTCGAGTTCCTTTAGCTACTGTCGTCTACCTGTCACTCGAGAAAGATACGTACGAGTTGAACGGTCGTAGTTCAACTGTAACGGATGCGGCGTATAATCACTGTCGCTCGCTGGTGATGGTGATGATGGCTTTAGGTCCGTCTGGCAAGGTGCGCGTGTGCAGCAAACAAAGGAAAACACTAGTCTCACTATTTTTCGAATGAGCCCCAAGTAGGTACTATAATTAAATGACTATTTACTAATAATCATTGTTTGGCTAGTGTTACAAGCACAAAGGGTAGAAATGTTCAAGAACTAGAACAAGAAAGACGTGCTCTAGGTTCGAACCCGGGCATAAACAGACAGGCGGTTCGTTTCGCGATGGCTGGGAGCCATCGAGCCCACTGTGTGATGCAGTAATACCTAGTGGAGATAGCCCGACCTAAAATTCGAAACATAGAGCCTCTGTTATTTAGTGTTGTTTTTTAATTCGAATCACAACAGAGTGCCTTATTGAATTTTTCCGATTTTTTAAAGTAATGCACCTGTATGTATTATACTATTAATTATAATTGTACGAAGAACTATGTTAAGTGTTTAGTTCAGACAAACCCTTTTTGAGCAAATAGGCTAGTAGTGTAATAATATAGAATAAAGTCATATATATAGATCAAACAAGCAGAAAAAAGCAGTTACAGAATACGCCGGACAGCCCACATCGACGACTCATTACGCCATATAATCGTCCTGTTATCTATCGAAGAGCGTGCTGCTAAATCAATAGCCAACAATAGCTCAGGTCTGAGGTTCGTATATAACGTTAGAACGTCAAAGCGCCCAACTAACGCATCAGACTCAAACAAAGGAACGGATAACTTTCGTTAGAAAATAGTGATTCCGTTAAACTACCGTGTAAAATACAGAACTGAGTAGGCCAGAGCTACAGCTAGTAGTCGTCCTCCGATCGCTGCATTGCTCTATGGTCTAAATCTGACTATTAAAAAAACGTGACACTTTATACTCTCAACACTAGCGTGCCATTTGTCCGTTCGTTTATAAATAGAATAGCACAGTTCTCTCTGGAACACTGCAGGTCAATTCGATAGAAGACATTTAAACTGCGCCTTGGGCTACCACCGATGTTTGAGCTCAATGGCCGGAACCAGTAATTGATAAGATTCCGTTTCGTTGATATGATTTTACATTATGCACGCTGAATGAGTTTTAATAAAGGCAGCAACATTTTCAAAGAGCAAATATTGCCACACGATAAAACGTAAATTTAGCTTTGCTGATATCCAGATAGAAAGAGGGCAATGATTCGCTATACCCTCAGCTGTCAAACAGCGATGCCGTTTGACTTTTACTAATTTTTGAGTTAAGAATTGTAAGGTTGACTGCTTAGTGTGCAATCGAGATAGACCACGGTTGTACTGACAAAGCAACGGCACCTTTTTATCCAACAGGCTATAGTTACCGCGAAATCTAAGTATATAAACTTCAACAAATAAGTACATCAACGATCTCCTTCAAGCTAGCGGTTCCTTAATCGAACCTACGTCTGACGTTCGTACTTGAAAAAGCTAATTTGTACAGAACGCGCAAGCACAAGTTCACCTTAATGATTGTATGTACCTTAATGACGTTAGGACGGAAAATTCAATGCGTTTCCTGTTAATATAGACAAAACCGAAATCAATCGTTAGGGTTCTCGCCAAAATGCATATACGCATACGGAAAGAGTCTCTTTGTTCCGAGTGGAGAAAGTCACCGTAACTCAGTCTAAGTCCTTGGATGACAATAGTTCTTTGTTTAAACAATGCAATACCTAAATCAGGCTTTATACGCAGCACAGGTACGCGCAAGCGTGGCCTTTAATTTCAATCTCACGACTGTTTGCCCTCGAGGCTACATCTATGATAAAGAGCAGCTTAAACAAATCAACGATAACGGAAGCTTTATGTATAAATATAAAGTTCCTGTTACAGATTACAAAGTTCATTTACATTTGCGTAGGGTTGTAGCAGCAGCTGTTCATCTATGCTAACCGTGATGGGTTTTCAGTTGTAGCATTTAATAAATAGGCCTTGCCAATGTATTTGATAGCAGCGATGGCAGCCGTCTCCGTAACTATCAACATAATTGCTTGATTATTGAATTTGTTTGCAAAAAAAGAGAGAACACTTATCGTCACGGTTGTTTTCACCATTTGGCCTGGAGCCTTTTGGAATGGGAGATTCAACTGTATTCGATTTATTCTGTGACGGGTCCGTTGCTTGGCTAACTGATGCCGGGCCACTTCTCTGAAGTAGACCCAGAGCACAACCCAGATCATAATCAAAATGAGATCATTGAGAGATCATAGAGTTGAAACACAACAATGGCACAAATACAGTTTTCACATATTTTCATTTCAAGTTTACAAATAAACAACATTACATACTAATATTTTTATCGTTATTGTTATTTCGATTAGTCTCAACAAGCAATTCATAACAATACATGTACGTATGCGAAAAAAAAAATAGTAGAAATTACCAAACAAAGGGGGCAAAAAGGACAATAATGAGAAAGCTATTACGCACTTGAGAAAGGTTTGTCCTCAATATTTCATTGTGCGTGCATTAAGTTTATGTTGTGTCCAGATCTGAAGACCCGTGACGGTTAGATCTAGAGAATAGGACGCCAAAAAGGGCCTTAGGGATAAACAGGTTTGCGGTCGGGCTGAGATGTTGTAGAGCGCTAAGATACAACGAAAGCAGAGGTGCGAGGACGAAGACTCATATTATAAGTTGCTGCCCTCTCTCAGGGGGTTTATGGTAAAGACCCCCGTAATATCCGCTGTGAAAGCAGCACCTTCCTTCCTACAACCGTCTAGAAAATGTAAATTTTAATTTCTATCTAAGACCCAATGTGTATCTAAGGCGTAATACATATGCAACGCAGCGTGAGCCAGCTTTCTAAATGAGCAGTGTTATAATTTCCAAAAGTTCTAATTTTTAATGTTAGAAACAAACGTGCTCTGTTGCGACAAGTTTTCCGAAACTCCGTCGCACGAAAGCCTTCTCTAAATTGCACATTTATATAACCCAGTTGAATGATTGACCTTCTTACGAATTGAGCTTTTAAGTATTATGTCCTGGAAGCATATTTTGTTGCATATCCGTATTACATGTTAGGTCAGGCCGTAATACCTAAATCCCTGTCGCATGTTTCTCAAAAAATATCTGCTCTGATGCTGGAAACAGATGAATCGCCGCCTACTCTTTGACACTAGCGTATCTTCGCCGATCTTTCTGTTTCATAACGTTACATTTAGTATTGCGACCTGCATGGACTCCTCGTATGTGTAGACACACAACTTACGTTATTTATCAAGCCACTGCTTCGTCTATACATCATCCGTAGTTGCTACAGTATAGTTAGCTGCCTGCATTACTTCAAGACATTTCGATCAATGTTTACTCTGTCGGCACGGAAAAAGTCCAAGTGTAACAAGTGTATTAGAGTAAGCCATTTGAATTTGTCGAACCGTCTTAGATTGAGATTGCAAAAACAAAAACGTCATATCGAAGCTGCATTAGTTTTTATCTCGTGCCGAATAGTTACATTGGGCCCGCACTAAAAATGCAGCTAGGTTGAACCAGCATGATAACGGGCAAGGAAAAACACGGAACATTACCGGGCGGTGACAGTTTTATACGGTTGTGTTGAATGATAATGAAAAGACGCAGCTGTCGCCAGCAACATTGAACGAATGCTCAAAAGGGGTATTTTGTTAATGCGTAGAAGGGTCTGTTTACTAGCGACAGAGTGTGGTGGGTAAAGATGTTTGGTGTGTCAGGGGCGCCCACTCATGCTTATTTGGTGAATCGCATCCACTCTATTACGGTCACGTCGTTCTGCATGAATTGCGCTTGCTTAGATATTCAGTTTGTTGGATTTTTTAGTCGTCTTGTAAATGCACCCGGAAGTAAAGTATGCACGTTGAATATTAGACCAGCACTAAGTAATGGACATTTTTGCAAGAACTCCTTCAGTTTGCGTCAATTCTAACGTTCGAAATTATCACCTCCAGTTACAAATGCAACATCTACATGATATCCATTCGGCAATAATGCGATCTGGTAAATGCTTTTTACTGTCAGCCTTTGAAAGTATCTTGCCGACTTTGCTCACCTATATTCGCACCTGCTTTCTGGTGTTTATAGAATACAAGCGTGATGTTTCAGACCCAAAGGACGCTGATCTATACCTAATCAAGACGAGGCCAGAGAAAACTCTGGAAATTTTCGTGAATATTTGAAGGGTTGTTCCTCTAAGTTGTTCCGACGTGCAAATCAATAATCTGATCTGGGTGTAGAAGGCGAGGGACGAATCGAACTTTCTAGTAGCTGGTTCGTTCCGAAGTTTCTCTCAGTACGGCAAACGTACACTTCGTCCCGTAGTAAGTCGCCAAGTGATTGAGGCAGTGTTGCAAAGCCGAAGCATATCATCGAATACAAACAGTCAAATAAATATTTGTGCTTGAAAGATCATACGTTACACATTAGCGTAGCTATTGTGGATGAATAAACGGTTGCCCGAATTCGTCATACGAAACCAAAACAATGAAATAGACCCTTCCCATGACAAAACTAAACAGATTGCAATGAACGAAACAAACGACATTAGTCTGTCCTTTCAAAATCTACTAACAGTAACTAAATATATTAAATACGTCAGCGTTTTCCGTAAAATAGCGAAATCTTATCATGCGTATATTGTGATTGTGTATCTAGTATATTGTGATCCTCTGGAAGGTGAGCGTTTGCCAAGTGGAGAGCCGTAAGCTGATTCATTATCAGTGCTTTTAAACACTGGATAAAAGTGTAATCAAAACAATTTGGCTAATCATATGTTCATTGTTATATGATTTCACGTTATAAGTCAGAAAGGGCCCGAAGGCCAAAAGATTTAGAATCACCCTAAGATAACACGTAACGTAACAAAACCAAGAAAAATTACAATAGACTTTTTATAAGTCAGTTATATAGCGGAAAAAAATCAAGACGAGATGAGAAAACTGTGTTTGACGTAGACAGGGACATTATCTATATATATATATATATTTTAGATACATTTAATCGCAATGAACCTTGATATTTTCAATATGAACTAATACCTGTAATAATGTTTTGCTCAAAGCTGCCTATAAATTAATTTGAAAGTAACTGGTTCTTTCAATATAATGTTTGTTAAATCTATAATACTTGTTGTTATCGATTCGCAGATATTTTGCAGGGCATTATTTTATGAGTTTCACTACGTGTGGACTTAAGAAAATCTCAGCTAAATTTAAGCGATACATTAACAATGATTATTGCATCCTCAGCACGAAATGCAGTGCGACTATGCCCGGGTGCAAACCCAGACCGTTCCTCATCAGCTGCCTTCACTGAGCTGTCATCTATCGTGTGCGGTTTGGTCCATTACAGAAGACAAAATAAAGCCAGGTAAACATCCGTCTACAGCGAACAATGTTAATATAGATCATCTGCTCGTCCTTGATAACAATCGTTTCTTTCAAGCGTCAGGAACCCACCCCTCTGCTTACTTTCGTCCTGTCAAAGTGCCCGAAGCACAGCAGACGAACTCCATGACAGCCAGCCATCGTTGTTTGTTGTGTTCAATTTCGCTGTCGTCTGCTCTCATTTGCCGGGGTAAATAAAGAGACAAACGGTGGGTGGGCAGACGTCCGGTGAAAATTATGCCACATTATCAACGAGCAGGAAAGCCAGTCTATGAATAGGACGAGTTATGGGAATTGGTCTGTGCGCGCATATCTTAGCAGTGATTTAGTGCCTCTGTATGTACGACTAGCACCAAGCAAATCGTGTGATATTTTTGCTTTCTACTTTCTCGTTGCCAACAAAATAAACACACACATACATATATATATATATATATATGTATATATATGTAGCAGAGAAAACAGAGCTGAACATGGGAAAAGGCCGATTATACATTGGCCCAACGTTCTCTTGTAGCTCTTGTCTGATTATTTTTCGTTGTCAGCATTAAACGGAGATTGAACAGATAATCTAGTTTTTCTAATGGAATTGTTTGCGCCCATATGAAACACCACATGAGCGATTACTGTTGTTTATCTTCTCTGCGCGAATGCTGTTCAGTTTATGATTTCAGCGTAACGGTCTGAAGCGGACGATTCTGTAGCACTAGCTCACCTGCGGCGACCTGAGCAGGTAGTCATGCTGGAAGTTTTATAGATATCTTGTATCGAAAGCTAATCACAGCTATCAACTGTGCGTGCCTTACGACTAGAGCAGCAACCGTGACGGCAGCAGCAGTAGCATTACAGCGGGAAAGGGCGTCGAACCTTGGCACCGACGGTTACCGCAGGTAGCGGTTGCAGAAGCTCGTACTACTCTATAAACTCCGTGCTCATTACGATTCGTTTAGATGAAGGATCTCATCTGAACAGTTATAATCCTGTTCACGCCACGCCGATGCTATCCTGAGCTGGTGGCCGTTGCAACGACACAACAAATATATCCAAATAATATAGTAAAGATAGTGGCACGGGTTTGTCGTTGAACCGGTCGCGGTCAGCGATTAGCGTCGAAGCTGATGGGCGCGCGCGTTTGCACACTACATACAGCTTCAATCGAGAAAGATACCCTGCAAGTACCAATGAAATGAAAATACCAAGCAACAAAGCAGCATGATCTACTTCATCATCATGGAACGCGTGAACTAATCAGTGTTGACATCGTATTCGTCGCTTCGCACCACGTTTGTGTCTGTATGTTGTTGATAACGGTGGATTTCGCCTGCACGGTCAATTTGCAAAAATCAACAACGAATGTTTCCAAGACTGATCTGCTGTTTGTTTGTTGTCCTTTCTATACACTTTGGCCACACTTGCGTGCTCTGCTACTAGGAAAGCAGTTGCTATCGTCTAAGCTGTTGAACATTGTACTGAAGCTTTTGTTCTACCGTGACCTACTCGCCACTCTACTGAATGATCGCTATCGCGTTCCCCGAGCTCCAATCGACCATGTTGCTTGTGTAAACCAAGTAACGATCGGGGCAAGCCTAGGAATTGATTGTGGCGTAGGTACATCCGTGAGGCAGTAGGAAAGCAGCGGGTGAACGGCGCCGCTCAGCTATTACGACTCTGACTTGGACAACAGAGTAGGAACAATGACGAAAAACCTATTAGAATAAATAACAGAACATAGCCTAATTCAAAATCCTAAAAGAAAGCAAAAATAATGTAGGTTTGTAAGGTTGGCCAGGTTACGACATAGCTCAGTATGGAAAAGGGGCTTTTGGAAAATGCCAAATCTGAAAAAAGCGAAGGAAACGAAGATCTACAGCAAAGTAATCTAACCGAAGTTGCTTATAGAAGCCAAGTAACTTGCGGTCGGGTTGCAGTGCGAAAGAAATTAAGTGTTATGCAGCAGTAATGGCGCTAATGGCCCACGTGGAAGATTTTTTTTGAATGAACTTGAAAAGTTGTCGCTTGAAGCAATTGGGCATCTGTTTCTTATATAGGAGTTCGACAGGAAGCATCTGGCCATCTGGAACAGGTAATAGGTGAAAACGAAATACAAGTATCTAACGATTTGTTAATTAAAAAGTCGTTTCCATATAAACCGTATATATCTTTTGGCTAATCATAGTCTATGCTCGTTATACGGATTTTGTCAGCATGCCGTAGCAAGAAGCAAATTGCGTGACATAATAAACTGTTGTATCATTCTTATAGTTGTTTAGAACCTATAATTTCCTTATGTTAATAACTATACTGCAAATCGAATACCCGTGTTTGCAGGCTTTGATCTGCGGGCCGGAGTAAACTAGTGTACAGTAGATCTGTACAATGAGAGCACCGAAAATACCCTAACAAATCTTCGCTAGTAAAAACATGTAATTGCATTGTAGACCTAAGGAGAAGCCAGATACGTTGTCTGGGTGCCAAAAGCGAAGTCTCCGATAGACATTTTCTAAACAGGCCGATTCATTTTCCCCATTAAATCGGTAGTTTGATTTAGACTAACCGGTTTGTTAGTTTCAAAATTACGTTATTTTAACCTCTCAATGTATGTGCTTTAATAGATACGACATTCGTTTTTAGGGAGCAGTCTAAATTTGTATTATCTATTGACTTCCTACTACTTGAAAAAACAGGTTGGTACATAAACCACAGTCACTTCGGGACAAGTTCCAGTTTAATGCATCTACATTTGATAACTTGAGTGGATGGTTCTTTGTCGACCTTTTGTCACCATTTGTGATTTATATGATAATCGACCGAAAGCTCTCAATTGCTATATGGCTAGAGTCAAAGATGTGAAGGATTACAGGTAGGGCTTCATTTAATCGGACTCTCACAACAGTTGGATTGCCGTTATTAAGAGATACGAAATCCTGGACGATTTAATAGGAAGAAAACGGGTCGTTTTAGCTTATTCAAAAGTTAACCTCCTTTGAAAGTTTCAAGAGTACAGCTTCTGCGCTTCATTCATTCAAAACCTAATCAAGTCTTTTTAGAAGTCGGCCAGCGTGACCAAGCCGAAGGTCTCACATTATTTGTTCGCAGACCCTATCTATTTTCAGCGTTCGAATTCGTCGGACAGGCAGGCACAAAGTATACAGTCAAAATATTATAAAAATTATGCGTTTTCAATATATAGTAATAGTCTTTATTGATCTGAACCGAACTTGAGTAAGCTGTAAGCAAACTCTCTATGATATGTGGGCACTTGTGATTAATGGCTAGGATAGCTAGAACTTGATGCAACTAACTTTAGCTATATTTACAAACAAAAAAACCTGCATCTGTTGTGTGTTCAGTGGTATGTATTATCGGTGTGCGTGGCTTTAGCTTGAAGTAATTCATATAATATATACATATCCTTACTAGATTACGTTATTTAGTAAATTACTGATGGAAATCAATCAAACAGTGGCAACTGATGTCAATAGTAATTATACTTTGCTAATCTAAATTTACTCTGATGAAGTTTTCTGCTTGCCGTGTGACCAAAAATATCCACACCGTATCTTACATATCCGGTCAGTCTTTGACGAGTTTGCCACCCCCACGCATAACCACATCCGATCCCGTAAACTCACTGGAAATTAGTCGTTCCAATCGCTTTTGCAGATCGGCCGACTTTATTTAGGCATATTTTAATTTAGAGGGCCTAGTTTCGGACTATAGCATATACTAAGATAGTATCCTTGATAAAAATCACCGTCATTATTAAAGCTAGGGGCAATGAAGAGGTTGACCTTTATTGACAGCAGATCCCACAGGCGATCTTTTACACAAATCGAATTAATGCTTATGACAACAATCGTATGGAGGCATGCGCGATTATAATAACTGATTTATAGTTTATATAATAGTAGTAATGATAATATAGTTTGCTGTCGAAGACTGTCGGAGCATAGAAGCTCAGACGGAGATGTGAGAATGTGTATACCGTCAAAAATAAAGATAAGAATATAATGTTAGACAAAACTAGATACATTTGTATTATGCCGATGTTTACTACGTTTGTAAGCTGTCAAAGAGAAGTGAAGAATTGAGCCCGATACGCTGGCCTCAACCTTTCAATATTTCGAAGCGTGCTTCACAGTAAAGCACAGCCGGTGTTCGGTGGGTCGCTTGGCGATATGCAGAAATATTTGCTTGCTTTTGGAAAAAAGTGCAGCTCGAGCAAGTCGTCAATAAATATATCAAAGAAAACCTCAACATGAAATAGAGTCGCAGGTTATTGGATTAAATTGTATACTATCTACACGTAATAATCTCGTTTATCGGACACGAAGACCTTTGCGTATTCTGTTTCGCCCTTGGTTGAAATGCGCCTGCATGATGTGCGTATATATGCGGGTCGATTTGTTAGAACAAAGCCTATGATCCTTGCAGGGTGTAGTAAATATAGAACAAAAGACCGGGAAGCCGTCGATCAGCCGGCCTTTGTTTGTCGCTTCTATTTTGGACGACTCAAACTTTAGCCTTCAAACGGGACATGGCACTAACTTGTACTCCGTTGATCATCTGCGCGCTCGAGACCGGCATCACTTGCGTTACCGCCGGCGTTCATATTGATTAATTGCCTCTCGATGGCACGACAGTACCCCCCCCCCCCCCCCGGTTCTTTAAATATGATCAGTATCTGCTGCAAATGATTTAATTTATTGTCAAACGACGACAAGCCGTCGGCTAAGAGTTGCGCTGACAATTACGACGGCAGGTACTATTCTAATGTTTGATAGATGAAGTGTGATAGTGCAGGACTACCAACTACTCGCAGTACTGCAGATCGGTGAGCAATTACGTGACGACAATTGCTCCTAACCATTATCGGCTTGTGCCGGACGGTGTATCTGACTATCGAGTCGCGCCTGGATCTAAAAGGATATGAAACGACGATCAAAGGGTTATCAAGCGATGTCGAGATTGAAGGTGGATACACTACCAGGAGCAGGTGCAAAATCACCTAGTTCTATGCGACAAAATTAAGATTTGATATAGGTTGAAATAATCTCTTCTGATAGAAATGTTGCCCTGACGCAGTTATATTCGAGCTGTTGAAGGCGAGATTGATAAGGATTTCTTTTTCTTTCCTAGCCTATTTTCAACTACGTATGTACAGCTGAACGAATATCTATCGATAAAAGGGGCAACAAAGAAGCTAAAGGGGGACTAGTTCAGTCAATCCTATAGCTTCCTCAACGTCCAATGTTAGTTGTTGTTGTCTTATTCGAATGACATCACGAACAATGCATGGCTATGGTTCGCTGAGAAGAATTGTCGTGTCGGATACTTTCTCTTCCAGAACCATACCAATAGAAGTTCAATGTCAATCACGTTCTTCGCACACAGCAAGAGAGTATAGCGTTCAGCATTGAAATCAAAAGGCTGGATTCTTTACAAGTATCTTCGAAATGCCGTATTTACACTTAGAACGTTGTGTTCGTGTAGGTTCATAAAGTTATGATCGATATTAATTGATGTCACCGATTTAATAAGCGGGAACGTACCTCAAGGTAAAACCGGCAATGAACTAAAAGTCAGAACAGCGGTGTGATCTGTTTCGCACGTTGTTGATCTCCCGTGAAACCAGAAGATAAATGGAACCAACGAAGTTAATATGGACATATTTGAGTTTATATAATATTATTTATATAAATAACTAAAAATATTAAAATAACAATCATAAAAAGAGTCGGATGAATAAATAAACAAGGAGTGGTCTGGATAAATTGTTCGGATCTGACAACAGAGGTCACCCTATAATAATTGGATAAATCTTGTCAGTATATCTTCGAAGTATTTAAAGGGGGTCGCTTGATAAGGATCTTCATTAGAATAGGCTCATATTTAGATAAGCAAGTGAAATGAAATGCGGAAACTACATGTAGATATATGTTACAATGTGTTAAATCAATAAATAGTAGTGGAGTACCACAGATATCCCGTTTAATCAACTTCGGATGTGTAATCAGCGATGAAAAAATACTACTAATAATAATAAGGATGCACGCGAAGTTGATAGTTTTTTTTTTGTATCGATGTCTTCACTGTGTGGACGGTCAAAAATGCCAATCACTTGAATGCTCACTAATGGCGACTACGGTCTGTAGCAACAAACCAATACGACTTTGGTGATAAATTAACTATATTCATCCGAGAGGACAATTTATTTCATTACCATTTTATGACGGAATAAGAAAAGACTCCTAGCCTTATACTTTTCATGCTCTGTTTTCTATAGTCGACCATATCTATTTGTTATCCAGCCGTTATGAGCACTCTTGATAAAATTAAGCTTGTTAAAATTGTTCGTTTAGATTAGATGACCTGAGAGACCCATAACTAACACCCGTACACACTAGCGCCCGTATATTCTTGTATAATCGACCCCGCTCTTCGTGCTTCGTAGTCGCTATGGAGTATTGAAGTGTTATTAAGTTCGCGCTAAGCATTAAAGTTATCTTCGTGAGATACCAAACACGTCGCGCAACGGCAATTGTCGCTAGTAACTTTTCCTAACAGTCGCTCTATCTAACAACAGTCAATATTTACGAGACTTTTTAATCTTGTCTACCTTGATTCAAGGTGTACTACTACGGTGTAGTAGCTTACACGTTAAGTGGACGACTGTTGAGGACCTATTTCGTAAAACTGCCACACGGCCAGCACGAGCTTCCGACCTAGCAAGTCCTTTTTTTTAGCAATACAGGACTACTTTACAACCAGATTAAATCTATATATCGAGTTGTGGTCAATTAAAATCATACAGACGATGCATTCGAAATGGATTCTTAAGTTAGATTTGTCAGTAACTTTGAACGGTACCGGTTGTTATAAGAGCGTTTCGCAGAGGACCCCTCAGTGACATCACGGCGGCGTCGCAATACGCCTACGGCTAGAAACTTCATTTCACACGAGCAAATCGATTTCTATCGATATCAAGATAACTTTTACCAATAGAGTCTGAGAAACTATCAATAGTAGAATTTTGTAATTCTACTATCGATAGTTTAATAGCGATGTCACTGCGCTACCAGTGCGCTGGCAAGAAGTGTTACAACACGTCCTGGTATGGTATGCCTCTGTGTCGATCGATACCCTCCCTACGTGATCGTAGCCTATTTACATCATTAATTATGCAGCTGATGATGGAGCTGAAGTGCGATGCTGGTCAACTGAGGCCGTATATCTAGTCTTAGTTGGTTACTCTTAATCTAAAATAGATATTTTTACTTTAGTTGGCAACGAATATGTTTATGGTATGAATATGGTAATGTTTCGCCTGGGTTTACCGATCACGACGTCTCCCTGCGCCATAAAACGCCATATGACAGCAAACCTCTACGAAGGGTAATCCTTACATCTGTTCCCAAAATGCTGTGAATAGTTGTTTTTGTAGTCCATTGAGATATCCATTCAAAAATCTCAGTTGGATATTGTATGAAATAGCTTAATTGCAAGAAAGATGTTTAATGAAATACATTACCTGAGGCTATGACTTTTTATTACAGGAATTAGTCCATTGGGCAAAACACGTATGACATAGTGAAGACTAGATAAATCCTATAATATCACAGTACTGTGAACGGGTACATTGAGTGTAGTTTGTTTGTTTATTAATAACAAGCCCGTTAACTTAGAGCGTGACGGATGTAACGATGCTTTTTGGATAAAATTTCTTGCTTGAGCTAGCCAGAATCACTGAGAAAGACACACGAGTTTAGGCTGGTGAACGAACTCGGAAATTGTGTTTGTATGTTTGGTGTCACGCTCGTTGTAAAGCGATAGTTATGAATAGCTATCGTGCCACAACGCAACAATACCTTATTCATTATGCATTAAGCAAAATTTACGTTATTTCCTATACTCTTCCGTGGCTAAACTTTATAGCCGTTTCTTATTTTGTTGCTTGTTCTCTCATGTGCTGACAAACGTATCCGCATCCATAAACAATAACAGTAGTAAAGATACATTAAAAGCTCAAGTGTTAAGTCCTCTGGCAGGTCACTCCGTACGATAAGCTTTGTAGTTTAGAGACAGAAAGATATCTCGAACTGGACAGTATCTTATGCACGGGTATTCATGCATATATATATATATACAAAAAAACAATACAATAGGTAGCTCAGGACATCATTTAATAATTGTTATTTCCTCTAAAATTAGCTTGTTCCAGATGTTGTTCGTGCCGTATTTGGCACGATTGTGCGGCCGATCGGTTGGGGGTCGAGGATTTCGTCCGCTCCTTCTTGTCCTATTTGCCTCTGTTGCCTTAGCCATTTTCGCTTACAGCCGATCTCTACAGAATTCTCAAGGTACATATAAAACGTATCTACGTTGAATGGTATGTTAATTAGGCATTGTGTCCATGCAAAACGAGCTGTGTCTTTTGAACCCAGACAGATTCGAGCCCTGTTACTAGGTTACAAGTATTACCATGCAGACATCTACCATATTTTCTACTCGTCGAAGATATAACACGATTATTATGAACAATTGAATTGTGTGTGAGTCTTGGATTGTTTGTTGTGAGTAGTTCGCTTCAGCGGAACATCACAGCCACTCGTCATATCTTACCGAATTAATACACCGTCCTGTCGGATTCCGGAGTTCTCGCCGTTTGACTTCACCGTCGGCAACTTGTACGAGAGGTGAGGTGTTAGTTAGTTAGAGAAATACCAATCGGCTTTAAAGCCAAAAAAGAGAAATACGTGAAAATCCATAATTGGCTTTTAGTTTACGTTTGATTCGCATTCAGATGGAAAACACATGGTGATCTGTACGGTTACTTTGAGATGGATATAGCTATGGCAAGACTATAATTGACGGAACAGGTGCATGCCTTTGCCACAACAAATGATACAAAGACTACTCCGGGACTACAAACGAAGCGGCTAGGTAGCGGGCCATTTGCAAACCCGTCGAACAAACAGAGAATAATAAAATTAGTCATTTTATTTGTACGTTTTTTTTGCTTTGCTCAGACGCAGTGATCCCGTGTGTCCAGGTCCCCCATCATTTCTAAAATGGACTTCGTATAATATACTTCAGCTAGATATTGACGTCCTCTCACGCCAATACGCTGATTTAACGACGGCTGATGTAAAATGTACATTTCAAGAGCTATTTCGAAATCAGTCACTTCCTGAACCTGACAAAGTGGTTAGTAACGTAGTATACGTGTTCTCGCTTATGTATATCTGCATATGCACGATGCTGTTATCCAGAAATTATATTTCCCCCATTTAAAAGGCTTGCGTATTATCGAACATACATAAAATAACCTGTTTATTGTGTACTGTTTCGCAATTATGACGCCTATATCTCGGCTACGTATTTAACCGGACACCCGCTTGAATGAAGAGCGTGCGTTTTCCGTATTGCAAAATTGCCGATATGATGTATGTACTTTTGCAGGCGTTTCTGGGTGACCCCCAGGAGCTGGTTTTCGGTGAAGAACTAAACACGGAGTTCATTCTTATAGAATGTCGATATCATTCACGGGTCGTGTTGCAGGAATACGCGATGGGTATGTTTAGTTACGTTTGTTTCCTGTGTAAAAGTCGTAGATTCATGTAGGTTTACGCAGTTAACCGGACAAATGTCACACTTATGCCTTAATCTTTATGAGTAGGACGCGTCAGCCATGTGTTACTTGTTGTTTGATTCGTTAACGTTCCAGACAGAAAGTGGGGCCTTCGATTGAACTACGGCTTACTTGTGATGTTGTCCATTATAAGTGGAACTATATCCCTACCGCTTAGGCATGCGGAGGTTCTTAGAGAAAGAAATGCTTAGCTTAGCTTAGCTTAGCGACGGGTGTCAATGAAATGGACACATTCGTTCGACGATATTTTATTTATAGACATGAAGAAATAATCTTAAATAATACTCTTATAAACAAAAAAAAAAAAACAATTGTATTTCTGAATAGATATGTTTATTATGCTTGAAGTTGTTATTTCGAAGCGAAATTTTTTATTCATTTCTGAATTAAAACCTTAAGTAGGCCAAAACGTTGCTTGTTTACCTTGTGATCTAGACATTTAAACTTAACTCGGATGCCCTCAACGTACCAGAGCGCCACGAGAACTTTTATCGTTTCTCTTTTCATGAGAGACTTCATGAAAAGCCCGACTACCCCAAATGAAAACGAATAACGACCAATTCGAAGCGTTTCATTATTTTAAATGCGTATAATAATAATAATGTTATCGTGATTCTTGAGGAACAACTTCCTAGTCCAGACTCACGTCATCTATACCTAAACACCGTACCTATATATCAAAACTCGAATTTTTTTTACCATTTCAGTATTTAGAGACTGACTTCTCCAACGACGTGCCAGTGGTCTTATAATCGCTCAGTAATTGTTTTCTCTATTACAGTTCCAGTGCTGAAGGATGACGTAGAGCATCGCGTACAAACGATTGAAAGTAAGGGCGTACAGGTTTCGCGGGAAGCAAATGTCGGCGGTGGAAATAGCCGGACTAATGTCCTTGTCCTGGGAATCGATTCGGTCTCATATCTGAATGCGTACCGCCACTTACGGCAAAGTCTTGCTTATATTCGCACTCAACTTGATTCAATCGAGCTAAAAGGATATGTGAAGGTCGGCGATAATTCGTTCCCCAACCAGAACCCGCTAATCAACGGTCTCACTGAAGATGAGGCCATGTCTTATAAAAATAAGGGGTGAGTGAGATTAATGGGATCGCAGTATATATATATACAGTGCTAAGTATCACAGTTATAGTTCAAATTAGAATAAAAAAAATGTCCGAACGTTTTTGCGTGACCGTTCTGTGACATCGTGATTTTTATCGGCTGAGCGTATCTAATTGTTGTGCTCGGTTATTATCACCTTTTTTCATGAATGCCTGTTTCAGGTTTTTTGACATGCTGACAGACCAAATGATATGGAGCGAATATGTAGAGTTTGGCTACCGTTCCCTGTTCTTGGAAGAGAGTGCCCACTTTGGCTTGTTCCATTATCATTTTAAAGGATTTCATAAAGCCCCCGTCGATTATTATACGCGACCTATGGTAATGACTGTTGAGACATCACCACTCACACACGCGCTTGGTGAGTAGATGCGACACAGTTTGAAGTTTTTCAAAATCAGAAAACCTGCTTCAGATAGCGTCGAACTATATTTCAGACAATCATGTGCAAGCGGTCCATTGCGGATGAATGCCAATAAGCACCTTGCCTTCGGGAAAGCATTTCCTATTAGTGATATTTCCGTGACACTTTTTAGGGGAACATGTGTTCTGTCACGGTGGACGCACGACGAGTGAGATGTATCTCAATTACATCGAACGCTTTGCTGCAATGATGACCGCTAGAGAGGCCAACTTTTTCGCCTACGTGTGGCTATCCGATATTTCACATAATGAGGTAAGGTTTTTGTGCTTGACCCACAGATTCTCTACTGCACTTTTCTATTGTCAACAACTTTATGCGATATAAATTAATATAATTTCAGATGAATTCTGTGGGGTCCCTTGATGCTATCCTAACAAGACATCTAAGGGCTTTGGATAGTGGCGGGGTCCTCAACAATACCGCCTTGATTTTCCTGAGCGACCACGGAATCCGCTTCGATAAAATTAGATCTACCACTGTTGGTATGTACAGATCTACCACCTAATATGATCCAGCGGACATGGCATGACACTATGAATTTGTTGGATTTTGTCTCTATTTAGAATCTAGCGTTTTTTTGTATCAAAAATTAGAAACAGGAAACTATTCATACAGGACTGTGAACCCATCTCAGCTGTTTAGCGTCTTACTATAGGTATAACTAGTTCGTTTTCGCCAAATTAGGAACACTAATGTCGAATGTCTGTTAGGCTATAGGTCGGGATAATTTCGAAATTTCAGCAAATTAAATGCATATGTTATCCCGCAATATTTGTAGCTCTATTTAGAAGATTACTAGAGTATTATAAATAGATTACCGATTTGAAACGCCATTAGCAGAGTTCAATATGGTCTGTTTTCCTTTTTTTTTTTTTCTCTGTGACTGCTTCTTCCGATAACAGGCAAATACGAGGATCGGATGCCGTTCGCCTTTGTTGCGATGCCGCACCATTTCTGTGAGACCCATCATGTGGAATGTCAAAACTTAAAGATCAATTCGGCCCGGTTAACAACACACTTTGATATGCACGCAACCTTCCGCCACCTCCTACACTTGGGAAGTAATTCTGCCAGTAGCAAATCTTCCGGAGGGTCCTCATCATCCACTTCTGACGTTCCTACTCGTACGAAACGAGGCCAGAGCTTATTTTCTGAAGTGCCAATCAATCGAAGCTGTGAGGCGGCTTCAATCGATACGATGTGGTGTACTTGTGCTCCCGATCAAGACAACGGGAAGGACCACTCCTCCTTGTACCCGTTAGGCGAAGATCTTTCAGTAACGGGAAAACTGGCCAAGAGGCTTGGTCTCGTGCTAGAAGAGCGACTTAACGACATTATCGACCATAACCAATGTTATCATTTGAGTTTGAACCATGTAATAGAAATGCAACGAGCCCAAGGACCGGCACCTCACCATTACTACTGGTTAACTGCGTCGTTTTCGCCTGGAAACTCGATCTTTGAGGCGACTATTATCCTATTCCAAAACGGCACGCTAACAACTTCGAAGGGTATATCTCGTTGCAACATGTACTGGGGCACTACATGGTGCGTGGCCGACCACTGGATGGAAAAGTTTTGCCATTGTAAAAGCTGGTACACGACATTATACCTAATGTTTATAGGAGGCTAGTCATACCCGTTCAGGTCGAAGCGACCACACCGCTTGTGGTTGTAAGCCGGGGTACGTTTTTCGTCTAGAATAAGGGCATATTGAAAGCAAGTGATACGACAGGATAAATTAGAGTATATGTATAACGGTGTAAGTAGATTGCGTTGGCGATACTACAAGTAGAAAACACATCAGCAGCCATACCTTACATATTCAGTGGCAGTACCAGAAGGAGGAAAAAAGCAATTAAAAAAAAAGTATCGTTTTTATATAACGTTAGTTTTTCTATTTCAGTAACAAAAATAATTCTGAAAGTTTCCGGCGTTATATCTAAGCTTGGCCACTTTTGATAGGAAAGTGAAGTATTAGGATGTTACAAGCGAATCTGGCGAACCTTTAGATTGTATAACGTTTGAACCCTAGCCGCTAAATACCCCAATACTGTAAAAACTGGCGGGTTAAAAACGGTTGAGTTTGCTAGAGGGAAAATAAGTTCAGAAGGAGAAACATCTTTTAATTTTGGAAGTCAACGCCCCATGGCCAAATGTTCGTTCCTGGAAAGCCGCTGCGCCGGAAATTTGCAAAAGCGCAGTGCTTATCTTATGTAAGCGTTTTGAAAACGAAGATTAGAACTCTGAAGACCAGCTACAGAACGATTAGAACGGCAGTCGGAAGTACGAGAACGCATTACCACAATCGATAAAACTTTTCACGAAAGCAGAGCTTGCCGTATAAAGGCTCCGTCGGCCAAAACACGCATTTCACATGTGACGTTTATCAGATTTATAACTCAAATACTGAAAATTTAGTAGCTGAGTAATTCACAGGTCCTCCAGTGATTGATTCCAGGTACGTTGTAGATGTGTGTGGTGTATTCCATCTATAATTAACTTCGTTCGACTAAAAATCCGCCTGAAACATACGGTTGCCATAGACGGGGCATGGGTCAATCTATACGGCACGCCGCTTAAGTTAGATGGCGGTGTCGAGTAGATTCGGACATAAGGTGATAGTAGAATTTCCAATGGATATCAGGGACGTCTGTTAGTATGAAGTGCTCGCCGAAAATAAAGCAATGAATGCGGAGCGCTATTTTGAGTTCCTTAAAAGGTTTGTGGGCCGTCGGTGTGACAACCGAATGTACGTAATCTGATTACTTGATGATAACCCCAGACATCATTGCCATGCTTCAGTAACTTCCTGGATTAATCGAAGATAAGTCCAATGTTGGTTTCAGCCCGCTTATTCTCCCTATCTAGGTCCATGTAGTTATGGGGCTTTCCATAGCATAAAAAGGGCAACTGGTGGGCAATCGTATCCCACCATCGATTAACTTACAACAAGTTAGAGGGACTAAATATGGAAACGCGAATGGTAAGTGTATGGCTTTCCAGAAGCTACCAGAGCGCTACGGCAAATGTATAAAAAATAAAAGAGAGTACCTCTAACATATACTAAAATATCATTCTAGCTCAATTAGTTGGAGAGTTGTTATTCAATTTCAAATTCGGCCCAACATACATATAACTTGTATCTTTGCTATGTCTGCCAAAAAATGAGATGTTTGGTAACCAACAAACAGCAATAGCTAATCTGATTATTAAAGGAAAAGTTGTCTATTCGTAGACAAGTTTTGCGTATACAGTTTAAGCTGGCTTATATGATTTCCATTGCCCCCCAACGAGATATTGTTTAGCCGCTATTCATCATAGCGTAGTGCCTCATTGTTAGCATACGAGTGTATCAATACGGGTAAATATTTTCGTATTATTTCTAAAAAATTATTGACAAAAACCCTTCAATGTTCTCCTGTCATTATAGGACATGTCACATTATCATCCATATTACAATCTAACACATGATGGACTACAAATATGTTGTTTACATTCTGTATTGTATGATCAATTTTGCGTTCGTCTTAGCAAAGCCAGTGATAAATTCTAATTAGCATGCTTTAATTTGTCAAGTACTGTCAAGGTTTTTCTTGCTGCCCGGAATTGATAAACGACATTGTGGTCTGATGGCCAGCATACAGGAGAAACCAGAATTCCGCTAGATAAGTGATAGTGGTATTAAGCGAAACCATGTAGGATGCATTGTCTTCGAGCAGCTATGAAAATACCATTGTCACAATGGTATTTTCATATATATATATATATAATAACGAGTTGTTCTTCAAAAAGATAACCGAGAAAGACGATTGCGCACGAGAGAGCAAGCCATAAAGACATAAAGCGTGCAAACGTTCGATGTATAGTACCCATATGCTACAAATGTGAATGAAGAACAAAAAGGAAAGAAATATATATATATGCCACTAATTTATATAAAAAATCAGCGGCATCATGAGTCAGTACTGTTTTACGACAAACCTAGATAGATCCTTTTAAAATACTCGAGGTGCGAAGGTACCAAGTGGAATTCCCAAAATAAGCACCTATTGGTTATAATCGTGTATGAAGAAGTGAAGAATTATTAGTTCTCGTTATTAAGAGGAAATATAAGAGAAACTTTAATGAAGAAAGATTGCCCTTCTGGAGAAGGTATAAAAATTCTACTATTATGCAAATGACCCACGTGTGAATAATCCAAGCACAAATTGGATATCAATAGATAAAAAGATTAACAAGGTCTCACACTACGATCAATGTAAGATAGTTGTTGAAACATCATCCTATAAAGCATCGACCGCTGTGGATAGATGTGTCCGCTGCAAATGTTTGTGCCACGGTCAAGCGCTAACCTAAGGCTCAAGGCCCGAAGTGTATCTTGATTTCACAATGCTTAAAGCTGATTTATGATACACTCAAGAGACGTTCAATTAGAGACTTCTGAGCTCAGATCAGCGAGCTACTGGTCACGTGTAGCTCATCTTCATGTACTTATAGCCACCCGGAGCATTGGCAGGTTCGGTTTATATGAGCTACGGTAATGCGCCCTTTATTTAAGGAGTCTGTCTAACCCAAAATACTTTGACTACATATTATAGCAATAGATGAAGCTTTTAGTACAAGCGAACTTAAAGCCTTGTGATTTTTGGTGTTACCAATATGAAAAATCTAATTTTGTCGAACCTTCCTTTGTGTACCGTATGTGATAGCTGTGACAGAATCTCTGGCATAATTTAAAAGCCACAAAACCCTGATTACCCAACAGATGCTTCCTCGACTACTCTACGTTCAGCTATTACCTACAACGGAACAAATAGCTATATCAGCCGTAAGTGTCCTGGATCATCGTAGTAATTATCATAGCCAGTAATTAATGCAATTGTTACCCAAAGAGATGTAGTGTATTTTTTGTAGAAAAAACAAAACATGCACTGATGGGAGATAGTTGTTTGACGTAGAGCTACAATGAACAAGTATCAACGGTGTCGTTTTTCGCTGTCGAGTACGACATTTTGTTGATTTTAACGAAAGTAAAACAATATAGCATATACTGCCTCAGTTTACAAGTAATGGGCCAAAAATAATTTCTGCTAAAATTGTAGTTGCTTTCCGCTATGGTCAGTTGAGTGTGTTCGCAGAGACACTCAACAGGATCAATGAGCAGCTTGCGTTACGAACCTGTGGTTTCTTCTATAAACAAAAAATGTAAGTTAAGTTCTTACATAGGAACAACAATAGTAGCAATATATACATTAGAAAGATCTAAAAGTCTTTTTAGCTGTATAAAAATAGATGTCTAAATTAGCCAATTATCAAATATAACTATGTGTGCCATTCGCTGTGACATAAAGCTTTCTCCAAATGTTTTCCGCTATCTTCCATCTACATATCGTAAATTAAACTTCTTAACATAGACTATGTTGTTCAGCGATCCGCATGGGGGTCTGTGTGATTTCTATGAACCTCCCCCCCCCCCCCCCAACTCTTCCCCAATAATTTCCAAAAGCAACTCGTTATTGGAAAAATCGAATCAGTAAGGATTGGTTCATACAAACGGCAGCTATACATGAGACTTTATTGGAAATACTAATGCCAGTCCCGGTAAAAACGAGCCTCTAGACCCTAACCCTGTGAATTTTCTTAATACGAACAATCCTATTACTTATGTTAATGTTATGCGAAGATTGAGCATCGGTCACACAGACGTATCCACGGAGCATTTGACTGCTTGTACCCTTCATCATCTTTACCTAATACTGCTGAACACTATACTCCATACACAATAGACTTCACGTAATAACAAAAAGCGATCTTACGTAATATAATAATGATGGCGATGAGGATGCTGGGAAAGCTTCAATTGAAGCACCGGATGTAGTACCAAATGATGCAATTAATGCACGAATGAGGAAACTACTGCTTTCTTTGCGAAAATGTTTAATAAATGCGGCAAACCGATGTACGTGTACGAGAATAAAATGAGCGTGTATCTTACTGATTGTGTATGTTCGTAGATCCACGGTCTATTGCGTCTATGTTAAGTTTTTCGTGTGCTTTCCGTTATATTCCTTTTCGATAGGTATTTTTAGTCGTGATACGAAGAGTGCCAAGGCATTCGCAGCTACAACATTGTGCAATGATGATGAGTCAGAACAAATCAATAAACCCTATTGGCTTAAGAAGTATCAGCATTTTATTTAATCACGCGTTCAAGTATTTTTTTTGAATTTATTTCCAATCCGAGCTGACAATAGTATAGTAAAGCAGAAAACGTATTGATTAGGACGGTTTATATAGATATAATAATAATAATACTGTAGTTGATAGATAATTAGTTGTTCGTTCACAACTTTATTTGACTTTGTAGCATCTCTCGTGAATATGACTTATATTGTATATATATATATATATATATAGAATTTTATTCAATCAATATCTATTTCTATTTAAAATATACTTTTACATTAAATACTTTTTAGCAGTTCTAAAGGTATATGATATTATCCATTATAACTTCACACGAAAGCCTATAAAATCAGCTACGTTTATTTATTTATTTGAAATAATTATAGTAATTAGGAAAACGAGAGTAAAAAGAGCATAAAGTTATTTACGAAAATCCATGCAGGACTGTTCTCATGCATATAATTACACATACCAATATTATCATACGGATGTAAGAATCAAATAAGCTGATCTTCCCCAAATACGTGGATACGGTTTCTACTTACGTACTTTAATTCGGCCATACCTATAATACAATATTAGTAAATATGGCTATCTGTTTTTGGCCTAGTTGTTCATTCACGTTAAGTATTCGAAATTGTAGATTACTAAGCGGTTACCATTCAGTTTCGGTCGGTAGTACGATCACGTCCGATACCTCAAAATGTGTCTTCACTTCCCCATATCAATTTGCTCCCGTTAGATGGCTGGCTTTATTTTTTTGCCGTTCCAAGGGCATTGTTTATACGATTTGATTACCAATAAATTCAACGTACAACTTTTAGATGAGCCTACTCCCAGTTATTTTCCTCTTTCTATTACTCTTCTACATAGCGTGCATGATGTTTAGATCACAAACGACCTTCACTTTCATGGTAATTCTGTCAATGAGCAGCTTTTGCTTGCTCCTGAAGAAAATTCATAAATAATTTGAATGTATACGTTTCGTTCCGTCACGTTAGAAAAGTTACAAGGTTCGAACTTACTAGAGACCTTTTTAGTTCTATCTAACTTTCTCTACGTAAAAAGGTTTCGACTAAGCAGAGGTTGAACCCCCCTCCATCCATTTCGCCGAAACTTACCACTATGTCGCCATCGTCGAGGAAATGTAAAAATAATGTTATCGGGACCCCTTGCTCATTTTAGATTTTCATTTTAATTTTCAAAATCATTTTCATTTCAGGTTAAATGTAACCTGAGAATTTTCATTAGCCACCATCTAATTGAATCATATAAACCCATGGACATGCGCAAAGCTTATCAACAGGTTTCGGAAAGAAATAAGAGGTAATATATGTAAACTAATGTGAATTCTTGTTCAGCCTTAATCTACGGAATATTGTCATCTACTGTCATAGATAACGAATGCATTTAAGACCCACAATATGGCTGGGTGGATATAAACTTGTGCTATTTATATTTCTCAATTGACCCTAGACCCCCAATAGCGAATCGGCTAGATCCTTTTCTCTGCTAGGCGATTCTCCAGTTAACACTAGATACGTGGAAATTTCAGTGTAAGCAGTGAAAATCATTCAGATACTGGTATCCTTTAAAAACAAGTTAGTGATACTCTTAGCGTTTAGCTTGTAAGTTACATTTGCGTTTCGTCTGCCTTTGTCTATTTGTTCAATTAATTAATTAATTTGAAATCCTACAGTTCGGACTTCTTATTTTAATTTGTGTGATTAACATATAACACTTATTTTGCCACCTTTCGTCGTTCGTGTTGTTGGCAGTCAATAGTCCATCCATTCGTTACCGCAGCGAAATGCCCAGTGAAAAACGCAGGTACGCACTCTTGATCAGCTTTTTTTACATATGATTGTTTTTTGTGTCCTATTCGACAACCGTGCAAGACCATGTTTATGTATTATATATTTGTAACGATATCGAAAATTAGTTAACCTTAATACATCTCCAGTAATACCTTCGTTTTTAAGCTCCTCGCCCCTAGGGCATCCATTTGTTTTTTCATATGCCTCACCGTTTTCATTTTCTCCTTCTCCTGTCGGTTTTCATGTAAATGTTCTTAACTGCGGACCTCGCTCCGAGGCTTCAATAGAGGCTTAGAACAAAAAAAAAGTTCGTGTTGTCACAACGACCTTCTCATCATGGGATTTTAGTCCTTCTGAAGTTTACATGTTGATTTGAGCATAGCCATTGGATGCATTTCTCCAGCGGGCTCCATGCCCTCCCATACCTAAAAGAATATCAAACGTAATATATACATATATATATATATATATATATATATATGAATTTTGCGGTAGGTCACCTCTGGATATCATCTCAAAATCTTATGGCCATATTAGTAATATTAGTAAAAATGTGGCTCAAACATCAGTTGAAGCAACCTACTTTTGCAGCAGAATGTATTTTGCTCTTTTTTCAAATGATTTTTTTAAATTTCACTTTTGAAGTTTCGTAAACAAGAACTGCGCTACATTTGTAAAGCATATATGTTGAAATGGAAGAAAGAAAATAAAAATTGTACTCTACAGCGCTTACCTCAAGTTGACACTCCTCGAGCGTGCTTGGAATGAGGTCCTTTACAGCGTTATTATTACACTTGTCTGTGACGATATGTACCGGCTTAACTTTCAGTTCGATCGTGTACCGCACCCCGTTTTCAACGGTTCTTGGCCGACTGACAATTCGCGCTACCTCGATACCCTCACACGCCGCCAGCGTTCCCGCGTCACGTTTTGATCGTTCCAGCTCAAAAACGACGAACTTCAGTAGAGCGTCGGGTTCCGATGGATCCACTGGACGAAGCAGCGACGCCACTTCCTGGGACTCAGCGTCTGCTGTTGAGATCCGGGAGATAGCTTTTGACATCGACATCTGTGGCTGCAGATGTGGCGATAATTGCTGTTTATTCAAAATGGTGGGTGTTGGCAAGGCCCAACATCCAACCGAAACTGCCTGTATCATCGCAAATACCACAATCGGTTGAACAAGCCCCATTTCTTTATCGCACATGTTAAATACCGAGTAGCGGTAGAAAAAGACAAAAAATGACGAACAGCACGAACTTTCCCTTTTAACGTCAACAACAATCCGGCATGAGACAAAGGCCGGGTCAGCTGAGTCTATACAGGGTCAGCTGTAAGAATAACTTGTAGATATCCCGAGAAGGGCGTCAGGATATTGACGGCCGACACGGTAGCAGCGAATGAAAGGATGTCTAGCTGGCTGGGCGAGTGTTATGGTTTGAGGAGTCGCCTAAAGAAGGCGCCGTGCGCGATTAGGGGGAAAGGACGCTTATCTGGGAGGTGTCAGAGCATTGGATGTTGAGAGAGGAGCGCCTCACACGGCAGATTCAATAGATGGGGAGCGGAAAGTGTCCTGAGCAGATGAGGAGGCTAGCGGCATCGTCAGCAGCGTCCTCGAAGTAGGAGGGTATAGAGCGCTACTGTGTTTGCTGAAGAGGACACAGAAGGCGAACTCGGTGGGATTCGATCGAAAAAATTAGGTAGGCAATGGAAGCGGCCGGCAGGTCTCGTTTGTCGGTTTTCACGCCAGTTTCTCATATGCGCATACAACCAATGTAAACTAGAAGTATTTAGGAAAAAAGGAAAGTCATCATGCAGAATGACGACTATACAGATTATCTAAAACGTGACGCAGTGTCCTCAGAGACTAAACAAAAGTTTAAATTTAAACTAGCGTCTTCGAGGGTATATATGACAAGAATATTTTTGTACATAATATTATAATATTCTTGCTTAACATTATTACTGCCTCGCAAAAACTGAAACAAGAATGTATATATATTTCCTAGAGTTTAAATCTATCATCAAATATTGGTTGAAAACTAGAAGAGGCCTTGCTGAGCAACATACTTTTAGTTAAAGTTGAACACTTTTTTTTAAAAATGATTTAGTTGCTTTTTAAATCAAAGTACACGTTTATTTGTATTAAAGAAATTATAAAGTGCAATAAAAGGTGACATTTTTCTAAAAAAGTCTAATTTTTCTAATGTATTCATATAGATTGGGTAGGCGCAAACCTACTCAATCGACGTCCAACGCCTCAATGCGTATCATCAAGACGATACACAATAGACGCAACGTAGCCGAACAAAAACATAACACCCATCCGTGAGTGAGATGGGCGTATGAGTAGGTGCATTAACTAGATAAATAATATAAATAAATAGATAAAAAAGATGCGATCACTACGTTCATCGCGTATTTCGTTTTTACACATCTAATAAATACGCGCATTCTTAGATATAGCGTCATCGTTTACATACTAGCATAAAATCTTTAGCAGAGAAAAATAAACTTCCGACAATACTGGCCGTATGAATAAAAAACATCAGCATATCAGTGCCGTAATGCTACTGCTTTAATGTGTGGCTCACCTTTGCCCTCCGCACAGTTAGGTCGTGTTGTTAGGACATTAGTTCAGGCACCCAATTCACACTGAATGAAACAGAGAAGCTATACAAGATGAATAGGTATGCAACCCTTTGATGCAACTGGGTTTTCCTCTGTAAGTTTTATTCAAACTATATGCTGGCCGTAAAGTCTAAAATGGACGTTCTTCTAAATTATTAGCTAGCTAAAATATATTAAACTACAAACATGATTACTATTCATCGAAATTAATAAATCACCTATTTTCTTTTGTTTGCCCTTGTATAATTCTGGCTCCGTAACTTCAAACTAGTGTACCCATACGAAATGTGCCAGCCTCTGTTAATCGAGAGCTTATTATGTTTGGGTATTTAATAGAGACCTGGAAATACTTCAGGTATATTGTGATACTTTGTAACACATTATCTATGGATCTATCCTGATAAGGCCAGAATTCTGTATAAATAAATGTGAACAAAAAGATGTCAGAGATATAGGGACTATATTTAGTCAAAAGAAAGTCTTAATTGCTTGTACAGTAAATATATAATAAGCAACAACTAGGTTAAAATTATAATCATTCAATGTACGTAATAATAACCAAGAGCAGATAGTCCGTATTGCCCAAATGGCTATTGTTCTTTATGCGGGCCTTATTGTGCATTCGTAAAAACAGGTAAACTAAACAGTGTGTTTTTCTGGAAAATGCCTTTCGAGTGCACCACTTATTCGATTGACTAAAAATCCATTATCTTGGCGTCAGTTGCTCCCCAAGTTTTGTCCCCATTCATTGGTCCATTCAGGTGTTTATAACTTGAAAACAATTTGTTTACACTTTTTCAGGATTAGCTTTTCTCTGCCTACAAAATTCGTGCAACGAAATCAGCCTCTGTTTTTGCATAGAAGGTGCACCTATGCATTCGAATTTACCATGAGGGCCGCTTGGCAAAATGGTCGCGGGCAGACTAAGTGCCACACAACCATTAACTTTCCCAATTCGATGAAATCGGTGTTGCATCTCATTTGTGGTGACCTACGCATCATACGATAAAATGAAAAAATACGGAAAACCGTAATTAAATGTTGGCCAATGTTTAAATTGAATAAAGCGGTTAATTTGTTATTTTACTTATTGCATGGTGGAGCGCAGAAGTGGGGGCCCGCTGTTTTTGAGCTTCTGCACTCGTATATATATATATATGTATATATATATATATATATATATATATATATATATATATATATATAACATACACAGTAACGTTAGTAAAAAATGTATGACGCCGTTGATGTTAACGCTGGGAAAGATGCTGTTATGAAACCTTTGAAAAAACCTCGTCTCCATTTAAGTTAAATCGAGTTGTCCAGTTGGTGGAAGAGTAGAAACAATGACAGGCTTAGGAGTAAACTTCAGATGTGTAAAAGTAGCATCTCATAATATGACTTGGCAATTAGTGGTACCATTGGAAGAAGCTGTAGAATAGGATCACCTCTGTATTTTTCTGATGTTTTATAGTAGTACAGATTAAAATAAATGTCTTACGTTTTCCAGCTATAAACAAAACCAACTGTACGCAATTTCTAATGTATTGGACTCATATTTACGATCATTTGCGTGCAAAAAGGTTCCGCTACCTTCTCCGCCAACAAAAGAGATACTAAACATAAATAATTGTCCTGGCGATTTACTCTGGTAGATCTAGAGTCAGTAACTACGCTAATAGCTGCTTATAGGCACAAGCAATCGAAATGAGCAGGACATTACTTGTAGAAATATTGAAGAATCATGCAACTATCATGGCTATTATCGTTGCATGACGTTCTTTGACCAGCCTTATTTCCCTTTTGAGTTGGCTTCCATTCCTCGCCGGGTGCGCAACGTTTTTTTGATGGATCTTGTGCTTGTTATTTAGTCATTCACAGTCATCCTTTCCTTTTTTTCTTATGTTTGTCATGTCACATTCGCGCACCATATCTAGTGTATTTAACTGTGACATCTGTTGGGATGGGCAGTTATTACGGTGGTCGCCATGTCTTGTGCTTTCTATATATACTTGTACGCGCGCTTTTAGCGGACGGACGCACGCACGCGGTCCGTCTACGACGCTGTGTCGATGTTCACTGTAATAGTCTAGCTCGTCGTTGCTTGCAGCGCGCATCTAGCTTCCAAGCAATAGTTATTGTCACAGCCATGGACTAAGTCAGCCGAGCAGCTGGCCAGTCGAGCCTCTCTTCGATTCGTTTTCTCTGCTTGTCCACTGGCTTGTCTTTGCATAGCTACAGTCTATTGCGATATTACGGTGCTGGTTCTCGTTCGCAGCACCACCGGCGGCCTTACAAGAGGGATCAAACGTCTACCGATGGTAGCTTTGGTAGAAATGGAAACAAATGGGAAGTGATGGCGTCGATGTGAATTCGTTGATCACAGGTGTGCGCACGCCGGCTGTGGTCATACTGATGACGTAAGATTGTGATTTGACCGTTTGGGCCTACGTGCGTCGCCCTTACCCTCGTAAACAAGGCGCACCAGGCTTGACGTCTCTCTCATTGAGGATCCCTTTCCCGGTCACCTCTGAAGGCCACCGCAAAGAGGGTACGCAACGTTCCGCTGCTATCACCACTGTTGCCTATCACCTATTTATTGTGTTTCGCTCTCATTTTGTGTCCTCATATTGTCTTTCCTTGTGGGTGTGTATATGTGTGTGCATGCGTGTGCCAAAGAAGAGCTGGAGTTAACCGGTAGACCTGGCAGCAGTTGCAGAGGGCGGACTCAACTGCCGGTGTGCAGTATTCCGAGCAACATAACAACGCAGCAGTCGCACGGCTGGCTCTCTGCGGTAGTTATCTCACTGCGCTGTTGAGTTACGCGATCGTCTTACTCTTACCGAGTCATCAGCAGGCGACGATTGCGGATGCACTTGCCAACTCGGTTAGCTCTGAGGCTTTGCAACTCATCATAGACCAGTCTGGCTAAAACTCAATAGCTGGACCGGCAACGTGCAACTCGTAGTGTGTGATATCGTTATATAGCTGGACAATTGTGCATTGCTTCCCTTTCTGTCTTTTATCTTTCTCTTTTCCTCCTACCTGAGTGTTTTGTCCGCTCGGCCAAACGAATGACACAACAACCTTAAGGCCGACAAGGTAACTAAAAAACAAGGGTTTGACCCATCAAGAGACACTAGACAACTGGCGCCGTCCTTGCAGCATCAAGCGATTCAGTGTCGTCGATAGCGCAGTAACAACACTCTACAGCACCTCTCTCTAATAGTTAGACGGTACCTAGTGCGTTCTAATCACGAAGAACTTGATTACTACACGACAACGGACTCAGATATTGAAGAAGACGACATGGCGACTCCTCTAACCGATGCTGAAAAGCGCCGACAGATCTCCGTTCGAGGGATCGCCCAGGTACGTGCAGAATATTTGACGCGAAAACAAATGAAAGATAGATGATGGGTGCGCGAAATAATCGGTAATTCGCGATCGTGTATATGCCGCGACCACGCGAACATCATCTGTGGCTATAGACGTGTCGCATTACCAGTCAGTGCTGAGAGTTGTGTTAGTAAAAATCGAACGTAGAAACAACGATAGCTAAGAAATATATTGCACCAACAAAAATATCCGCTTTCGGACAATTTTCGTACTCTTTAGTGTGCTTATCTATTGCGCTACCAGTATATGTAGACTGGATGTAAAGGCCACTGTGTAACAGGGTCAGGCGTAGTCGGGACCAGCCGGCCATCAGGTCAAGATTGCGCTATGACTGCAACGTGCTGGTCTATAGTAGTCACTACAGATTCGCAATATGCGATGCGAGCACGCAAGCCTACGTGCGTCTTAATCTGATTATTGCTTTTTTTTTTTTTTTATGATAAACCATCCGTGAAAAAGATTTGTTACTTTTTTTGTGTGTAACATTTGCCAATGTGATGTCATGGCGTTTTCAGCCGGGCAAATCGAGTCCATTGTAGCATCTTTCCGGGAAATGAACACGGATTACGTTATACATACGTGTTCAAACGAGTACACGCTACGAACACTTCGTGCCTTGATTTTGAAGTTCGACCGTGCGTGGTTTCTGAACTTAATTTTACGTGTGTACATTTGATGTTTCTGTTCTACCGTGATGCCACCTTAATCTGCTAAGCTTTCTCGAGGGTCGATGTATAATTAAACGGAATCCTTTTGTAGACGACCACGATGACCCTCATTTTTGTCTATTACTGCCTATTATAACCGATTGGGCAAATTGACTCGGAAGAGACCTTTTTACTTAGCGGACGCAGCATTGTACATATTCAATGGTTTTTCCGTTTTTTTTTGTTTGTTGCCGTACGCCGTACTTGACAACCGTCATCGATGCTACGATATGCGAGATGTAGTTAGTTTTTATAAGCTCTTGTCTAACGAAATACGGATTAATCTATTTTAAGTGTATTTGCGCTTAACTAGAGGAAAGCCAATCTAATAATATCATACTACTGTAAGTCCTAGCCAGTTTAATATAAAACTCTGACCTAAGCACGATATATCCTGAACCTGGTAAATATCTAAATGCAGCTTTTGTATGGTGCGTTGACATATTATCCATGACGGAAGTTCCGTCTACGCTTTTGTACTATCACCAAACTTGACAAAGGTGTAATGTTTTCGTCCGACACAATTAAAGGATGTTAAGGTAAAATAACATTTTGAAGCATAGTATCGGATTCCTAATCCCAATGCGTACAAAAAAATAAGATGATTTTTTTTTGTTCCTACTGCCTTAACGGTGGACGTTTCGCTATTTATTAACTCGCGCAACTCATCTTTTCCATACAGATTCTATGGAAGCTCGAAATGGGGCGCTGCTTTTCCAACTTCCCGAGTATTTATCATATATTTCTATTCGTCTCCACGCATTGAACTGTTGACATTTTTCGAAATTATTAGAACATTATAAGGGGTTATTTAATGTTGAACGGCAGGAAATTGTGTGAGATGCATTCGTAAATGTCCTGGTCAGCCTTTGTCCTGATTAAAATTCAGTAATCATCAATGCAACCGCAAATTAATCAACGCGAACGCTCGCTTCCGGATGGTCGACCATGTAAAAGCTGGCTGGTCTCCAGCTCTAAATGTACAGCTAACCTTGACATATATTTCAGAGACACCTTCTTTTTTGCTTGCTCTTTTTTTCTTGTTTTTTTTATCTACGAAGCTTATGTTGCTTATGCTGTTTTTCGCGATTCTTTCGCATTTGCCATCACCTAATGCTATAGGCTTGTAAGCATAAGCTACCTACATTTTTTGCGGCTTAGATAAAATCAAACTTATTTAATACCTTAATAATAATATCTTATGAAGGATATTTTAGCAACTACGCCAGCTTCGAATACATAAACACCCATAGAGGTATGCTAAATAAACGAGTTCAATTCCATCAAGCGTATACTACGCATGTTTTCCATAGAGGTATCGTTGACACGTAAAAAAAACGTCACGGGTCGTCTTAACGTACATAGCAACGTCTATGTACAAAATTATTTATTTGTCACTGATGACCGCGCGCGATGTGGCTGTTGGATAACGACGATCAAATCCACAAACGACAAACTCGAAATGACAGCTTATTTCGTCCGTTTTGTTATTATCTGTCATATCGGTTATAATTAAAGGACGGGAGGGTGTAGTAATAAACCTATTACATACAATATACGCATGTGGCTAGGGCTTACCTATTCAAAAGATGTCGCACACTTTCAATGTGGACAGGGCGGATACGTTATATATATATATATATATATGTAAGCTAAAGAACGCCTTTCAAGCTCGTAAATGCAAGAAGAAGGACTACCTTGCCCCAAAGTCGGAGCTCGGCCATAAGAACCTATAGATAGACAATAGGCAAAATTTAGTTCACTCTGTGTGTGGCGATAGTTTATCATCTTTGTTGAGCCGCATTGTAACAATCACTTAACTTTACGCCCAGCCACGTATTCAACCCAATAAAATGATCTGCATTGATGCTGCCCACTAAAAAGGGATTATGTAAGATTTTCTCTGATAAGCATTCCATTAGTTGTTGATTTGCCTCTGGCCCAAATAGGAGCCTTCCTTTAACAGCTGTTCACCTGTTATAGCCACGATAGGTATGGTATAGGGAAGTCTATACTCAAAAGAAGGGGAGCTTATATGCCGTCACGTATTTTACTCGTCTACTAAACAATGAATAAGAACGCTATTGCTGTTGATGCAACCACTGCCGCCATATAAAAATTGTATAAAAAAATAGTCAGCTAAGCTAACCGTTCGATTGAGTATTGTCAAGAACTATGGGAAACGCTTAGTTACAGTTCCGCGTTCAGCTTTGTCTCTATTATTAAGCTTGATACATTGTAAGCGTGCATCCAGACCATAGCAGTGAAGAAGATTTTTTTGCTACTTTTTTTTTTCGTCTGCTGTTCGTGGAATCGTCAAACGATGCGCAGACGACGACAACAAGGGCGCTAGTTTGGTCATCTCATATAGTCTGCAATCAGATACAACAGCAAGTAGATTTTTTTTTCGAATGTTTACAAAAAACGGATACAATCAGCGGAAAATACTATATGATACAATCTTTCCTAGTCTAACATTAAACAAATGATATTCTTTAAATTGATGGAAATGTTGACAACATTGAATCTTTCTTAAACGATTAACGAGATTAAAAAACGATTTTTTAGCAACAGTCTCAGCAAGACTTGCGATCTTTACGCGTACGAATAGTGTTATAGCGTGAATCGTGAGTAATTTCGCAAAGTAAGCTATTTCGTCTAAGATGCCCTAGTCTATAGTGGGTACGCCCACTCTTACCTTACCATTTTAAGCAGCTCTTATTGAATTATCGTTTCATTTGCTTGAGTTGACTTGCTTATAAGGACACCAAAATGTAATACACAAGGTGTAGCATCTCTACAATTGGCACGCAAGCCGTTCAGTTCCCGCCGTAATCAAACCCATTCTTAGATCGGTGTGGCTATTAGATGCGCGAAGACATCTGAAATACGCAAGATCGTCATCAACAGCAGAGAACTGCCCGATCCAAACTCATTTCCCCTTAGGGATAGCGTGACCAGTCGGAAGAATGAATCGTGACCTTTAGTTAGTCTATTGTCTAACGGTAATATGTGCGTGCGACATCGCGTGTGTAACTGTTAGCTGACACACGTAACGCGCCTGAAGTAGAGACTAGCTCCCGATTGGTGAGCTATTTTCCCATATCATCAAAGGAAGTTTAATGAAATTTCGAGAGCGAACAGAAACAACCCAAGGATGACAACTACCATAGGACGAAGAAAATAGTTTTGCAAAGATAAATGTTATGATAACTCAATACGGCAGCGTCCTTGCGCGTGAGTGCAAGCTTGAGGGGGTGCTTGAAGTCACACCAAATCAGGTCGACCCTAACAAGTTATACAAATGTCGCGTTTAGATTGAACACAAATAGATATATTTCGATGGCTTCGGCCAGTAATCGTTGTATATGACACGTTAAAATCAAAGGCTGCTAAAAAACATGGGGCAGTCAACAATTGGCCTTTGCCAAGGTAGTGATGATAAGAAATCCTACTCTTTTTGAAAAAAAGACAAATCGTGCGTGATAAAGTTGCACAGATGTCTCCGCATTGACATCGTAGGTTCTCTAGTTAATGAACTTGATTTTTGATCACCACTTAAAAGCCGCTAGTTCAGAGAAGAGTGAGCAATTTAGGCGATGGTGTTCCCGGTCTGTCATTGCAGATCTATCTAGAATGCTGGCATTACAGATAAGAATTGATGATATTGACGTTGGTCAAATGCAACCGGACGATAGTTGTAGGAGTCAACAAATCGTTTGCAAAAATCACTGGATCTCAAACTGGGTATCGAACTCGGGACCCTTAAGGTTCGTGCATGTACACCCATATCAAGCTAGTATTTCCATTCCTTATACGTATCTGTTCCAGGTGGAAAATGTGGTCAATATGAAAAATGCATTTAACCGCCATCTGCACTACACGCTGGTTAAGGACAGGAACGTCGCAACTCCCCGCGATTACTATCAGGTTCGACTAGCTTTTTATATCGCTAATGCTAACTTCCTAGATTTGTTTACTGTACAAAAAATTCGTAATTTAACGGGCCGATTGCTCAAAACAACCACCCAGAAGTTTTCATCTAGCCTGCTGTTATCTATAGATTATAATTGTCTGTAGTAATCACACTAAATGGGACTGTTACGTATTTGATCAGTCTTTGGCCCATACTGTTCGCGATCACCTCGTAAGCCGTTGGATTCGAACCCAGCAATACTATTATGAGAAGGACCCAAAGAGAGTTTATTACCTTTCCCTCGAGTACTACATGGGTGAGTAGAGAAATAGTTAATTTATTTATCAATCTAAAATTTTCTTTGCGCCATGTTTTCATAGGTGACCCTAAAAAGAAATTCATCCAGAATAGAGTTATGTTGCACCTGTTGCAGTTAACTGAACAATTAGAGAGAACATCTGCGTCAGATATAGTTATTAATGAAAATCACAGAAACGATATACCCAGATCTACTCGAAATTATCTTCACAAGATTTTTTTATGCATGTCGTCGGATCAATGTTAAGGTGCTGAGCGACTGATATTGAGAGAGCGATATTATGTTGATTCTAATTCGATTTCGTGCATCTTTTGGTGTCAGGTCGCACCCTCTCCAACACGATGATAAATTTGGGCATCCAGAACACATGCGACGAAGCTCTCTACCAACTCGGCCTTGACATCGAGGAGCTCCAGGAGCTCGAAGAAGTAAGCTAAGACTGATAGAAAATAAACATACCTCTAGGTGCGAAAAAAACAAATAGCGTGTATTTATAGATGACACGTCAGGTTGGCTAAGTTCAACACCGAGTTAAGATACAGTTCCTTCTGCGCTGGGGGGGGGGGGGGGGAGTCGTGGAATGCTACCGAACGTGAAGCTTAAGGCATATATGTGTCAATCATCAATAATCTACTCAATCGAAGTTAGAATGACTTCAGATTATATTTCGGCGAAAACAAGTAAGGACAGTATTTGCGTAAATTGTCGTTGACATTTCAGGACGCTGGCCTCGGCAACGGCGGTCTTGGCCGTCTTGCGGCCTGTTTTCTTGATTCGATGGCCACGCTAGGTCTGGCTGCGTATGGATACGGTATCAGGTATTGAGAAGCTTTAATGGCATTCTAATCTTAGCATGAAATGAGATTTCCCGTTGAATTAAGCTTGCAGTTATTTAGCCAAATCTATCAGTGTGAGACTGTTATACCTGTAGAAGGGCTAATGATTCGAATACGCTTGTGGTTCGTACAACTATTATATATATATATATATATATATATTACGTACTTCATATACCGAATGTTTGTCGAACGCGTTTTCTTCGTCGAGTTTTAATGGTATGGAATCAAGGTCTTCATATTCAGTGTGAGCCATTACTATTCATTCGAAGCGGCTAATTTGTTATTATTACATTAAATCTTTTTTAATCTTGTATCACTACTATATGTTTAGGTACGAGTACGGAATCTTCACACAAGCAATCCGAGACAAACAACAAGTTGAGGAGCCCGACGATTGGCTCAAGTTCGGTAATCCGTGGGAAATTCCACGACCCGAGTGCGAACTTCCTATTCATTTTTACGGGCGCGTGATCGATGACAACGGCAAACGTAAGTGGGTAGACACCCAGGTGATTCTTGCTATGGCCTACGACAATCCCATCCCTGGATTCAAGAACAATGTCGTAAACACAATGCGACTGTGGTCGGCTCGTTCGCCTGTGAATTTCAAACTTCACTGTTTCAACACCGGCGACTATATACAGGCAGTGCTAGACCGCAACCTGGCCGAGAACATTTCCCGGGTCCTCTACCCCAACGACAATTTCTTTGAAGGTAAGGAGCTGCGACTGAAGCAGGAGTATTTCATGGTGGCGGCTACATTGCAGGACATCGTGCGTCGATACAAGGCATCGCAGTTCGGTAGTACCCATGCGGCACGGACTCACTTCCACGAGTTGGCCGATAAGGTGGCGATTCAGTTGAATGATACTCATCCCGCCCTCGCCATTCCCGAACTTATGCGCATCCTCATCGATCACGAGAACCTCAGCTTTGATGAGGCGTTCCGACTGTGCATTAAGACATGCGCTTACACAAATCACACAGTGCTGCCAGAAGCCCTCGAACGCTGGCCCGTCAGTATGCTCGAGTCAATTCTGCCACGTCACCTTGAGATCGTCTATCAGATCAATCAGCAGTTTATGGAACTCGTGTCTAAGAAATATGTTGGCGACTTCGGCAAGATGCGTCGCATGTCCATCGTTGAGGAGGACGGTGGAAAACGCATCAATATGGCTCATCTTGCCATCGTAGGCTCTCATGCCGTCAACGGAGTAGCTCGTATCCATTCCGAGATTCTCAAAGACGACGTCTTCCGTGAGTTCTACGAGCTTTTTCCTGAACGTTTCCAGAACAAGACGAACGGAATCACACCCCGACGGTGGCTAGTCCTTTGCAATCCAGCTCTCGCCGAAGTGATTGCAGATAAAATTGGTGAAGACTGGATCGTGCACCTTGAGAAGCTGGCCGAGCTAAAGAAGTTCGACAACGACAAGGTGTTCCTCCAAGAACTTTACAAGGTCAAGCAGGAGAATAAAATGAAACTGGCTGACTACATCAAAGTGGCTACCGGCGTCCAGGTGAATATCAACTCAATTTTCGATATACAAGTAAAGCGTATCCATGAGTACAAGCGTCAACTTCTCAACGCCCTGCACGTAATCACCATGTACAACCGTATCAAGGCCAATCCGACGGGCAATTTCGTCCCTCGAACCGTTATGATCGGGGGCAAAGCGGCTCCTGGTTACCATATGGCGAAACAAATCATCAAGCTGATCTGCCACGTAGCTAATGTAATTAACAACGATCTCGTTGTCGGCGATAAACTAAAGGTTCGCAAGTCAGAAATTTACAAAAGCTCTTTATGTGTGCTTACATTTTATAGCTCGCCATTTTCCGATATGTATATTAAGTAACTGTTACGAAGCTTCTTGATGCATCTTTGTTTATTAAATTTGTATTTTGTTGCAACGAACTTCGTTACTAATTTACTATAGGCCTCCGAAACGACCTCCTAAAAAAAGGGCGAATAGGCCCTAATGGTTCGACTTGGTTAAAGCCAGCGTGAACATTCATAACATCATTTTTACTACACAGGTAATCTTCCTTGAAAATTATCGGGTCACGCTGGCTGAGCGCATTATGCCTGCTGCTGACCTGTCAGAGCAAATCTCCACGGCTGGCACAGAGGCTTCCGGAACCGGCAACATGAAGTTCCAGTTGAACGGTGCGCTGACGATCGGAACCCTGGATGGCGCCAATGTGGAGATGCGGGAAGAAATGGGCGAAGATAACTTTTTCCTTTTCGGTATGACCGTTGAAGAAGTCGAGGCTCTGAAGAAAAAGGGTTACAACGCTTGGGACTATTACAATAGAATTCCTGAGCTCAAACAGTGCATTGATCAGATACAGGGAGGGCTGTTTTCGCCGTCGGATCCAAATATGTTTGCTGACATCTGCAATGTCCTTCTCAACCACGATAGGTTAGAATACATTTATAGTGATAATTTGTGACGTTTTGATCTTTATTATGTCAATATGTGACGTATTCAGCGTGTCATTAAAAAAACCTGAACCCTGGCTTTTAACATTAATACAATGTTAAAAGCCAGTATATTTTCAATAAACAATATACGCAGACATGTATGTCTATTTAGAAATGGCTTTGTGTCAGAATTGTAATTGCATTGAACAGACACTCTACATGTACGTAACCCCCTGTATGCACTCTGATTAAAGCGCTTCTCACTCTTTGTTACAGGTTCTTCCTCTTCGCGGATTATGAGTCGTACGTTGCCTGCCAAGACCGCGTGTCCGCCACCTACCGTGACCAGGAGAAATGGCTCAAGATGTCCCTGCACAACATCGCCTCGTCAGGCAAATTTTCATCTGACCGCACGATCGTCGAGTATGCCCGTGAAATCTGGGGTTGTGAACCGTCCTGGGAAAAAATGCCCGCCCCCCACGAACCGAAGTCTGAACAGGAGAAGTAGATGCTACGCATAGAGGACTATCTGTAACAAAATTCCTACTCCCGATTGTTGAAATCAAGTCGCAGGAACGATGGCTGCACGCCATGGGGAACCGAATGTCTAGTCCAGGCCTATTGATTACTCAAGTTACTATTACTCATTAAAAATTGGCGACAACTGATTTCAATTGTATCACGTTGGGATGTATTTATTTGCCACAGACATACTAACTCAACGATAGGAGGGGATAGGGTGTTTGGCTTAATTCTAGCGTTGTCGCCTTTTCAAATGTCTATCGAATGATAAAAGAAGACACGCTTTCACACCATAGGCCTACATATAGTAATAAAAAAATTACATGAAACAAACACGAATATGTATATGCACCTGCATATATAACTTATATCATATACCAAGCAATTTTGCTAGTTGCGGCCGCCATCGCACGGCTACGTTTCGCCTTAACCTACCGGTCAGATACGAAAGCGAGTTAAGTAACGATGAATCGTTAAGTGTACAATGAACTTGAGCAGGCAACTGCTTCCACCGTAGCAGTCGATATATAGTAACTAAAATGCGATGTGAAGTTACTCAGGTGAGAGGTGACAGGTCTGCGACGAGTGTAAATGTGTTGAATTGTAAGCTCATAAAATAGAAGACAACACAGACGAAAGAAGATCGGTGCGACATTAGGAATTTTTCGATTAGTAAGATACGACTGGTGATACTGGCCATAGTATCATTACTACATGGATTTTTTTTAGTGTATTTTGCTGAAGCTCTGGTACTCCACGAGGCACTTAATGAACTTGACAACACTGTTCAACGTAAAAACCGAGGGTAATACATCCTTTGACGATTCGTATAACGCTAATGATCATAACGCTTTCAGTCGTTAGGAGTAGGGTATGAGAGGTAGAAATAGAAAAAATTAAATATGACACAAGTATTAAAACTTCCTTTAAGTAGGCTTAACATACATATTTCTCAGGTTATCTAATTTTAGAATACAATCGTTAGGCCAAACTATTATTCTCTCAAAGAGGACAGACTGAGAGGTTACATAGCAGTTTTGAACGTGACAACATCGACACGGATCTTCGCGAACAAAATGCCGGAAATGAAAGCGGCAGGAAGCGTAATGTTCTACTCAATAATTTGATGTGTCATATGATCTTTATTTCATAAAAATAAAAATTAAATAATCAAGTGATATCCTTTTTCAACGTAGACACGCTAAGGTAGATCTGCCAGCGTTAACGTGTCGTCTTCGTTGACAAGTTTCTCTCCTGCTGCTCATCCCCACCCCAAATTTTTCATCGTTTTGGTCGGCGTTGTTGGTTACCGTATTGGACTTAGTAAAGCAAATTAGACAAAAAAAAAAAAAAAAAAAAAACGAGCAAAATTATTGCGTAGACCTTTATTTTTGAAACGATTAACGATGCCTTAACACGAATTGTTCTAACCAATGTTTCACAAATGACAATTTTTATTTACTGACAGATGTTTATTTCGAAAAAAAAAAAAGTACCGACTCTTTGCCTCCGGCTTTTTCATGGCTACGTATAGCTAAATCTGACCTCCCTCACCAACGTTAAGGTACCAATTTTTTTCAATCTAAGCAACAGTTTCTGCAGTTTCTCGTACCGATCAGAGAAACCGTCTTTATCAGATAAAATAGGAAAAAAAACCACGATAACGGTAAGGGAACAAACCAACATGAAAAGGAAATTAACTTTTGAATCCTGTTAGTGGCCGCGCGCTGCCTCTGTTTACTTATTCCTCAAATACTAAATCCGCATTGACGTTCTATATTAATATTAGTGTAATAGTACGCTTTTGTTCAGTCTGCTCGAAACGTTCTACTAACTATGATATAATAATTACAGATAGTTTGTTCGTGGTACACCTCGTATGGACGCAATTTCAAACCTATCATGAGGAATCATTGAATTTTCTAGATTGTATCATTGCCACCATGACTTTAATAAAACAACTATTTAAGATTTTTTTTTTTAAAAACGAACGCCAACGAACGCTGAATGTCTTTCCATAGATTATGTATTTTATAACAAATCCTGACAACCGATATAGATAGAACATACGAGAAATCGTACTTATTTACAAATTCTTTCGACGTTATTAATTACAATATAAATTTTACTAATTTACGCACTCAACACAAACAAACAGTAGTAATTTAGCTGCATGATTGTGACACGACCGCTTCACGTGTTATGCATGATTTGTCTGACGAATGAAACCACAGGTGCCGTTCGATCACCGTTCTAAGATATCTAGATTTCGAAATTTCAACGGGCAGGCGTCCATCATTACGGACGAGTTATAATGCTGTTTCGTTCCCGATGCTTGCTTGCCAAACACAAGGAACGAAGGCGAGGAAAAGCTCGAAAGTTGATGACGTTTAGTTGTGCCCCATTCAAACCTGTAAATTATACCAGCCTCTGGATAATTAGCCCGACAGAGAATAATTACTATGTGTTCTAGAAGAGAGTTACATTGAGAAGAAGGTTGAATTCGACTGTGCCGGATTACGCCAATTAAATTTAAAGAGCACACGTGCATCGAATTCAGTAGTACAGATAGGGGCACACTAGAACGGTATGTAGAGGCTTCGCCCCGCGTCTGTTTTCAAACTTCGTTAATAAGGAAGAAGTTCTCGGCATCCGTTTGCGACCAGCCAATTAAGGCTCTCGAACGGTGCCTTTTAGCTCGAAAAAGCGTCCTTTTCCAACATGGATAATCATCACTGCGGTCTTCATAGCGGGTCCGGCACAGTCTCTAGGCATTTTTTCCATTTTTAGCTAATCGTTACAATTGAAGAACGGTTTTCGTTAGTTGTTATTATTAATATAAAGCCTCCTTAATATTGGTAATTTAGTCATGCGATTGTGTTCAAGTCGGAGATTTAATGTAACCGTTTCAATCAATTCAACCGAGTTGATGCTAAGTCAAATAGGCTCAACTCAACTGCAGGCCAATGTTAATTCCGCCTTAGATTGAAAAACCAGCGAATATTTTTAAACTGCTGACAGGCTGTGTGATACGGTTGCGAGCATACGTATTTTGTGACACTGCCTTTTCCAGTGATAACTGCCGCTATTCTTTGATACGTGCTTCTGATGCAGTTCCTCATTGTCTTGGTTATGAATGCCACACACGAAACCCAACCCGTGATTTCACAACACGTCAAACGTTCTTGATGGGATTGGGCTTCATTGAATTAGCGATCCATGGCAACTGCTGAACGTTATCGGCAGCAGGTAGTCTAGAGATACTGCGAATTCTGTAACATGGCGCCTCATCGTACATAAAGACCTAGTCGTCGTCAGAAAATCATAAGTAGCATCTTACTCTGGGTAACCTTATCATATTCCTGCTACTCTTAATATTCCCTGTGCGAAATCCCAGGGCATTTACCATAAATAATAGACCACATAATTTTTGATAGATATTTGATCTTTGGCACAATGCTGTGTTCGGATGCTTGTTCGTCGGTACTTCTGGAAGCATGCTGGACGTTTTTCCAAGAACGTAAAAAGAACATTCTTCCGGGACACAGGCTTGTTCCCGCTTCTCAGCCTCGTTTGCCTCATGGCAACGGGTTTCGTCTCATTCGAACGTGCACCAAGGTTTCTTCCTTCGGGGCCAGCCTCTAAATCAATGGCAAAGCATAATTTCCACCACAGCTAGCCCATGGTCTTTTAATGTGCTTTGGAGATTTTTATTCAAGACGAACTCGTTCGTAAATAGCTACACGATCATCTCGCATCGTTTACGTGATAACAGCGTGAAATTTTCTCTCGTATGCATTCTGTGGAACACGAAACGTTTTAGTGCTGTGTATTTGTTTTTGCTAGTCACATGTTATATGGTCTCAGTGACATCCGTTCCTCTTCTCAGTTTGACGCGTCACGTACGGAAGTACGCAAAACATGTGACAACACCCTAATCAGTTAAGCTGACATAAGTACCACCGGCCAGTTATCCAATGCCGGCAATAGGCGTGCTAGGTGGTGCGAAAGGACACGCCGGCTTACATCCCACACTATCCGGCTATGTCGGGGTGTTACACCACCGCTGTCCTGAATACCATATGCCGTTTTCACAAGCATATCGTTTGTAGGCAGTGTGAAACATTTTTTTCAATGTCCTTATCGAATACTACCAGTGTAATTTAGTTTTCATTAGACAAAGCCCGTTTAAGATATTTGGCCCTGCGCTGTGCAACTGGCATAGTCTAATACCATTCCACTTTGTTCATCTAAGTCTACTTGATCGAGCTCCGATAGTACTAGAGGCCTATTTTATGGCCATATCTGATTTCGTTTCATTTGATGGTTGGGATTATAACATTTAAATCGCTTTTCAATTGATTTTTTTTTGGTCAGGACAACGCAATAAAACGAGACATCCGTTGTAGGTTCGGTACACAGGATTTATTCACCCACAATATCGTCCGGAAACTCTCACAGCCTGTTCGTTGTACGGTAAGTTCGAATCCGAGGTCGAAACCCTACATACCATGATAAGCACTATATCATAATATGAAAAGTACATATACCCAATTTGCGCCCGAGAGGTGACAACTGTTGAATATGGGAAACTAGCATCGTACGACAAAAGCTAGTCCGTGACTTCAGAATGAGTGCGAGTCAGCGATGTTTCAAAATCTATTCAGATGTTGGTGGCACGCAAGTAAAATCCAACCCTTCTTGCTCGTACACTAGGAAACACGTGATGCACATCAAAACCTTGCGTGCGTTATATTTGGTCACTTCATTTAAAGGGTCAATGGTATCAACTGAAGCGTGTTACAGTTAGTTCCCGGACGATGGTGAAAGGTCTTATTTGAGGGTAACAATGGCTCAAACCATCAGCATTTGCCAATTCGGCGCTGTCGCCAAGGCGGCTTCCGTTAATATTCAACCTTATTTCTTCGATAGAGGTCAGAAGAAACTGTTAGTGTGGACGAACAGTAATGCAAATTTAATGATTGATTGTTGACTATTTAGATCGTGATTAAGTAACAAACCTTAATTCTAACTGTGCTCGTATGCCCTCAACTTAGGCTACATGCCTGTTGGTATCTCTACAGATTTCGAAGTAGAAAGATCCGTGGTTTTACTTTTTTCTTCTTGATGGTATCTCGATCTTAATAAGATAGTATCAGTGCTTACACACACATTTTTTAAATACAAGCTCCGTAAGAGTATGCCACGTGCACGATAAAAACAAGCATCTTCATCGTCAACTATTATTGAAGACAGTGCCATAGGTAAACAACTATTTTCAAAACATACAAACGAATAATTTTGCAACAATTAAAAAAATACTGATATTCCATAGTTTCGAACGTGTGCTTCGAAGTTTCTTGGAGCAATTAACTCCTATACTATTACAACTCTATTACATTTCGCTGGAAATGTAATACCGAGTCGATGAATATGGATTGACAAGAGCTAACACCCCAACCATGAAAACCTCTGGACTTCACAGCTCTTTAATTGTCACTGACGGCTACATTCTCCGGAACGGGAGAGTTTTGTGCCGCTTGTAAAGTGCAACCCACATCTGACATTTTAAAAAAGAGTGTGCTTGCAAATACGTTTTATATTCAATATTATGAATCGTTCGTCGACCAACTCTAGCACATAGAATTCGATCTACTAAGCTAAGAAAAATAAAAAAAAATCAAAAAGACGACATGGATATGAAATTTCTCAAATATCAACTGTAAAAAGAATCAGTTGTAAATACTCGCAAAAATCGATGGACCTAATTAACTTCCAAGCGTCACTAACGACGACTGCCTACCCTTAATCCGTAAGCAGCGGTATATCCGCCTTAAATGTTCACCCGGTCTACTTCAACGAATGGGTGCTGTTCCCGACCTTATTGTTTGAAATCGAAATCCCACACTAGACATGTTCATGAATGTGTAGATACATAGTGTACTTTAATGGTAAAGGATTAATCAACAGGTGAACGCAGGACACTTTAATAGACGCTTGATTGAAGATAAACACTGACTGGTTGATGGCTACAATCAAAATTCATGTACAGAAAATTAAATTTGTTCAGATATATCTAATCTGATAAACCCGATCTGTTTCTAATTGCTTATCCTTTCATGCCCTAACTACTCTACTGACAAACTCTTGCTTGCACAAATCATGTAAGGATCATGAGCTATTAACGACAGGTAACTGTTACGATCTTCGGGCAAGTCAAAACCACCAACAATAGCACGCCGCTACCAGCTCAGAAAAAAAAAAAACTTGATAAAAAGAATAAACTAGCTGAAGTATCATGATAGTTGAATCTACATGAATTCGTAATACATAGCATTTAAAGTCTGAAACAGTTTTCCTTAGCTGGGTATCAACTGGCCTTTCCATGACAAGCCTCGCTAATGCCAGCCTTGTTGTTATGACTACAAGTAACTATTTCAAACCTGAATCCGCGTCTCCGCATGGAACTAAATTTCGCCACGAGACAATCTGCGCCTTGCTTTTCGGAACTACCATATCTGAATCGAGGACGAGCAAAACTGGTAGCCAGGAACATCGCCGGTGCGCAACGCAGCCAATCCTCAGCTTCGCATCCGCGTGTGATGCATCGCTCGCGGCTCGTATTAGGATAAATTATTAATTTCTACTACGGATCTGCCAATACTTTACCCAAAGGAAAATTCCCGCTAGATGCCCGGGATCGGATTCGCAGACGACAAATGGAACATTCTCTGAGTACCATTTTTAGAATTTGTTGAATTTACAACTAGTTAATTATTAGAATGTTTTTGCTCATTGAATTTTGAACCGCTGTGTAACGAGGTATGCTGCATTTAGCAGTTTCGTTAAATCAAAAAGGAAATTAAAAAAAAAATATGATTATAACTATTTTAAATCCAATTGCTAAAGTCCAACCTTTAGAGGGCAGCACAATCGCAACGTTAGTGCCCTCTAGGCAGCTTGTAATCAAGCCTCTCGGTAATCTGAATTTTTGAGAAATAATTTATTTCGATAGTCACACCTATTCCGTCATTGGTGTGAGCTCAACCCGAACTTGAACTCACGGAGATACCGGGGTAGGGGTCCACAAGAAATCTGTCCCCTTGGGTATGAGAACTAAGACACAACGGCTTCAACGCGCTGGTATTGCTCTATCCTACGCAATTTGACCCTCTGTTGTGATATGTTCGTGATCTTGAGTATCTGCAAACACCAATAGCTGATCCCGAAACGGGTAACGGACCCCCGCTGGGACCACTGCTTTCGACCGTATGTACACCATCAATTTGTGAAATTTTTGTGACCTGTGTAATCCTTGTTGATTTGTAGGATGGATAGTCTTGCGGCGTTAGCCGAGGACTTCTAGATGAGTGTTATTCACAGATAACTTTAACACGACTTGTGAAGAAGGTGTCGGCGGATGAATTTGAATAGCAGGATAGAATTTGATGCCAGTCATCAGCTGAATCCTATGTGTGTAGATCAATGTAGGCTTTACCATTTTTTTGTGAACTTCTCTAGCAATGCTAATTGTGGAGTAAAGCAATGCTTTTTCAGGGCTTGCAAGTGACACAACGAACAATTAGAAATTAAATCGATTAGTTTGCTACGTACTGGCTCAGTAGTTTTTTGGGGCCAAGCGGTTTTATGAACCGGAAGGCCAAGCAAATCTTGAATACGGCCTTGACTCAAGATGAATGTAAATCAGGCCTACTTCACATCCAACTTGTTGGACTGATGAGGACCGGATTGCCGAGTCTTTCCCTTTGACAGCCCGCTCGATCTATCTGAAGTCATCCCTCAAGATCCTCGCCACGACAAGTGAAGTACAACATGCCTTTCGAGCTGGCAAGTACAAGACGATATGTGTTGCGACACAATTAGTCCGTCAGATAGGTGTCGTTGGCCATTTTCGTTGTACTAATTAGCCTGTTGACATCACGGCGTGCTGTAAACTTGGCATGTTCGTGCGGAAGTGTGACAAAATGTAAACTCATTGATTGTTGGTTAGCAGATGTGGTGGTGCTGCCACAACATGGCGAAGTCGGGTTGCGGGCTCAGAGTATTTGTGTCGATGGGTGCGGAATACGCTTGCCACTGTAGGCCGTTAGAGATTGCAAGGGAGAGCATCGTGTATAGAAAGTAGTGTTTTTGCAGATTTCATTCACACCGATTAGCTTACAATAGACAAAGTTTGATGTCATTTCAGATACCAGCAGCGTGATAGAAAGGTGTGGATATTTGACCTGTCGAACGATCGAAATCGATCCCTGAACAGAAACACACTTAAACGTTTGAGCTCTCTGGGACGACATGTCAGAAGTGCAATAACAAGTTGCGCCGTGAAACCGCTTTCAAAGAAGCCAACACCATAATGTCTGCGTTAAAATCGGCAAAAATTGTTTTTTTTTTTTAGCAAAACAGAACCCGTTGCGAAAAGCAAAGATTCAGAGACTTCGTTAGTCGAGTATATTACTGCGAAGACCAGTATTATAAGACCCCTTCCAAGTAAAATCTGAACGTACTTACATCGTAGCCTAACACTGATTACCTTAGTTCTCAAGAATCGGCTAACAGAACTCAGTACAGAACAGCTATTATTATTGGGACTGTTTTCCGAGAAAAAAAAAAGCTCAAGTCAGCAACGTACAACGACGAACAGGAACGTGCTTCTCGGCAACGCTGTCGTCACACAGCAGTTCATCACATTGGACGAACAGGGTCTCTATGATTAGGTATCAAAGAGGAACTCTACGTCTATCTAAAATGGACGCTTTCGACCGGAACGAAGGCCGAAAACCTAAACGTACGAGCGGGTTGTTTTAGAAACTAATTTCTCTATCAGGCAATGTTCAACAATCGATGTTTCATTATTTGTTGCTTTTCCTGAAGCCATTTCAGAACTATTATACGAGTTGCGCCTGTGACGCGATATCTTTTCTTTATACACACGCCAGATGCGTTTTAATTCATAATAACTACCAATGCATATTATCATCACAGGCACAGCTGAATGAATTTTATGTGACTTTTTATATTTCAATTTATCGCATAAACTATAACTATTTCAGAAGCAGCTAACTGGACATGGCACCACCTAAACGAAGGCTTGATGGAGGTCAGTTAATAACGATTAACTTCAGCAAGAATTTTTATTTCGTTTTAATTGAGTAGCTCGGAAATGCTTTACACTTTAGATATAAATACTACATCGCAATTTGTATGGCTCTGCTCCCTATTATCACTTGTGCTCTACTAACAGAACCGCCTAGAAAGCGGGGTCGGCCTTCGAAGGCAGATTTGGCAGAACGTGAAAGACGTCGCGAAGCGTTGGCGCTTGGAGGATGCGCCAGATGCGGCGGATGTACACGGCAGCATGGTACGTAACCAAAGCGATTGAAGCCGTTTTGGCGACTTCGAGGGACAGATTCAGTAAGCGTTTCGCGTAGTGTCACATGAGCGAAACACCATATATGTCGACTATAGATGGACAGTTTCACGAAGAGCAGAGCAGCATATCCGATTCAATTCCTGATCAGTATGTTGAATTACAACAAATAAATGTTCTTGTTGTTGTTGTTGTTTGCTCTTTCATTGTTCAGATTTTTTTTGATTTCAGCAAAAAGCGAATCTATAAATTTCAGATCAGCTGGTTGATACTGATGATCTAATTGTGACGGTGCGTCTTACAGATTGCGAACAATGTGTTCCTTGCCAGAACAGGGCAAACCGCATTAGGGCATCATCAGATCCGAATGGAGGCTGTTCGTCGTCCTTATTGTCATCCTTGGATGGCGAAATTTGCATTATGCGTAAATGTGAATTACTTACGGAGGACTCTGACGTATTCAAGGTAAATAGAGAACAACAGTGTAAATTTACTAGTTGCAACTGTCCTCGTAAACAATCACAACCATCAGCCGTTATTTCTTCATTCACTTACGCTCTTCTTGGTGTATGACAAATAGGAAGACTGTCATTTGGCCCAGCTCCTGCAAACACAATTATCGATAGAATCGGTAAGCGTTCATTAATGAATGCATTATAGAATTTATATGCATTCAGATTCATTTCTTCGACCAGCAGCAGTAGAAAGCTTTCACTGAAACCTCAGTCAGCCGCATCGCATTGAAGAATAGAGAAGATCAGCCTATTGAATCGACGCGTAGAAGGTGCGATTATTGCACAAGTTCATATTAATTTTCCTATTCTATGGAAACGAATGACGGATTGCGCGAATCTTGTGTGCAGGCAATTGGGGACCCGCGTTTAACCTTTCTGGGTGCGGAAGATGTTCACACGTCACGGCCTAGAAAACAACAACCACATCTCCGACAAACTAAACCTAGTAAGTAAACAGTTATGGTGGCCTTTGCTTAGGCAAAAACGCCCTCTGTAACTAGCAGATGCTCAACGATGTCGATCAATTGTGCCAAAATAAACCAAAAAAACTGTTCCTATTCCGGTGGACTATGATGAACTTTTTCACGTTCTGCTCTAGCTCTCACCGAAGACGAGAAGGAATACCTGGCCAATCTTGTCGGCAGCAATACAAACAGGCGTCCTACCATACCAGCTATCCTCAAACGAAAGGTGGATCTTTTTTTTATTGGTTTAGATGAATATGCGTGCAAGTGGGATACAATAAATAGAAATGAAAACAAGTCATTTTTGTTTTTATGTAAATTTTTCTAGAATACCCAATGACATGAAACATGACCGCAGTTTGTTTATTAAAGGTCATTTACTTGTCGTTGATTTTCGTATTTGCCATTTTATTGAGTCGTCCTACTTTTAATAATCCTTACACGCAAGCGGTCAATGACTGTTGAGCTCGGCAATACCGTTCCGAACAGCGGGCAATCGTCTGTCCTAACTGATGTAAGAGCAACTTCTCAAGAAACTGCCCCAGCGAGCGGTGTATCGACCATCAACCAGTCTGCAATAACAGCCGCAGTTCAAAGTGGACACCCGGTAAGCGGCCAACAAATGAATCTTTTCATAGCAGTTGCTCTTCTCTGTCTAATAACAAAGGTGGTTACGACGTTGTACATTACTTGTAGCCAGTAGAAAGTAGGTTTCTGCGGATAGTGAGGCACACAATCTGAAAGTCCTGAGTTTATCTACGAACTAGATATCGGACTATATTAGCCTGTTATAGGACAAAACATAGATTCCCCAAATCCTTACATGTATGACCACCTGCGCAGTCAAATGGTACCGCACTATGAGACAGTTTTTGTTTCTAACAGGTGCTTATCGTAAATAGCGACCAGCTTTCGCTTCTTGAGAACTCCCAAGAGATCGTCGTTATGCAAGGTTCGGACCCTAAAACACTCGAGGTTTGTGTCTCCTACCAGCTTGTGGTAGCGTCAAGAATTCATTTGACATAGGCTCTACCTATGAAGCGTACGATCCTTCGAAGGGGGCTCAGGCTAGTTCTGCTTTGAATCATAAGGCGGAACCACGCTTTTAAAATCAGTTCATCTACTTCTAATGATAATTATTACAAATATGCAATTGCATTGTATAAAAAGAACGTGACTATATAAAGCTCTGGCGTGTTTCTGATGCTCAGAGCACAATTAGTGCGACACCCAATCATTGCGATGACCCAAACTCGAAAATCTGTTCAGCAGTAATTCTTTCATTTTCTAGGTGTCCGTGGTTCGTTTAAACGATGAAAGTAACAGTTCAGCAGGGGCAGAGGTCTGGATGTTGGGCCAAAACGTAGAGGTAAGTTCACATTTGCACCTGTCATGTAGGTCGCTCCGTCATTGTATTTTCTACGTTGTTTTAAGATAATCATGATTAACTTCAGCTTGAGTTAGTGTTAGCTTATTGTAGCAAGCTCGCACTAAGGTGGTATCCAAATCTGCAACATTGTTTATCATGCACCTGCCTTATTCACACACTGTTATGAGTAACTGTGGAGAGTTTCACAAAACTCTAAATAAAATTAAAGATAAACTGACACCGACGAAATACGCCTTCGTCCAGTGTTTGGTCAAACCATAGTGCGTTGAACCCTATTAGCAGGCAGTCGAGGAGGGAGTGTCCGTAGAGGACTTTGATGGAACTATTGAGTATGACGAGGAAGAAGATGGCTACGATCCTCACAGAGTTCGTGCACACATCACCCGTGGAATCGGCGCTTTTGGTAAGGACCAACCCGGAAACGACTTACCTACCTACCTACCTATGAGCCTACATCTTTAATAATGTGACGCGGACAAAGTATTGACATTTACCTGACTATGTTTTGATGACCATTTGTCTGATGCTTCCTATACGATGAAGCACCTCGTAACATGGTGGTTTCTATCACACGAATAGCGATTATTTTGCGGAACATATAACTATATCCATAGGCTTATAATAATAATAAGTTAATCATGTGCGGATCATGGCCCGTAACGTGTGAACTCGTCGAAGTAAATGTTTCTTCTTTGCTAACACAAGGGCGAAAACGGGTCATTCCTGTAGCTGCTACACCATCGCCAAATGCAAGTGCTCATGAGTTTTTAAGCCCAGAGCAACGACATTTACTTGCGCGGAAAAAGGGACGCTCAAAGTTATTATCGACGCCTCGTCAGCGCAAGAGTCGATTATTTGTCGTCGCGGAAGATGGAGCTACAATTGTGATTACCGGAGCAGCAATCACAGATCGCGCTCGAGCTGTCGAGATTGCTGACGAGAAAATGCCGTACGTCCGTGAGAAGATGGCAATCATACAAAATGCTGCTAACTTAGGAAGCGCAGGGGGCAGACAGAAGGGATCCGGACCGAGTCGAATAGGACAAAACAAAAACTTACGGTTGCAGCATCAGAAATCACAGGTTTGAGAAATTTACGAATCATAGTATAGAGTTTAAGAGTACCTCTTCTGCGATTCAAGATGTCGCACCTTAGGATTGTAGTGTATTTCCATTTGATGCATACTTGTAGGGATGTAATCTAACAAGTATCTATAGAATATTAGTACGTAACATTATTTCTACTTTTTTTCAAACTAGTCTCGTGCGGAGGATATAGGTCCGGCTCCAGCATCCGCCCCACATTCAGGAGTCAAGATCGAAGACGCGGTGGCGCAGCCTGAAGTTCCGCCTCAAAAAAGTAAATTAATTTATGTGCTTTAAGTAAAAGCACATAAGACTTATGGGGTCTTAATATCTAAAAAAAACAATCAATTTAAGCATTACAGGAGTTGTATTAAACTAATTCGGACGTCGTTCAAATAAGCTTTATTAATATATAAAATAATAATATTTATTAATGAAAATTTCTATTTTCAATAACACAATATGGACCATCAGGTAGCGGAAATAGCAATCTGGTAATGGCACTGGAAGACTGTACGACGGACGTAGCGGATATGGGCTCAATGCAAAAACTACCCAATCAGATCCAACTGGTCGAAAGCGATCTTCCGCTAGCAGAAGCTGAGAACGTACATTACCTTCTAGGAAATTACCTCTTCAGGTGACACCCACGTCGCATCATATCTGTACCTATTGTGGAACAGCGTGTCTTCGTAACTTTTATACGGTTTAAGTTAATGTCTACGATTGTCCAACCCAGCTGTCAAGTAGACTGATTTCATTTGTGTGTATAATGTAGGTCGCAAATACCTGTCAATTTTTTCCACCACCGCCTCTGGCTTTATTATGCTAAAAAAAAAAAAGTAAAAAAAAATTGAGGTATATTTCTTAGGTTGGTGAATACGAACAAGTATAATTTGGAAAATTTACACTGTTCATACAGATGTTTTACTGCGTTTGACACCATTTGACAACGATAGAAATATATCGAAATGTAAATTCTGATGAGATTGGTAGATTGTTACCAAATCAAAAGATCCGAGAATTTGTGGTAGAAAATCCCCTGGCTATGATGCCAGTGTATGCATTCGAATTTAGCAATAGTTGTGGATTATTCCACACACCATTTAACGCGTCAAAATTTGCGGATGTGGTTTTTTCAGGCAGATGTACTCATCACAAGAGCCTCTTCGGTGCTTGATTTGTAAAGATGAAGTCGTATTTTCTCAGCTGATCGACCTAGAGAAGCACTATCAGATGACTCACGATGTTCAGACCGTTAGCGTTAAAGCTGAATTTTCCGATTTAGCTGTTTTTATTTGCCTGCCAGATGATGTTACCGAGGAAACCGTTTTAAAGTCAACTTGTCAGTAAGTAGTTACTTGTACGCTGTGAATTAATAACCGGAAATTCGATGTGCATGCTGTGTATACAGGTTGAAGACCGTATCACAAATTACCACGACCTGACACCCTCGAACTAGCAGGGTCATTTAAAAATGGATGCCAGTTAATCAAAACGACACGACGTTTCTAATTTACTTCTAGATTTTGTAGCGCAACTCTTCGAACTTTGGTTGAAGTGAGAGATCATTACATGTCGCGCCACCAGCGCTGCGTGAGGCACATTTTCGAAGGTCAACTAGCCAATCTGTCGACATCTTTTTACTGTTCTACTTGCAATTTCGCCTCGGCCACCTTCGACCTTCATCATGAACACATGAAGACTGCGCATCTATCGATGACCTTCGTGTGTCGCTATTGTGACTACTTCACCCCCCGACCCGGCCGCCTGAAGGTCCATGTTAAACAACGCCATCTACACGGCCAGACAGGTCTGAATCTCCAATGCGTCATTTGTTCCGTCTACGTCCACGGCCGAGACCGCCTGCTAAAGCACGTGCTGCTGTCCCACGCGGTTCAGACCGGCCCCACGATCTGGTCCTGCTCGATGTGTCTCGAATCAACTACCGGCCATGACGATTTACTCGACCATATGGCGAAGTGTCCTGAGCACTTGAAACAAACAACAAACGACGACAACAAAGCAACAACAAATGGAAACGAACTGGTAAGATTAGAGGAGCGTGATGACACCTTCAAGTGTTCTCAATGCGATCAGACGTTCACGCGCAAAGAAGAACTTGACAGGCACGCTATTGAAGCGAAGTGTGAGTCTAACGTAAGCTATTTATTACTCTGATCAACAAAAATGATTGCCTTTTAAATCGTGACTAACAGGTCGGCTCTTTCAAGCCAAACCATATTATATTCAGGCTGTGTGGAAATGAAGAGTAGAACATAAGGAAAAATCGATTTCTTCATTATTGTGGCGACGATTAAGTTTAAGTCGGTTCTCGTCCGAAAAGGTGTTCCGGACGATGGCGACAACGACGCAGAGGGCCTGGATGAACGTGCTAGTACGTGTTTCCTCTGTGATTTGACGTTCAAGAACTCGGAATTAACTGCTCAACATTTACATCATGTACACATGAAATGGATCAAGAGGACGGTCCGTTCCGCTGATAAGGCGCCAGAGGTCGCTACACAGGTTAGAAATGGAAATGGAAAAAAAATTAAGATTTGATTTTGTTTCTTCCCCAATGGTATTTGTCAACCTTTACTAAGAACTATTGTAACACTATATCCGAAGATGGCGCTGATGAACAACTAGTACTGAATAAGAGTACTAAGAAGTCAAATTTTCGCGCGCCAAATTTTCGTTGCGCAGCATTCATCCTATTAATGTCATTTTTGCCCACGCCACCCATGACGATCGTCTATGCGTTTACGTATTTGCCAAATTTGATTTGCTGATTTAGTTATGCCCGCTCAACGATGCCACAGAGGTAATAATGGATCCAAGTGCGATGCTAGAACAAAACGAAATACCAACCGACGCTCAGCTAAAAGAGATGGGCTTTCCAGAAAAGGTTGGCCATTATTGTCACCTTTGTAACGTCGTCATCAAAAGCTATACTCTGTTCTACCTACATATGCATAACCTGCATGGCATGTTAAAAAGATTTACGTGTGTTGTCTCCAGCTGTTCGAATACGTTTGATGATAGTGCAGCATTTCAGATCCATGCTGGAATCCATGATCAGCGGTAAGTAGGTCAATTCCAGACCCTCGCCTAGCCCTCTTTGTCAATGCTCATAGTAGAGGCTTGCGAACAATGTATCCTGTGTTCTTGAAGTTGATTATGGACCGAAGTGTAACCAAAGTATTTAGGTTTAGATTGTTCATATTTATTGATTCTTACGCAGTTACAATAACTTCCAACTTCCCTGCATTAATCTGCAGATCTTTGCAAGGCAATTAAAGCTTGTAAGTATGAGCGATTATAGATCTGCAGAATAATGGAGAAAAGCTACACAATTACGCAATATCTAGTAAGTATGTTTACATTTTCATTCTTTATCAGGACAAATCGTTTTTTGTCTCGGCGTGTTTCTAGTGGTTCGAACGGTTTGGTCTCATAGTCAACAGGCCCGAGTTCGTTACTTCGGGTCCCTTTATATTATCTCTACAATCAACATCTTTTTTTTCTGTAAACTAATTAACTGTGTGTTAAATATGTTTCTGCAACGCCAGTTTTCAATTTCTGATTCGCTGTTTTGACCTTGCTTTAAATGCTCGACTCGGCTTTAGGGCAGAGCATTTCTGCGCAATGTGCGACCTAATTTTCAATACGAGCGATGAACTGCAAGAACATTTCATGAGTCCGGAACATGCGACGCAGCACATGCGTGTACAAGATCAATATAATCGTTCTGAACCGCACAATTACTGCTGTCGTGTATGCCATACGTGGCATGGACTTATGTCGACTTTCGTGCGTCACATGGAAACCGAAAGCCACCAGTATCCATGTCAGCATTGTGGACAGATGTTTGTACAGCCAGCACCACGCCGGAATCATATCCGTAACGTGCATCCAGAACTAGCTCATATATGCGAAATCTGCGGAACAAGCGCCCCATCGGCCCAGGCGTTATGGTCTCACCTATCACAGCACAGTGTGGTTCATGAGTGCTCGAAATGCCACCGGCGTTTCCTTCAGAAAGAACAACTTCTAGCTCACATGGAAGCGCACGCCCCACCGACACCTTGTCCATGGGAAGGCTGTAATCGGCGGTTGAACACGAAGGTTTGAATGCATTTAGTCAGTTACGACATCATTCTGGAGCGGGGCGCGAATTTTTCAAATCGTTTGCAGTTACTGCTCGACTCTCGAAACTTAGAACTAAGTAGAGATGTAAAGGGTTATTTTCTCATTAGTTTGCCCAGAGTCACACTTCATTCAAGCGAAAAAGCTACTCTTAGTTCAACGTGTTTAGTAGACAAACTTAGAAGTACGTGGAGGTCCAAGCTCAAAAGCTCAAGGCTGCCACGCTTTGTTTTGTGCTGGGAGCCAGTTGGGTAAAGTAATTGTCGAACTGCTGAAGTGCATAGAATTTACAGCGTATATTCGCTAACTTTCAGCGAAATGTTACTTGGCTGACTTTTGATTACAGGTTGGATTGTATAACCATCTCCGTCTTCACCGGGGGGAGTGTGATTTCAAATGTCCAATTTGCGAACGAGGTTTCTTCAAAAAGAAGTATTTAGACATCCACCTCAAAAGCCACGAGAGCCCTAGAACTATGCCTTCGGGCGGGGGAATCCCTTTGTTGGGGTCGCACGGCGGCTTGCTTAAGCCTCGAGTAAATGGCGGCGGTAGTGCCCCTGAAGTTCGGCTAATCTGTGCCGGATGCCTAAAAGGTTTTGATTCAGAGAGTGACTTTAAGACACATGACTGCAGCTCGACATCAATGCCTGATCAGCAGAGATCCGATCAATCAATGAGCGATACTAGCGAGCAAATAAATCTAAATCCATCGATTGAGGGACAACAGCAGAACGTGGAAAAGTTAGTGCCTGATTTTTTTCGGTTCGGTTCACACGCAGTACTAAATTCTGCTTACGTATCGGTTACGGAATTGTCCCCTGTGCAAATCGATTTTATACTGCTGCTCAAATTGACTGCTATTTTAACGTTTGGATATTTGTAATTAATTTTTGCTGTCATAGATAGGCCTTAGTATCCGTAATGTCTCGTCTATCCCGTTGTATCTAGTCTAATCTTCATTAACCTGGGTGTCCTATGCATTGTCAAGTGCTTACATATTGATCACATTTTGAAATTGTCTGGATTTTTCTCACTGTTTCAGTTCCGAAGATTTAGCAGAGTTCTTGTCAGAAGGAACCGCTGGCGGCCTACTGGATACATGTCAGGACAACACTGTGACAATTCGCAAAGATCTTGCCAGAGGGGAAGCCTACATTACAATGCTAGAAGCTGGAACGCAATTCAGTCTCGATGTTCAAGGGGACATAGATGGTATGGCAAAGGTTTTTATTCAATTAGGGCACAAAAGCCTTAAAATCAGGAAAATGCTATCAATCAATTGAGACAAATTAAGCCGCAATCTCTATTGCTGGTATTGCCCTTCTGTCAATTTCTCCGGCTTTCAGCTTTGCAACCATGCTTCCCCCCTAAGTTTACTTTCGTATTCCGTAACCTCACTTATTAATTAGTTACAGCGAATTCCTAATTGGAATAGGTTACGGTTAGAGATGAAGTGATATCAGTTCGTTCTGTGTAGTGACGAATTAAAAAGACGGATGCAAGACCCTTCCGAATTGTTACGTCCCGCAATCTGCTCCAGGCATCGACGAGATGGATGAGGAAATGGCCGTACAGCTTGTTCGGGCTGCTGGAGGAGCTGGAGTCACACATTTGCAGGTAGATAAAGGCGGCCGAGCAGCACAATATAAGGTACTCGCCTATCGTGAAAACAGATTAGGTGAAGACGCCCATGTAGACGCTTTTACACTGGATACGGCTCAACCTGTTGATAGTACCCATAAACAGCATGACATGGACATCATTTTGGAGGAACCGCAGGAAAATCTCGGATTGTCACACCTCCCAGATGCCGTACATTCGATGAACGAGCCAACTGGCGAAAAAAACGACACGGTACGACACGCTAGTAGTCTCAGTGCTCTGTTTAGATATTATAGATTTTAAACAAGGTCGATCATTTTCACCTTTGGTAGGTATCTTAAATATATGCAACATAAAAGCAGCACCAATTCAACAAATGAAGAAGACATTAAATAGCAGACAGCGCTACCATTACGTTGTTATTCGTTATCCTGTTCAAGTAAAGTGTACTTGGACGTAAATATACGTCGTCTTGCTTACAGACCTTCCGCAGCGGACATAAGTGCAGCTTTCATTCGGCTCCATTAGCACACACAGCATGGTCCAACCAACCCAAGCATTGCGTAGTGCACGTCGGTCCTTTTTGAGGCCAATGACAACAATTTCGGGTTGGCCTTAGCCACCCGTTCCTTCCGTCGTAGCATGACTTCCGGGTAGACTGGCATTTAGCGGTTATCATAAAATGTATGCAGAGCCAGAGCTCTCATGGAAAAAGCGGGCTATACCATGGCTAGCCTGTAACTAGCCCAGATGAGTTCAAAGTCGTATAAGGCCGCTGATGTTAGCTTGAATTTGGAAAGCGACCGTTTTTTTTTTTAACTCCTTCCGCTACATGGAGTTCCGCGGCTGGGTAAAGTCAGTGCCCAAAAATGCTTCACGTATTCTAAAGGCGCGCAGGGCAACCGGTGTTATTTGCTGATAGTCGCCTCTCGGGCTTTGGTCCCATTTCAGCCGCCGTCCGGCACGTACAGGTGAAGGCGGACAAATGGCTGCTGAACCTCTTGCTCACTCGTAGATTGCGAAATCATCGGCGATCTTTATGGAAATTTTTACCTCAGCGAATTTGGACTTGCTTTCCTAGAGGAATTTCGAGAATTCTAATGGTCTTGAAGCGTTTCTTTTTCAGATAAGCTAAATGCATTAGATTAATAGAGGATACACTAGTCCAAGCATTCGCCGCCAAATTTGAATTATTTCTAAGTCAGGCCTTGCCTATGTTTTTGCATAATGTGACACATCTTTTACAGCTATCGATGCCAGATTTGACAAGTGCCTTAGATTCAGTCGAGGCCTTTGCAGCAGGTGAAGATGAACTTGATGAGGCTGCCAGGTCGATGGACGAACATTTGGACCTGGTGCTGGACCATGTGGAAAACGGGTCCGGTGATCACGCTCTGACAGAGGCATTCATACAAGATCACGTTATGCAGGATCCAGTGCAACACAATGTAACTCAACACGATGTACAAGTGCCCTCCTCACAGCCTGGTAGCAAATCTTTGTCTGCATGATTCGTTGAATGCATTCGATCATGTATCATTGAAATGATTTTAGCTTGTAGCCGAGGTGTTGTCCGATAGCTAGTAAACAGGTAGATATACCGATAACTCAGGTTAGTAATAACCTGAGTTCGGTATATTCTTGGTAATTAGTACAGAATCTATAATGCTATACTATTTGCAGGAACAATTCAATGCAGTAGTGATCCGAGCAGTTCTCAGTCAATGCTCGTTACGATCGGGAATCAAGAGCTGGATATTACAGTTCCCGACGGTGTGGATCCCCAAAGCTTCGCCTATAGTAATATAGTTAAGGTAAGTAGTGTTGTACGCCGTTATCTATACCCTCCAACGCGGGTTTTACCTTGGGCCTTTTTATTATTTTCCTATATTTATGTAAAACAGGTGACGTATATTAGCAGCCGGCTATCCTCGATTAGTTATAACCAAATTGCTTTTTCCGCAACGTATTTAATCATGCGGCACACGTTAAGCACAATAATAATCGTGTTAATAATGATCCTAGTGGCGCAGCGTTGTTTTTAAACGTGAAAGACGAGAGAGAAAAAAGAAGTTGCGATTTTCGGCCGAATTAAAATTATATTCTATCTGGAAAACAAATATTTCTGTTTGGATCCCTCGCAGCTTTTTTCAAAATTGTTATACCCACAAAAAACAGCCCAATCTGAGCACTTTAGAATAGAAGCCGCTTTGGGTCTGACTGCTAGAGACCAGATGTTTGCCTTTGATTTAACCCGTTTTCCTAGGGCGTAGTACGTGAATAGGGTCGACCACCGACTGAGCTCTCGATGACGTACGTAAGTCGAGATAACCTTTGAGCGATTTCTAATAAACGTTATGGTTGATTATTGGTATCGACCTCGTTAATCTATTTTTTTTTCTGGTAGGTTGTCAAAGCTGTTTTTTTTTCTTAGTTAGGGTACTAAGTCTGTCCCCAGCGCGTTAACTAGGCATAAGAACTTTTTTTTTGTACTATACTCTACGCCAAATGAAAGTATAGAAAAAAAGATGTCTTAGTTTATGTACTGCCAGTTGATCTATTGTCACTATTCCCGGGTCGTTATTAAGGCCTAAGTAATTTTTTTGTAATAACATAAATGTTTCGAAGTCGTCTTCGAAAATGAATTAAAACGCTTTTATACTGAAATCAGCTCTACAGATATTCACCTTAACGTTTCAACTGATATCCACTTTAATAGATTAAAAAAATGCATCAATTTTCATCCGATTATCGTCTTCGATTGCCCATATGTGCTAAAAGGATATGTATTGCATATAGAAGTTTCCTTCACGAGGCATGTTCTACTTCAAATACATAATATCACTCAGCTTATCAAAAGCTCTCATTCCTTGAGAGCTTCCCTACGTAGACTTCGAGGTAATTGGTATTCGGCGTATGAACGTTTTCATTTCATGGTCAAAAAAAAAGGCCAAATGCCATTACCATTCGATTTTGGTCTTTTTTTTTAAATCGATTTGAGCTGTAGAGAAATACGCTGCATTTTCACTCTAGCAGATCTCAGATCTAGCAATTGTTAAGCGTAAACATTTGGCGTCAACAGAATTACGCCTTAACGTTCCGATGTTCTATATGGCGTTGTTTGATAGAAATGTTCTCCCGTATCCCACCCTTGTCATGTAAAAGGAACAAATGCCACATATGGTTTCTCGTCTTTTCTAAGCTTAAATGAAAAAAACTCATGTGTTTAGGTTAATCTGTTTGAGGTCATCCTAAACGCAAGAGTTGTATTCTTTCTTACTCGGTTCGTCTGTCGATGGGTGGCGAAAATTCCCCCCCCCCCCCCCTACGTAGGACACCGTGGTCAGTGTCCAACAGGAACATGTATAGCGTTTAGATGAAGCTCATCGATGGTTTCCGAAGAAGCATGACCTTTATGTCAATAGTCGGCTACATTTTGTCAAGTCAAAAAGATCATGAATTGTAGTTTGTCGCGAAGTCAACAATCTTCTCTATGAAAGAGGTTCCTAACAGGAACGAGAACTATTGTCCATCAGCCGTAATACGTTAAGATGAGATTGCATTGTTTCACGTGAAGAAAATTATTCATACAGTCGGATTGTGACTGTTCTCCATTAAAATCATGTTGGCAAATCGAGCAGGAGTGTTGCATTACTCGCAACGTCCACTTATTAGAGCTTCAAAGACAAATTACCATCCAACATGAGCGTTTCTTGACGTATTCTCGACATTTGTCGAGCAAATTGTTAAAACGGTTAATTTGCCCAAATAAATTTTATGCTGTATGGGAAAAAGCCCTTCCGGTAAAAGTATCTATGCAATCAATGAGATCTATGCCGAGGTTATGTCGCTTAATATTGGGAATTTGCGGTTTTTCCGTTACGTTTTTCGATATAAAGGTAAGATGGTCGTTGGCCAAATGCCTTATATTTTGCAAATTATGAACCATATTAACCAAATGTAAGAGTTGCGTTTCTCTATGAGAAGAAACTTCTTCCAGAAACGTGTTTTCGCGCTTAGATATAGACTAATTTCGCCGACGACGAAACATCTAGGCAAATATCACAGTCTTTTATTCTATAGAAACCTTGCTCATTAAATCACGCACAAAATACACACACACACATTTTAAGATACACTAATGCAAGGATGCTGGTGGCTTCATATTTATGAACGATTTTTCGAATTTGTTTTTAAATAATGTGCGAAGTGGGACTGTGGGCTCGGTTTACGATCAATCAAATTTCAGGAGCAACATTTATTCGCAGAGAATCCAGCTCAGTCCGGGTCGTTTTAGGTTGAACAAACCAGAGATTTTTCGTAGGGTTGACAAATAGGTCTATATAGCCGCATACGCTTGCTGAATTAGGGGCATGCAGTAGTCTAGGCATAGACAGACAGACCTGCTGGGAGCCACCCGTCTGATGGAATGTCTAACGGCGATACCGGGCGTAAAGCTCGGAAGATAGAGGGTCGAATCTGAGCGTAGACATTGATTCTTGGTGATAGTTAACCACCTAAAATAATGCCTAACGCTTCATCTGCCGGACGTAAACACGATGTACAGGGTGATACGTCTAAACTAAGAAATGGTCCTGCGCTTTGTTTCCAAGAATGTATCCAAACCAAAGAATCTTATAAGGAGACCTCATACGCTAGAAGTGTCATTCCTATTGTGCGCTTTCCCCAAAATGGCCGTCAATTTTTGACTAAAAAAACTAGTTGTAAAGCTAAATAAATGAAACTAAAAAACACTTTGTGCGATTGTAATGATTCCAAGCCCGTACAGGAACCTGGCCCTTTCGATTCGACCTACGCAAGTCAGATCTCAAAAGCTGCATGAAAACTATTTGATACAGACCGTTGATTTAGGGCGGGCAATTATTCTTATTATTATTATTATTATTATAAATTCGCCGAACGTGGAACGATTAGATAGTAGTTGACCATTGCTCACCTGTCCTACGGAAACTATACAGGGTTGTTTGTCGCGATGAGTTGACCTTTTGTTTTAAAGGAGCAGGCTATCGTTTGGTAGCCGGAGTAGCTAAATCGGTTACGACGAACAGTCCCCGAAAGTTTTCCTAACATAAACACACCACCTGTATGTATACGCCTACACGGTTAAACTAAGTACGCTATTCTACTATACCTAGGTTCTTCGTGATTTCTGCACATGATTAGTTGCCTGAGCAATCTTGCCCCTCGTTTTAACCCGAAGTCTTGCAGAATAACAGATTTCTCCGTTGTATCGTACGTTTCCGCCCCCCTTCCCTGCCCCGCTTCCCCCCGCAGGTAAAACAAGAGGACGGGAGTGAACGAGTACTTTTAGTGCCGGTTCTTCCAAATGGAGATCTCTGGAATGAGGCCGGGATCGCCATCGATGGATTGTTATTTGACTGCTAAAACATCAAAGAACTTTGTTATCCCGCTAATACGATGCTACTGCTGCTGCTGCTAAATCTGAGCGGCGTTTAGTGTGCTTGTTTGGCACTACGAAAAAATTTTAAAAACACTACGGAAAAATGGCCTTCCTAAGAGCGGGAAGGTTTAGATAAATACTTAATTGTATCTAATTACAAAAGTATATATCCGACTCAAATATACGAAAGCATTATTTGCTAGGCTCTGCAAAATTTGATTTTCAGCTAAAAAAAAATTGCTATAATAGTGCACTGATGAAACAAATTGAAAACTATTGCCTGATGGTGATTTCGGGTGCTATCCATTTAATCAGCAATATAATACATAACCATATATAAATATGTTGTCTAGTTAAGGACCAATGTGGAAAGCGTTGGTTAAACATCGTAACAAAGCTGAATAGGACCTAATCGGTTATTTTTTCGTCCGATGAGCTAGTTAAACTGAATACTTAACGGTCAAGTCAATGTAGGGTACCTCTGCCATTCCTCACGACTGATGGAAAAGTAGCTTGTAGCCAGATTTTTAGATGGCAGAACTTAGTAAAACATTTTTGGTATGACAGGATTTATGAATTGCCTGATGTGGATTTAATCCAGGAAAGTACTATGAAACAATAAAGGTTAAAAGTGCAAATAATTTTCTCGAAACTCATTTTTAGGTACAACAGTAATAATATACCTCTTCTATTTAGCCCAGGTTCCCCTTGTGCTGCTAGCTAGTTAGGGCTGACCATATGCTAAAACAGGTTGGCCGAAGCATCTATTTCAGGTGTATAAACATACCTCAGTCAAAATAGAATCTCTCCGCTTTTTACGACTTTTTACCTAAAACACTAGCAGCTAATGTATTCTACAAACAAGAAAGGCCTTATCCTTGGGAACATTTTACTTGTCAGCCCATCTACGGAAGTGTTTGGCCAACGCAAGCATAAATCAGATGAGCAGTGCAAGGACTGTACTCAAGAGTGGGGCAGCATTTCTTATTAGAGGCCCGATAGCGCTCACAGGATGCGGTGTGACATCAGTAATATCACCTTAGTGGTCCTTAGCCAGTTGAGGCCTTTTTCTTTACTAATTTCATGGCTGATACGAGTCAGTTTGTGTAATGATTTCCTGTAACTCTGTAGCCGATGATATAATACTCCTTTCTCATCCCATAACTTAGAGAGGTACAGCATTTTTTAATGATGAGTGCTTCCGTGGCATCAAACAAGACCTAACCGGTTTGGTTTGCGTTTAGGGAACCTTTCAACGTTGGTAACGATATAGTATATAAGGAACAAGGAGCATAGAATTCACTGTTTCTTTTGTTTGTGAAAGGGTTCATTGGGACCCGCCTCCTTTTTCGATATTTCATAATTCACAACAATTACCGGAACTACTAGCTTTGCAGAGAGTTCTTGGGTTAATTGCGCCACATTTTGTTTTTAAAAATTGCCTGTTGCTATTTTCCGACCCCCGAAAATATGGCTCCGAAAATATGGCTTGCTATTTAAATTGAAAAGCGATTAAATCAGAGTTGGAACGCGGTAATACATTCATTCGTTTTCACAAAAAAATCGGCAGCATTTTTTTTTTAGAAAACTGTAAATTAGACAATATTGGAGTTTCTTGGATCTTCTCTGAACTCCATGACTGAGTGGACCGAATCACCACTTTAGCATCAACGAAGCGCGCGCCCGGCGCTAAAGCACGCATTTGGGTTAAGTTCCAGCTAGATAAATTCATCGACCCTATGCTAGCGCCATCTATCGCCTCAAGAAAATATAAATCCTGCGTGTGCTGAAGTCACCAATGATCCGCCTGCATTCATCGTGACTTCTTTGTCCTGCGTTCAATGGTAAATACCGCAAACTGGCTATTTATCTTGCTATCACTTATGGCCCCTTCATGAGTATAGTACTCGTAAGTAAAATAGACAAGACAAGTGCAGTTTCCTCCTAGATTAATAAAATTTACAAAGCCCAACATTTTTAATACTATAGATGTATCTACTAGTTGTTATATAGGAAGCATACACGAACGTGAACCGAGCAGAAAATAACTGATCTAAGGCTTGCTAAGTAAGATTCTAAGTTACATTTCAACTTAGAATGCTAGTGGTCTCTCTCTGTAAGCTGCAAAAACTAGTGCACCTGAATCAATTCGATACCAAACGCTTCATGAATAGCGTTTGGAATCGATCTTTTATTATTATCGAACTTTAAATAAAGTTCGATAATTCAATATTATAATATTCAATATAATAAAAAATTCGATTGATACGTATCGAGCATAGCGATTTCAGTGGTCTTTTGCGGTCTCGGAAACGACTTCAGTTTGTGTTCGCACGACTTAAGTGTTCTGTATTGAAAGTGTGACCAGGGTCCGTAACTGCATGCTCATGAGCGCACGTATCGCCAATGGGAATTGGTGGGGCTGTGTCCGATTTCGGGGGTTGTGTCCGATTTTGATGTCCTGATTTCGGTAATAGCCGTGGCGGGATTTGTGTAAAATATCCTCTATTAGATATGGCACTTGACAATTCGCATATGTCGGTGCAACCGCAGCATCCGTTAGCGTACTTCTACCATTGTGCTGTCTTCTGCTAATACACGCAAAATCATGAAGTTGTAACCTCTAGCTCGCGTGAGACTGGCATTAAGCCGCCAGGGTGCAACCATCTGACCTAGTTGAAGCGCCTTCACTGACCTCGATAATTTGATGTCGTTCCGGACGTTGAGTAACAATAAAAAGTTACGATTGTTACGATTATCAATGTTTTTTGGAGATGTGTGTGGAGAATTTTAGGATAATCTAAATTGATCTGAAGAAGTGTTGCTTTACACATAGGCATCTCTATCCATGGACCTTTGAAGTCGCCTGTTCAGTTAAACCTATATCAAAATAAAATAGCTTGACATCCCCACTCGAATCAAATCTGATCAGCTGCGGTCCCAAGGACATCGTCAGGTTAAGTGGTGTGCTGGCACAACTCATGTATGTTTCCTACAGTAGACCTATGCAGGCTTTTTTGGACTTCCTAAAATGACTGGGTTTGCTCCTAACAGCACAGGTCAAAGGTTTTGAGTTGATAGAAAAGATCAGTGCCTGCCGAAAGATTCGGCAGACAACGTCTAACCTTTCCCCTAAAAAAGGGAGATGTTACGCGTCATTGTTTACCTGATCGAATTGTTGGGACGTCTCAATGCCACTTACAGATTTTTACACAACTTACGTTCAAATTACAATATAACAAATATCGATATAGATAATAGATTATGAGGATGAATAGTTCTATTCACAGCTAACCACACACCACCTATTGACCAAATTAGCTGTTTTTTGTAACCGAACTATTTCCTTACAGTAAAACTGTCGTTTGAAACGTTCGTGGTTATTTACGTGTAGAAACTTCCCTTTTAATGTCTGAGACATCCATAAACGATCACATGTGAACAAAAATAACAAACAAAGTCTGAAGTAAAATTCAGGGAAAATTTAAGCTTCCGTACCGTCTGCCATACTATTTGATTATAACCTATGGCTTATATTCAGTTATCTAGGATATGACCGGCCCGCCGCCGAAACACTTCGGAATTAGGCACAGCCAAAAAGAGCCTTAAGCGCGAATGTCAACGCTGCACACTCGTGACGTGTAAAATCGTAGGCGTGAATTTCCGTATTACACCCGCTGGCTCGCTGACTGTTCGAAAATCACTTGCCTGCTGACGTCCGATTCGCGTATACTGAAGGTCTTCATTCTATATGGTTACCTTTATGTGAAAACGTAGTTTGACAGAACTGATCGCGATCCTTCAGATGTGACGACAATAGATTATGACAGATCAATGCTTCGTGTGATGGTATGGTAGTGGCGTGAGCGGGTACAGAAGGGCAGGTAAGCGGTCCAAGTTGGCCTCGAGCGATTGTTTCGAATTCGAGAAGCCACCCGTCTGGGGCAGAAGCAGCGACAGCTTAGGTTACTGAAAGCTCGTCTTCAATGGCTGTGTCCTTTTCATCGATCTCCTTGGTTTATCTAGCACTTTCAATTGGAGCTCGTTGCTGTGTTCGCTAAGAAAAAATAATGTAGTTGGAGACGCAAAACACGAGCACGAAATGGATATTAAGGCCCTTCGACAATGAATAAATTAAAAGTTACTTACAGCTTAAATTTTTTGACACACTTCCAAACAAAGTTTGATTTCGAAAAAAATGACATAATCGTTAAAATTAATTAAACTGACAGACTGATGCATCAAATTTAAAATTTTATTGTGAATTATTTGTCATTTAGTTTTTTCTTCTATTAAAATGCCCGATTACTGTATAGGATTTAAGCTCCCCTTCTGCAGATATTTTATTTAATATGTCAAATTATAATTAATTGTATTCTTCTAAGAGAATGCTCAATAAAATTATCCAAGTACAATATTCAGATAAAATCCTCTCACGTTTGCTGCAATGATGACATTAATTCTTTCACAGTCTCCTCAAATTTGTCATGGTGACAGGCTAAATTAGATCATCTTTTTCTGTTCACAGCCGCTTATACTGATATAATTTTTACTCATATTTACGCGACGCCTCTTCGTCATCATCAGTCACCCTTGAATTTGGTTACTATTTTTTTGAACTAGAGGAAGATCTAGCTAACGTATTTCCATACACCACTCCAACGGCAACGACGAATCACGCTGAAGTCCTAACATCATACAGTGACTCCATGGATGACTTCTTAACATGTTTTCGTCATTTGCAAGGGTACAGGTGCCTCACTGGCTGTATTTGGTGTTGGAGGATATGACGCTTACCGCATCTATTAAACGTTCTGTTTCAACTTGTAGAAGACACGTTGCTATGCACAACAAATACTTTCGGGCAAATTCAAAGTAAAACTTTATTCCATAATTTATATTTATATATGAGTAATTCAATTGTTAGCAATATTCTCCGACCATTTCGGTGGCTTTGTCCGTGTTTTTTGGAGACATTAGTCTGCTCCATACGATATGGGAAGATGTGTACGTTGTTGTCCGATATTATTCGACAAGAGGGACGACGATGTTGAACTGTCCGTCTGTAAATAGAGTAAACGCAAAGTGTGCAATACATTTATCATCGCTATGTTGCATATGTGTCGATTGAGACTGTGGTTCCGTTATTTAAGTTGTTTAGATTGGTAGCCACGCGAGGCTACTCGGGGCATTTCATCGTCACTAAAAATGTAGCTAGAACTTACAAAAAAAGAAAAGTGTCGCTAAACTGTGTTCATTAAAGAGTAGTTGGTCGCACTATGCACCTGGGGGCAATTCATACACTTTGGAAAAAAAATCGAAATTTGAAATTCTGAAAAACCTCTGCTCGCCAATGCTTGCCTCTCAAAATTATTGCTTCGGCAATTTCCGGAATCATCGCTCGAGCCATTTTTGTCTTATTAAATCAATTAAAGCAAGTAGTAAAAATGTCGTGCCCGATCTAAAAAAAAATGTGTGTTATATAGGCTCTATCATTGAACACATGATACGGTTTTAGCAATTTAGCTGAGTACACTTCGTAATACTTAAGTTGAAGTATTAGGCTGAATATAATCCATGCAATTTTTTTTAACTGAACTATTGTCGGGTACATGGAATATATATCTACGCCGGTTTGTGCCATGGACTTAAGGAAACATGGCTTTTCATTAACGCTCGACATCTCTTCCGACGCCGGGCGACACGCAGTCACTATGACAATCAGAATTCTCACCGGTGACTAAAAGTGGTATCCCTCCGTCAATATGCAGCAAACAAAAAAAGCGGCTCCGTGAAACAAGTCCAGAGCTGAACCGGACCACCATCGTAACAAACTAATTTATGTTCGGTGGCCTGGAGGGGTCTTCAATACTAAAAAAATGCTTGAGGAGAACAAAACGGTTTACAACGATCTGTATATGGTCCAGTCTTGTTGGATGAATAACGCTACTTAGCAGGCTTGGTAGACCTTCTCCATGACAACGCTATGCCGCATATGCAAAAGATTGTCCAAGGAAGAGCCTGACCAACTGCTTTTTCTGCAATCGCAGTATTGCCCATACTATGCTTCGACAAACAATTGTTTTTTTTATGATTACTAGCAAACAGAGTGATCGTACATTTTACAGCGAAAAAGATCTTAAAATCTGACTGACTGACTGACTGACGGGTTCAACACCAGATCTTCCAGAAGGTGGAGAAACCATTTGGTTGAGTTATGTGAAAAGGTCGTGGAAGCTGGCAGCGAATACATAATGCATGTTTTGAAAATTCGGTTTTTTGTTAGGTAAAAAAAAATTGAATTTACTCGGGTTCGATTTTTCTCCTATTTTCTTCCCTATCTTCCACATCTTTACAGGTGCTTCACGCATAAGAGGCTAATTTTCTAATACAAGTCGAATACAGGAAATAGCAAACCCTTAATGCGTCGCTTTTTTTGCTATGGCCTAAATAGGTCATTAAGCCCATCAACTATGACGTAGGCGCAAACAAAACTTCTAAAACAATTAATAAGCACCAAATTTTACGTATTAGGCGCGGACCTGTCCATTGTAATTATTTAAAGGTTCACGTCCTATGCTGCGGCTAATTATTGTTTCAGACGACTGATTCTGCCAGCACGAAACGTAGTGTCTATGCCTAGATTTGTACACCTTACATTTTTGTTTGTAGGTTTTAAGCTCTGTAGGTAAACACGATACCGCATATTTATGCATATTGCATGTTGCACACGAGCTAACTTCCAATCACCTACATCTTGGTCCATAAAAGCATCATCGGTATTGTGAAGATGTGGGCTCCTTGCGTGGAACGATTTACTTCCCCTCTGGGTCATACTTAACTGGAACAACGATAACAAAAACCAATTTCAAACTCCGTAGAAACATTACCGGATATGGATGAAAAAATCTATAAAAATTGATCATAAGTGTTACCTATACATGATATACTAGCGTGTTTCAATAGCTCCTTAAATAAACCACAGTGTAACTTGACATAAGGGTACACTACGGATGGAAGATGCTTTACGCTCAGGGAACTGCGCATATTGTCGTCGTCGTTTATTTTGAAAGGTGATATCGGATGCAGAATGAGAGAATCATGATCCTGATCATGACGTTCCTGTGATCGACCGGTGGATTCGCGTGGCCGCCTCTTTTTATCGTGCACTGTTTTCAGCTTGGGTTCACGCTGAAAACGTAACACGTTTGCGCACATTAACAAATCTTAGCGGCTGACTCATATATATATATATATATATATATATAATGTACACACATACGAATAAGCTGCTGTACGATGCCAAGTGCAAGAAGTTAATCGGTAACTTGTAGGTTCGCCAACGCGTTTCTGCATGTACCTTGTGTTAACAAAGACAAGCTTGAATATTGAACAAAATTTAGTTCTAACGATATTTTTGGAAAGTTATACCCTTCGAAAGTAAGGAGGACGAATGTCAAGGCTGCTACTCTTGATCTCATTGTCAACCATATCCCGAGCCTCCATACTGGTTAAAAGGGACTGTCCTTCTTTAAGGCCTGAACTGATGAGCCTGGATGGGCTTTGGCTGTACATTTCATTAATACGGCTGGTTGACAATTGTTCGTCCTCGGGCGTCGATGGGCTCGAGCTTTCTAAAAACGGCTGCGAAGTGTCAAGTTGAAATAAGAAAACACAGTATATAACAACTTGTTAGACTGACACTAAGAACATGTGGTCAAAAAAATAGCGCTGTACTGGCTTCGATAGGGTCATCGCAATCTTCACCTAAACGTATCTTGTCCTTCCGACCATTGTTAGCATGTCTCAGAGGAAGTCGATCTATATCCGCGCCAATTTAGGCCGCGAAGCACAGGTAAGGATATTCGTTGTTAAGGTCGCTGTTTAACCACCAATGTGTCCTCAGAATCCTGATGTATCCAAAGAGCTTTCTAAGTAACTTCGGAAGAAAAATCATACAGAGATTTAAGGTGGTCAGGTCAGATGGCTTAGCCTTTTTGCTAGCACGTTTTATACTTACAGTTGACGGTCTATCATTGCAGTTGCTTTCAACAAAACCGTCACGCTTGAAAGAGATAATCGAAAGATACATGCAGTTCCATACTCACGCTGCGGAGGCGGCAGAGCCGTATCTCGCTTTCTGTCAATATGGTTATATGAGGCTTCTACTATATCCAAATGGATACACCGTGTACTTAGGTCTCCTTTGATAACAAAAAGCAAAATACTCACTGCTGCGTTCACAGGATCCTGAATTCCCGTAGAATAGAGTTTTTTGACGATGTCATGCATCTTGCTATCGCTAGCACTGCTCATTACCAGGGCGCTACGGATATTATTCGAGAGGAACACCCATAGAAATTCAAAATAATCATCCGCAGAAAATGCAAAGAGGGGCTTTTCAGTTCTCAATCATTCGAGGCAGTCGCCACTGGTGGAGTCATTCTCAAGAATTGCTATATAAGGTGTGTTATAGTACCACTTCGTTCATCAAAAAGCATAATTGTAATGCGTTTGCACCCGATCGAAATGATGAAGCTGCTATCGGCTGATTTGTATGGAAGATACTGCGGAAGGGCCAATACGGCAACATAACGTGACGTTCTTCGTCATAAAATGCCGTTAATTTCTGGATTGGTCTGCAAGGGCAGTGCTCTGTGGCCATTCAGACACTCACGATAATCTTCCGCTGTAAACACAACGGAGAAACAGGTGGGCATCTACCTAGTGTGAAGTACGTACATCGTACACTAAACGTGTGGGCTGCTGTTTAAGGAGCGCGATACTAGACAGTCAACGAAGGTATTCGAAAAAAATTATGTTATTATTATGTTATTAACTTCCAGGACTGCATTGTTCCGTACCTCTATAGTGACTGTATCAGGAAAGTCTGAATTCGAACGATCCTCACGCGTACTTTCACGTTCTGCCTCTGACCATTCTGTTTCCTGTGAACAAGTTTATATATATATACACATATTTAGGACCGTACCTTGCTTGCGTCATTTGGATGAGGGCAATATGATGAATTTCATTAGCTATAAGGCAAAACATGACACGGTTAGTCAGTAATTAGAGCATATTTGAATGACACTACCTGCCATGAGCACAAACTCGGTGGCATTATGAGACCCAGTTCTCCCCTTTGCTTCATTTGCGTAGCTGCAAGTAGTAAAAAATCGTTATGTATTTACGTACATCTGTTTTACTGGGACGTGGCTTTCCCTTAGACATATCCTCAGTGCGCTGGTTGGTAATAGCGCCCAATGTGAAATCGCGTTTGCGTGCAAATGTGAGAAAAACTTCTTCTAGTGATGTATCGGATACCTGCAAAACCCTCAACACAAGTTCGTACAAACCACTGAAGTCGAAAATCTTTCGAACAGATATGTTTTTAGCTTATATTGTACGTCGGATCACCTGTTCACGTCATTATTATGCGACCCGGGTTTCGACAACAGCTATTTTCCATATAATATCTTACTCAATTCTGTAAAAACTGACCTTAAGGAAGTGCCTTTATTTGGGCGGAAGCAAGCTTGTTTTTAGAAAACGTTTATTTTTCAAAAGGGCGATATAAGAACTGGTCTGCAGTCATGCACATTATTAATTTACCAGGTCTATTTACAAATGTTGTAAGCAGTGACGCATAAAAATGCACTCTTCTGGTCCTTGAGCCTCACTCATTGCTAAAACTTTGCAACAAAGCTTTGTAGAGAGATAACCTCACGAGAATAGATATTCTATTGAATTTTCTTTCAAACGAATCGAATACCCTAACATATTTACCATTATGCACTAGGGCATTTTTTTTTTACTGAATTTGTTTTTTTTCGAACGTCCATCAAATCTGAGAAGTAGACAAACTTTTTAAATTTGACCCTTTCATTTGGCTCGAGTCGGGTTCAATGACTCTCGATGCATCGATTTTTGCTAAGTTTAAACTTTTCTAATTACAGTCGATTTTTTACCTTTAAGTTTACCATATGAGCTTGAAACTGCACACGTCGCAATGAGAAAGAAGGACTTAGATATATAATAAAATAAATATATATATATATATATAAAAAAAAAGATTAGTATCGCTACCCATCGCCACAGATTTTCAAATGTGTTCCATAGAACACTGATTTTGAAAACTAGTCAAATCATATTAGAATTTATAAAATGCTCTAGATTTGTACCAAAGGTAAGCAGTGAGTAAGCAGTAGGCGACTGTTTTGAATAGTAACCGTGCTGGACTGTGTACCATAGAGATTGGTCTGTTCAAAGCTTTTCGATAGAAATTTCACCCTTATAGCTATACAGAGATTTACGATGCGGCGAACTACATCGATAGAAATACGTTACGTCAAGCTTTGGATGATTCTACTCGAAATCCAATTTTTCTATTAACCAATAGTGGCCCTGTCAGCCGAACGTCCTCGAAATCTGTCAAGGATTCTATCCAAGATCTGTCGGGACAAAGCGTAAAAAAGGTATCAATAAATACCAAAGATCCAGTGTCAATTTTACCGATCAAGATGCTAATTGCAGCCGCAAAAAAGCTTTTTAGCTTGTGCACTTTTTACGATAATTTGTAAGTTTGCCTAAAGATTAACTACCCAACCCGTAGTGCATATATTATTAGTCCATACATTAAATGCATCTATAGATAATACCTGGACATCTTCGATTGATAAGGTCGGGTCATTGCGCATCTGCATGATACGTTCAAAGACCGCACTCCAACGAAGAGTCGCTTTCGCCACGTGAAACTTTAGCAGACGCTGTTGATACAAATAGAATGAGTGTGTTACAAATAGGTTTTAGCTAGTGCGCCCGATAAGAAGGTATTTTAAACTAGGAATATGCTTGAGACAGATACGAAAATCCAGACTGTATCCAGACGGGACGCGCAAGAAGCATTCTCCTAATAGGAATAGTGATGCATTGGGTTGCAGATCCATCTTGCCCAGCCTCACTTCGTATAATGGCGCCGTCACCTATGACCTACACGTAAAAGCTTACGATAAACTTATTATGGATTTAAGATTCACCTTATAGAAGTTTAGGAAAGTTATTATTTTAATGTATGGGAACGAAGGTCGTTGTTTTATATGCCAAAACGTCATTATCGACGATTTAAAGCCGTGGAACCGTCCGAATCCTTCTGGATTTCCTATGGTAAGAAACTACAACCTCCAACCATTCATTATAGAGGTCGCGTATCAGTGGGTTTCTGTAACGTTTCAGAAGCTTCAGAAGTACATTTCTTGGCATCACTTCTGTGCCTTGCATTTAACAGTGTCGAAAAGCGTGATAAAATTAACACCTTTGTTAGTTAATAATAACTAATAGAACTATGAATGAATTAATAATTAATTTATAGCTACGATAACTTATCAATACTAATAATAATAAAGTAATAGTTTCTCTGTTACAGGTCGTCCATGTCACGATCTAATATGGCCAATTCGCCATTATTTAAAGAGAATCATGCACAGTCCAGCTGGCATTTTGGTCCGTTTTCGAGACACGCCACAGAAACGCATGTATATATATATATATATATATATATATACCACTTTTACCTACTATACTTTGGAACAATTTAGCAGGTATTTAGTACGACAAATAATTGTTTGCCTCATAGGTAATAGTGCCGTTTTGCTAACGATAATCATGAAACACGATTTGCTTTTTGTGAATTGTGCCTCTGCTCTTGGTTTGCTTGGCTAGCAGACTTAAGTATGTTTTCGTGGAAGTTTATTAGTTATAAAGAAGTACGCAAAACCACCGGACCAACTCATAGCTTTTCAAATCACGCAAAAAAACCTGCAAAAAAAACCTGCACGCAAAAAAGCCTGTTTCAATTTAAAGCTCCTACAAATGAAAGGATCGATTCATACTTTCCCAGTTTACACCTGTACTACTGAAAGCTAAAATCAAGCCAGCATCGTAACCTACGTAAAATTTCTATTCTTACTGGGCTGACAGATACCGCCCCTATGCTTCGTCTTAAAACATGGAATGACTAGATTTACTTCGTTAAGCAAAGCAACAATAGGAAGAGTAGTAGTATTTCATTGACAACGAGTCTTTCATTTACGCTACACCTTCTATATGGCTCTTCACAAAGTCAGGCTTTAGGCAAAGTTTAGGTTCAACAGGTCTTCTTTCCCCGCCGTTCAGTCCAAGTTCGTTCCGCCGGCTGTGGTTTTGGTGGCTGTGTAAAATCTTCAGATTGAAGAGAGCATTCAAATATACGTTAAAGTAATTTTTGTTAAATTTTTTTAATGAGCCTAGTCATCAAGCCTATTCCGTCAGCAAGAAGAACGAGTTATCGTGGTCCTGAGGGGAACATTTGTTTCAGAAGATGACTCGATTGACGACAGAGAAAATCTATGCTGTTACGACGCCAGTAAACTTGCTCAGTAATTAAGTTTAGGGTTCACGGAACTGGCAATGGTCATATAGCTTCTACGGGATCTAAATAAGTCTTGTGCGTCTTGCGAAGTCCCATACGAGTTCTGGTAAAAAAGCTACGTTGGTTAAAGAGAAAGTTGCAAGGATCTTACAGAAGAACTTTTCCAGAGTTCCTTTAGGATAAAGTTAGGAAAGGACTAAGAACTTCTGCCTATCATGTTTACGGTTTTGGTCCGTTCACAGTGTAGCTGAACTTGTTTGCCTTTGACGGACTTCAACATGCTAACGCTTAAGGCTATTATTAGAGAAACATTTGACCCTTCAGGGATTACACTGAAGCCAATTCCCTGTAAACTGTAAAAACTGATCTGAGTTTTGTAAACAACCATAGAAACTCTCGTAAAATTTTTAACTGAACTCACATACCCTATTCATTTACGGGGCTTTTATAGATGCGCTCATCGGATAAGTGTGCCTGAGTGTCTGCTGTAAAAATACCTTTCGATAATTGAGGAGAGCTAAAATTGTTCCGTTAATTAGAAATAAACATGAAATAAAATGATAAAGAAAGCCGCCCTAACCAAAGCATTTCTTTCATTTTTCGAAATTTCGTTACCCGAAATTGGAAGGAATAATTGCAAAACTGTTTTTTTGTCGCCCCCTATAATTATAATAATAGCTTCGAATGTCATCGTTGATTCATTGGTTAGCCATATGTTTACGTCACCTGATAGCTTTGCTGGAGACGACACCCGCTGGGGAATAGTTTTTGCATTGCCTGAATAACTGCTTTCGCTTGCAGCTGTGAATCGACAGATAACTTCACTAGCACAGTGAAACCCTGGCTAAACTTTGTCTTTAGGTGTTGTGATGACCCGACACAACGGATGCTACCCTCGACCATTACGGCAATACGCTGACAAAGCGCTTCGCATTCGTCCATTGAGTGCGACGTCAGTAGACACGAAGAACCCATCTCAGTTTGAAATCTTGCCAGCGTATTCCAGATTCTACGACGAGCTCGAGGGTCGATTCCAGTTGTCGGTTCATCGAGGAGGAGCAGGGAAGGATTGCCGACAATAGCCAAACCAAAACTGAGTTTCCGTTTTGTACCACCGCTGTAGGTCTGCGTAAGCTCATCCGCACACTCTGCGAGCTCGATGATGCTCACGATATGAGTAACAATTGTATCCGTCTGATCGGCAGCTACTCCGCGGAGTGTACAGAACAATCTAAGCATTTCATTCCCAGTCATAAGATCGATTAGAATATTTTGCTGAGGACAATAGCCAGTCTGTTCGTAGAGCCATTGGGTATTTGTGCGCACGTCCTGATCCCGAATGTAGGCGGTTCCTGCCGATATTAATAAGTCGTTGGTCAGCATTCCGAGTGTCGTTGTTTTGCCGGCGCCGTTCACGCCGAGAAGGCCGAAGCACTCCTTGCCTTGAACGAGAAATGAAACTTTGTTCACCGCGAGGAACTCGCCGTAGTATTTAGTCAAGTTCTGAACCACCAAGGCATAGTCCTTCATTCGATTGGCGCTGGTCGCGTAATCGACACGACGGCGTTCAGCGACTACATCCGGGTCTTCCGGTCCGAATAATACGGTTGCTGCACCAAGTGGCTCTGAATGGGGCAACGGTAATATTGAAAAACGTTACACGCTCGGTTTTTATAGTTGATAAGCATTGGTGAGTTATTGGAGTCTTCATTTAATGTAAGGAAGCAGCTTACTAATATGTACCCACGTTAGGACTAGTTCTATTTATTCAACACTATATTCAGACTCTTTACGATCTGTAAAATACACAGGGATTATTATCCAAAGTGAATGTAATTTAGAGACGAGTTGACACGTACTAGATTATATTGATAGCCGCCAACCTTCTTGATTTTGTAGGTGAAAATTTGCACACGGTACGAACTTCAAATGCATGAATTGTATGACGGCATAACGTACTATTGACTATAGAAAAAAGTTTGTGACGAGGATCAGAAATGCAGTTTCGAAAGATTTCCGATACTTCATAGGTATTATACTGCTCGGCATAACTCGATGATAGTCCCGCGGATCGTACTCTCTAGACAAGCAGATTCTCTAAACATCAGAACGAACCCTGCCCACATAACGAGGAGTCGTGCAAGTTAATCCTAATCAAGAACACCGTCCCAAACTCTTCTCTCAATGGATCGCATACGCGGAATTTTTAGCAACAGATACTAGGAAGGACCAAGTACGTAATTTGGGTAACGAATGGCGCTGCTTGAAGACGGAAGAAGACAACTCGTGCTTCAGCATCAGTAACTGGGTTCACTTTGCAACTAGTCTAGATAGCAACAAAATGAGATAGATATGGTTTGAAAGGGAACTGCAATCCGTGGAGTTATTCACGCAGGTCAATCAGGGTTGTTGGCCTAACGAAATGAAATGACCTGTGAAACAAATTCATAAAATCAGCTACGTGCAGAATGACGAAAAGACAACTGGCACTTTTTGCTATATATTTTCAATAATGCGTAGGAATCAGCGCTTTATATTTCTGATATTATGCGTTTTATAGAAAAAAAAAAAAAAAAAACACTGGACGGTCATATACTGGGCGAATTGGAACGTGCACGGATTAACGTAGATAACACATTTACTGATTTAGGGTGCCTTCTCAGAAGCTGAATGTACCTTCAGAGTCCATGCTCCAAACTATTTTCTAAATCAGCTGCACCTATTTAAGCTAACTCTTGGCTCCGGATATGATCTACTTGTTAACAAGACTTATCGTGAATAGACTTAGCGAAAACAGTTCACCCCGCGCTTCCGGTAGGTAACGCTGTGAAAAGGCCTCCAAAAACAACCCAACGTTTTCAGATGTTTCAAACTGCGCCTTAAATTGAGTCCTGCAATTACGCAGAGAGGATTAAAAATCACTAGGGTAACTACATAGAAGGTCTTTTGTCCTCACGAGTTCTATACACCTGTGCACCCTCAATAGCGATTTTTCTCTATGGATTCAGCGTAGTATGATGGCAGGTTGGATAGATTTGTTTGACGATTGAAAGAACATTCTGCGCGTTGCTTTCGGTCACATCAATCTGATCCTTAGAAATTACTATTGACGCATGTGCTTCAGGAAGCTGGAAGTCTCGATTGGACATGATGAGTTGATCTATTTATACTACTGCACTGAGGGTGTCGTGCCTTTCAACGCACCCGAGTTCTAGTAAACGGGAGTTTCGATTTATATCATAGATAACTAACCTTTGTCCTCTGTGTTCCAAAGCGTCTTCAAGTCACGAAGTTTCGTATTTTTAGCACGTTCCAAAAATACCGTAATTCGCAATTGATACTTTTCCAAAAGGTAGAGCAGGGTCCAGGCCACTAGACCAATCATGGTCATCCAAGTAATCTGGTACCCACAGCCGTAAAAAAAGTCAAAGGCAAACGGGTTTTGCTGACCTGCATAGCAAATATCTGCTCCTCCGTTAGGACACGCTAAAGAAAATACACGAAAAACATGATGATATCACTCGTTGAAGTTGGCATTCAGCAATTAGAGGATCAAAATGGAAAGTCTGAGAAACACTTGCTGAGAAAAGCGTCAGATCACGACAGTGCAGATTCTTTTTACCCAGCGAATAACCTAACAATCATAAGTAAGTTTGGCTTTCAGTTTGACGTATTCGCAAACCTCTGTCAGCATCGGTCTTTTTTGTAACATCATTCAACATAATATTGAGACATTTCTGGTTATTCGAATATACATATATTCTGGAAAAGTTACGTCTCCGTGTTACTGTATTTTAAAGTAGATCCAAGACTGAACGGAGCACTTCTGATTCGAAAGGCAGAATGAGAGTACCCCCAACATCCCCAGCTTCTACACACCGATTCCATAGAATAGTAACAATTTTAACCAGATGACTAGTTTAAAAAGAAAATATTTTACCCATGTGGCGTTACTGTGTTCTACTCCGTTTTGACAATGCTAAGCTATTGTCTCGATATCGCTAACCTTCATTCATTTTCTTATCATGGACTAATGAGAACGATTTTCGGTAACTTCGAAACAAAAAAACGTGTAAGTAGCTTTTTTTTTAAAAAGCCACTTTTTTTTTTTTTTTTTGTAGATGTGTGGACACCTCGATGAGTGCATTGACTCGCTTCCCTTTTACAACTAAAATATTTCACCAAAGCACTAAACGTTCGCCAAAAAATGGGTTTTCCTGGATCTTCTTATGCATGATTAAGCGATATTTGTAATATACTACAATTGACGTTCTATAAAATGTGCAAGCGCACGTGGGGTACAGACGCTGGCAACAGGGCCTAAACAATTCCTGAAATTGTTTGCAGAGCGTGACGCGATGCACTCCGTCATAATTTTTGCAGGTTTCCTTGGTAACGCCATTTAATGAAATACTGCCGATCGCCCATATCACTGCAAACGTGGGTGTGATGTGGAGTAACTGCAGACGAAAAATGGAAAGAGTCGATTATAGTATATATATATTATATTATAGTATATTAAAACAATCGCTAACTATACAATACGAATCGAAAGTTCTCTAGCTAAGTGAAAAATCGATGGCATAACGAAACTTGTCCGTCCAGTATTATAATTTCAACTTGATTACACAATCAAAACTTGAACGACAACATATTCGGAGCTTGCCAGCCTGTTATTGGACAAATGAGAGCCTTAAGAGGCAGTTAACCTTCAACTCAATGCAACAGATAAATCGGCGTATCGCGTTCTGACGTCATACATATTACGCAAACGCAGATTGCCCTTTCATACACTGTGTACAAGCATCTGACTCTAAGGCTCCTCTTTATATTTACGTGAAATTTATGCCAAAGGTGCCGTTAATTTATGCCATATCACAACAATCCAGACCGGTTTGTCTATTGCAATATAATAATAATAATAATACTAGCAGCATACCTTTGCAAAAAAATGCGGACCATAGTACCAATAAAGAACCAACTCAATTCCCAAAGCCCCGATTCCGAAGGCAAACGGTATTAGCGTGAGATACTGTACGAGTAGAAGGCCTTTCGCCGAGTCCTGCAACCAGTACGACGTGTATGGTATTTGACGGTTATTTAGTCAACGACAGTTTCCTGTTTATTGATTTATCGCATGATTTACATCCGCGCAGTTGCCGTCTATCATGAAAGCCGCGAAAAGGCCTCTGAGGGCATTTTACCTAAAGCTTTTTATACCTAATAAAAGTACAGCGGCGAAAACATCAGTCGGGAAAGCTTTTAGATATGTTAAAACGTTGTGACAGTCGTTTAGAGCGTCCGCAGGATTAGCTTAGGGTTAGGGCTTAATGAATAAGCCCTTGTTTGCTTCGTCACTGACCCATTATTGACAGGTCGGCATAAACAGGAATTTGTTTTACTATGCTACTGATACAGAGCCGCGAAGCTTGTCTCTTCGATAGAGCAATCGGTAATTGCTATATATAAATAAAGCAATAATTGATATGGCACATAGTGCGTCAGATGGCAATACTGTTATGAATGAAACCGACATCAGGTTTATAGGTTTATGTCAATCAGAAGGTATCTTCCCTACACTAGCTTTACAAACAAGTGGGAGCTTACAAGGGTAGATTAGTTTTTGCCTATAAACATAAATCTTCATCGTAAAAAAATCCCTCAATGAGTCGAAGTCGAATTCGATATGGCAAATGCTTACTTATAGAAACAGGCTCGAAAACTGGCCAACAATTGATAGCATCGACACAGTTGTAAAGCCAACGCGAAAGTGAATTTTGTAATACCTATGCGATCTTCGTCCTAAATTTACTCTCACTACCAAAGCTTTTTCCAAGGATCGAACACACTGAATAACATAGTTAGAAATCTCAAAATATTTAGGATAGGCTTGTAAGCCTGATCCAGAGGCAATGTTTTTCCGCATTGAAATTGCAAATGGTTAAATGTCAAGCATTTGTCAAAAAAATTCAGCTAAAAACAAAAATAACGTTCAGAAGAATAGCAATAATATCTAAAGCTAAATGCACGCAAGCCGACCGTTTAACCGTGATGATACGTCGAGGAAGATTCTTCGTGGATCTTCCCTGTTTTCCCTATTCTTCCCCATTTGCCTCCCAATAAAGATATCTATAAATGAAGATTTCAGCAAGACCGACAAACGGTGTTGTGTCAGACAGAGTTGACTACTCAGCAATACTGTCCTGAGGACCTGATGCCTAGCTAGAAGTGAGGTGGTCCAGCCGCGCGTAGAAGTGCCCTGCTATGATGGTGGCAAGCAGGGTCCGCGAGAGCTCGTAGGCTACCCGCAAGCTTTTCCACAACGGTGAACATACCCTCTAGTGCTTGCTCATAGTGCTTGCTCGCACATACTCTCCTAAAAACCGCATTCTAAGGTGGCGCAGGGTCATGACGTTGTTTTACACGTGGCGCCGATTGAGGTCCAACTCTATGATTATAGAATAAGCTCAACCATTGGGACGGTCGTGGCCCGTTACCCGAATGGGCCGGTTACCCAGAGCTATAGGAGCACAAGCATGTCGACTGTATCCCACGCTTTCCTGATTTTTATCATCTGAACTAGTTAAAGACTAAAACAATGGCATACAGGAAATAAAACGCTAAAAGAAAACCTGAATCATAAAATAACCTATTGGCGTCCGGCTTGCACCAGGAGATTCAATGTAGTCTTTCTAACAGGGAAATAAAGAGTACGGTTTTCAGTCATTTTAATGTACTTTGTATTGTACAATATTTTTTCAGATCCCCGAATTCCGAATTAAATTCAATAATATGTGTTGTAACAAGTAACATCTGGCCGACTTGGAACTGAAAGGTAAAAAAAAAAGATGTTTCGTACCGAAATGGGCTTCTGCTGACGATTATTGAAAATGACACGTCCACTATGTTTTTAATAGAAAAACTACAATTTGTCCAAAACTGCCAGATACTGCCGTTAGGCTGTGTTTTTGACGGTCGACCCGCAGCTGGTGTCTACGCCAGGGTTTCAATCTAGAGCACCAAAAATATTCGGGCTGACTAACAGGAACTGACCCTCTAAGAAAACCAAATCGCAGGGTCAAGCTATTGAGATGACTGATTTCGTGGATTTAGAAACTACTTGCGAGTCCCTTTAAATAAATCCGAGTTATTTGACTGCACAGTGATCACTGTAAACAAGAAAAAAGGTTCACTCATTGGCCCAGTATTTAGAAGGTATTTGGACCTGTTAGTATAGAAACTAAAAAGGTCTCATTTCTAGATTTCATTATTTACGAAATCGAGCCTAGAAACGGCGTCGTCTCCAGATCCTAGACTTCTAGTTGGCCACTTAATTGTTTTAGAAGCATAAACATACTTAAAAACCGCCAAAGCATACTTAAATCACATAATTCCTACGAGCAGTTTTACGTTGACACTTACGTTGATGACGTACGTTAATATGTAGACTGTGGGAAGTTTAGCTAAGTAGTAGATGATTAAAAGCACAATCAAAGCCGCTGAAAAATAGAAGTAATAAAAACTTATCTTAGCAGTAAAAGTAGTTAGTAATAAAAACTTAGTTATCTTGCTAGAACATTTAACGATGGGTATCAGCTGGCTGGCTGGCTAAGAATAAATACATGGTTTAACACGATACTAGCCGTAACTTATTTTTATCGTCAATGATTGTAATAGTCAGAGACCATTGTTGAATGATTGCTGTTTCATCCATACACCACGTTACATAACCACTCTCCGATATACGCTACAGAAACAAAACTTTACATATGTTAATTTTTTTTTTTTAAGGACTAAGACCCGTTCAATGTAGGTGCTAACGACATGTGGCATAGCGGGGCACAGTGATTCGTTTAAGAACATCGCACATACCTAAATTTTGCATTTCGCCGAACACATTGGGGGGACCCATCAATACGATAAGCACTACTATGATGGTCGCTGTGACAAGCGTGACACAAAAATCGAAGATGGCGTTTGAGGCGACATAAATCCAGCGAGGAAGCCCGGTCATAATTTGGACCTGCACACACATGAAGGCCAACAACGTACGGCAATTGATGATGCATTTCCATGAAGTCAGTTTATTCGCTGGCTCTTGTTAGCTACCTGATACGTTTTCACTGTTTTTTTACCTGTTGAATCAGTGTCATCAAATGACTCTTGGTGACGACAGTATAGGTAAACCATTGTTGTAATGTAGCGCCTTGATTCCAAATCGATGAGAGTCACTTACCAGAAGTGGTGTTGCTGCTGTGTTTGTTTGTGATACTTTTTTTTTTTTTTTTCGATTCTTCGTGAAATTTTTCTATGATTTGTGTGAAAAGTGACGAGCTATCTATAGCGTGTATAGGGTGTAAAAAAAGGGAAACAAAAGTGATACACTATATTTAAATGGAATCAGAGTTTCCTTGCTGACAAACACATGTTTTATGGCCATGTTAAATGTAATTGCTGTTTGCTTTGACCATAGCTCAATTTTTTCACCAGCTCAAGCCTGTTAATATCAAACGAGTAACACTTTAATAAATTTCTATGGGAGAAAAGACTTTCCCACATTGTTCAAATACGCCTATATGTCACATATTTTCGATACACGCTCCGAAGATTCGTCAGTTCCAAAGAACAGCCAGAAATTCAAGGATTAAATAAACAGCTTGGAAGAGCTTCAAAGAGGGTCAACCGTTTAAGCTCATCTGAACAACCCAGTCCGCGATACCATTCTGGTGTGTCATTTTTATATGTAAACAATCAAATTCGATCAGATGTCCAGGACTTCTGCATAAATTTAATGTTTTCTTTTGAATAATTTATCATTTTATTTAAATCGTTTATCTTGTATTGTTTAAATTGTAGATCTTCACCTTTTCATTTTAGAACTTTTCATTCAGACTCTGAAAAAGTCAGAAGAAAGCAAGACAGTTGATCTTGCGCAAAGTTCACTATCTCAATAGGAAGCTCGTTTAGCATGAAAACATTGAAAACTAGCTGATCGTCGATGATGTCCCGCATACGAAAATCTCGCCCCCGTAGACCTCAAAATACTACCTCTGTACTGGCTTTTCTCCGCAGTTAACAGTAGCGAGTGAACGCTACGACAACGGGCCTTCGACTTCAATTTTGAGCGTCGTGTAGGCAGGCTTTTGCACGATATGTTGCCATGCTAAGTGTACGATAACAGGGAATAGAATAGCGCGCGGTATCGTTATGAATTGGCGTTGCCTAAGATTGTGTCAGCGCCTCAGAGAAACTGCCCTTGGGGCCGGTGGTGCATTGCCCAATTAAGTAAGTTTTATTGGGTCGCGGGCTACAGGCTGCTACAGGCTAAAACACCACTGCAATTATTGCATTCTGCTATTTTCTGTTTTCACGTCGTTCTGATGAATGATTCCTTTGTATCTATGCATACAAATGTCGCCGTGTTCCGTATCTGCTAATTTCAAAAACTACTTTATTGAAGCTGTGAAAAAGAAAGACATACGAACCAATTTTAATTTGAGGACTCTTTCCTCAATTGGAAGAGTAACAGCGTTGCAAGCCGGGTACGATACGGCAAAAGTTAGAAATAAAACTGCCATCATTCTGGCTGCAAATGTTAAAATATAGAACAACAAGTTACTTACTGATGGTGACAGGCAATAACATAGGATCTATATTCTACGATATATGTTTGTCTTAACAAAAGCTGAAGGAACTGTGTTTAGGGCTCACATACAAAATTTACACAAAGCTGAACGCTTTGGTTTTAATGAAGTGTGCTACTAGCTTGTAGTATGGTACCTGGTTAGGGAAACGATTGAAATTAAAAATGCAATTTAAACAACATCCTAGCTCTGCATTAATATGTCTAATTCGATCTTACCTCTAATTTGTATTTTTTACAACGCACTATTTCAAGATGTACTTTCGGTGGAAACCTCATGCTCGAATTTTTTTGTCTTTCACAACTTAGACCTAACAGGAAGATGACCTTTTTACACCAGTGAACACCAGAAGCTCACTATAGTTGGTCCAAATTTACTAGTAGGCTCATTTTCAGGTTCGTTCATCACACCAATCGATGGTGGCACTTCTTTACTTGAAAGCGATGTATGTTGGTTAGTTCTGGCACACCGAAGCCAGTGAAATCGGAATCCTGGAAAAACCAGGGCTAATATTTGGGGAGTACACCCCCTTATATGTATCGTTTCCGACTTGTATCTAAGAGACGACTTACGGCCACCAGCCATGGAGTCTAGAAGAAGTAATTTTGGTGACTCTGTTCGACTGTGAGCTAGCACATTAGTCGTAGCCAGCCTAAAAAAGCTTTCAGGCCTTCTGCGACAGGCTTTGCAAAAAAACACCTGAAATATTTGCACCTGATTCGGCAGTGGAACTGCTTGTACGAATTATTTAATCGCGCAATGTAAACCAACACAAGATTAGTTGAATACATACTAAATGTTTGCAGGAATAAGGCATGGAGTAAGTATTCTTCAGCCTTTGTGGGATAGACGTTTGTGACAATTACAGTGGCGTTTGGGTCCCGTGTAGCTTCGACAAGGATAGAGCTTTGCCATAGGGCTAAAGCAGCGGCGCCCACGTGGTAAGGTTCTCCGTTGTACCATAAAACTCGATTCTCACCATCGAACTCTCCTCCAGCAACCCATCGGTTCCTATAGCTTCTGGGGTCAGAGCTAGCTGAAAGATATTTAGAACACGTGTTACAAGGCAGAACGTAATTGCAGAAACGAGCATAGTACGTAACGGCCGAAACGAAGATAAGCATTTGGAACCCTCGCGTTGATTTATGAACTGAAGTACTTTTCTATTTAAGTGCTACGTCCTTTGGGTGTTACGTTCCTCCACGTCGATGTTATTCTCATATGGCAATTTCAGAGAAAGAAAAAATACATTCTCTAACGTCCGACCTATTCAGAAAGCCGAAACGTTTACATAGCTAAAATGATGTACAACAATTAGACGAAACGGGCAAGTATCTAAATCAGGCCTCAATGTATCAACTATGTGACACGTCGTGCTAACAAGCCGAGCCGCCAAATTTGCCGGCCGACGGCCTTCCCTTATTATACGAAAAATTCAACAATTTGCAGGCCATTTGCTTTGGCATCTCGTTTCAACATCATTAAACAAACTCACCCATGGCCAATAAATAGTGGCTAATATTTGTGCTTTGTTGAATCACATTCACTTTAGCATGTTTAGATTTCAATGCATCGGCGAATCTGGCGATGACCGCATCTTGCCTCTCAGTCACAAAGCCAATGGGTTCAGACGTTATTTTCGGTATAGAGTACGTTATCGACTGAAAAGTCAATCGAACAGTAACATGCCAATATTACAATTACCAATTAGCAATATTTGTAAAGAAAAAGTTTCTTAACTGATTATCACTGACCGGGACCTATACGGCCGTACTGTGACCTGTGGAAACCAAACAATAACTACTATTATTATTATTATTGATTTTGTAAAGTATTTGGAAGTTTGTATTGAAACCAATATCGTTTTTAAGAGAACAGCGAACTTTTTTTTTAAATGCTTTGATTTTATATAATATATATTTCCCATAATTCTGGCAGAACACGTTCACCGATTCTACAGTCCCAAGCTAGGCAGAAGGCAGCGTGTCTTTCCAAGTGCAATATTGATAACCAGAAATTCCTCCCCTCGAGTAGGGCAAACACTTGCACTATAGGTAATTTAGCACGCGTCAATGCCGCCACCTCAACTAACGTTAAAATCAACCCGTACATAACAATAACTTTTACAAATATTTTCACATATACGCAACCAGATATATCTTGCAGTTAGGTAGACAGATGTACGAATTTTTTTTATTTTAGGCTTCATTTTTTATTTAGAGGCTTTATTAGCTTTTGTCGTTTACACAATGTTTTGTTCTACAGGAAACTTTTATGCTAAAGTCTAGTGCGTGACAGAGGCTCGGGAGCACCGCCATTGTGTCAACATACGTAGACACGCTTTACATCATACTAATTTGCTGATGGATTATAATAGCAATTTGTTAACTAATAAAGACGAAAAAATTACACAATAAATTTTTTTCCCAAACGAATGGGTAAATCGTAAAAGGGACTCTAGTACGTAGGTAGACTAATCAAAAACTCCGCCGAACGATTGAATGGGTCAGGTAGATATGCTGATACAACGTAGACGCTGACAGAAAGATCAAAGCAACGATATCATGCAGACACTTTGCCCGCCTTGCGTCTCGCGAACAGTATCTTAAAATAACCATAGTAACATTAATGGGGTGATTGCTCGTAGACTGCTATTAGTTTGTCTAATTCCCAGTTGGTCCATTACTTAGATGCAGCCACCTAGACTACCTGGTGCCCACCTAGAAACACTTGATTTACCCCAGATAACTAAGAGGAGATATCGTGGCTAAATTAATTGAATGATGCAGATGGCAACCTCATCCCTTCAATAGCCATCGTAAAAGATCCACCTCACAAAAAATAAAGATAGTTCCGCGAACTTCAGCCGCAAAGCGCTGCTTACAACAGGAGGATCTCAAATTGCCCGCATACATCCTTTCTATCTACCTACAATTTATAATAAATATCCTTTTCTAGCTAAGCGAGGAAAGCCCAAACAGGTTAAGTAAGACTTTGTAATAATGCATTCACCTCCCTTCAAACCACCTTCGACCAACTATTGTGTCTTGCACACATTTTCACTTGTCGAGATTGACCTCATCAGATATTCATCGCACGCATAAATGAAGCATGCACTGAAGACTACAACGGTGATAGCACCGTTACCATGCATCCACGAACCGTCTTCTAACTTGTCGCAAATGTATTTCCTTTCATCCATACAAGCAAAAAGGGTTAATGATTAAACATAACAGTGAAGTACCCCAATGGTTACGGCATAAATAACTTCTAAATCAATACGACAACAGAGCTAGGATGGTTGCAATATTCCAACTGTCACTCATTGACATTGAGTCAGCGTTCTCGTGCAAATAAACTGCAATAAGGTCCACGTGTCCTGGTAGTTCCTAACCAGACCTGCCGTTAATCTCAGCAAGGTCTCGTCGGCTCGATCAAATTGCAGCAGTGAAAGTAACATTTACGAACCCGTCGCAGTTCGTTCTTAAAGACTGCTACAGTCGAGATACAATAGAGAACGGTAGCGAGAGCTGGCACAAGTCCAACGTAAAATACGATTCTCCATTCACGTCGAGTCACGAGCCACCTGTGTCCAGAAAGGTTAGGACCAGATTAGGTTCAATTGAATTGTGATCTGTGATTAGTTCGGCTGATTCAATTACCGAGCCAGGCTTGCCTTCCTTTAACCTGCTTAGCATCGGCCTTTACACGCGGTGCCAATAACACATTAGTATAGGCTCAGAACGACCATAGTGAAGCACCGCATCTAATAAGCGCATGTTATTGTTTCGAACCCCGTCAACGACACGGAACACGAGAAACGTTACTAAGTAAGAGAACATTATATAAATAATAACTGCGAGCGTTGTTATGGCCGTACTTGGCAAAACTTACCTCTTTCGAAGCAGTGCGCATAGGCGAACTGTATTTAGACGGCGTCCCTCGGGTATTACAGTCGGGTGTCTGAAGGCTTCTCTAACTATGGAACAAACTCAAATTTTAGTTAAATTTTACACAGAAAAGCTCAGATAGTACGAGCGTGCTATTTGGACGATAATAGATACGAATTGCTAAAATAACCACATATTTTTTTTTTTTAAAAATGCGTCAAATCTCCTCATAAATACCTACCGTAGATCTTCTGTAGCCCTACCGTCAGGCAGGTAAAGGAGACAGTCTCGATATAAAGGTCACCTTCCAGGTCAGTTAATTAATTCAATTAAAGTAAATATCGGTGATTTTCAACAATACCTAAAAATCTTCCCGAGTCTCCTGTAAGGTTCGCCATCTGAAATAACAGTGAAATAAGTACCGCTATGCTCACATGTAATTTCAACTGTTTCCTCGTTGCTCGGACGTGCCCCATAGCCAGATTTTGCTTCGTCGTACGCGCCAATTTTGTGGAATACATCTTCCATTGTCGTTATGGAAATACTAATATTTTGAACCTGAAAAGGTGACGTTCATATAGCACGGCATAATGTTTACTTAGCAAAGGCTCGCAACATAACAATATATCTGCCTATGCCGAGCTTCAGAACCTTTGAATGTCAGGCGGTATTGCTTGTTTACGACTAGTTAGTGTGTCATAATAACAGCGGTGCCCCAAATCAGCCTCACAATAAACCGATGACCAACGACATGCTTGGTACATACTCCGAAAGCAGTCATGTTCTCTTCAAGGTATCTGAAGAGTTCGACGAGCTGCTGCGGTGACGGGAAGCCAATGTTAATGACGAACTCGAAGCCAAAGTCCATATCCATACTGATTCTGTCGTATCCAGGGAGAGCTTTCCTCATCGCATAGACGACCCGGCTCGTGTCGACGTCTACAAAACGCTTGCCCAGTCGCAGGTTGTAACCGGTTTCTGTGGTAGACAAAATTCCAACAGGCAACAGTGATACATAAAGCTGTTATTGGCATATCCGGCTATTTCATACTGCATCAGAATCTGCACGAAGTCACACAATGACAGTGATCCATTTTCACACCTCACTCAAGCTAATTAAGAGTCATTTAGCAAAACTTACGCCATATCATCAATCACGAGGTGTCGTCGTCAATCATTGGTCGGTTAAATAATATTGCCAATGCGCTGCGTTTTGTTTGCTATTTGCTAGATGGGCACATATTTATACACTTTTCATTAAAAGAGGTTAGTTTCATAAAGCTAAAAATACACGATGTTTGTCGATTTGCCGAGGGCCTTATGCCAAATGTGGCATCGTTGATCGTAGATAAGTTCGAACGAACCGAACTTGCGCTTCAGGAACATCGGTGATCCGCAGGCTAGAAGGCGGCCTTTCGCCACAAAAACGATACGGTCTCCCAGTATGTCTGCTTCCTCCATAAAGTGAGTGGTCATTACGATGGTTCTAGAACGTCGCTCGCTCTGCAGAATTTCCCATACGGCGCGCCGCGATTCAGAATCCATTCCCGTTGTGGGTTCATCAAGAATCAGTATCTGTGCGAAGAAGAATCACATTCACTTGAAATAAATATTTATCAGCGCTATTTTATAATGCCAGAACAAAGGACTATTTTCTAGTGATCAATGATCTATTGAGATCTGTAACAAGTATTTATATAAAAAAAACAAATAACAAGAAAAATAGCTTTTTCCAGTTTATTCACGAAGACTGGTCCTCACGTACACTTCTTACGTAACGAAATCACTGCGTCACAAAATTCAGTTTCTTTTTAGCTTCCACCTCTAAATTTACATCCTATCCATGTTAATAACTTGAATGAGCTCAAAAAAAAGTTCTCAAAAAATCATTCTCTACCATCATGCTCTACAAATGCAAGCGTGCTTAATCGACTAATGGCGTCCAAATTTAGGCTTAGTGGGATGTACGTGCAAGGACAAGATCATAACATCGTGTTAAACCTTCCTTTCTCCTGACCGTTCCCGAAAACAGTTATTAATGAGGGCCAATTAGATTGTGCTAGGATAATTCTAGTTACTTCTTGCCGACCACAGTTTGCCAACTTTATGATGATATAAACTTTATCTTTACTAGATCTTCTGGAGGCAAGTATGTCGCGTTTATTACGGGCTACCTCTATCGAAATATTGAAGCAATTAATGATATTTTTAAGTAGATAATTCTTAGCGAAAAGCAACCGGCTTCCAACTACGACAAGACTTATCATCATATATATATGAAACAACAGTGAACTTCCGTCTGCTGCTAAGAAGTTACACGGCAAGCGAGAAGGAAGAGGTACCTCGACTTCATCTTGCATTAAGAAACAGAGATTACATACAATGGAAAACGAACATTTAAAAAAATCTTTTTTCATCTAGTTAACTCTTCTGTAGATTGCTAACATTGTTTGCTACATGATGTACGGTGATTCGGTGAATATAGAGAGGTCTATATTTAGCTGCTGCTGATGTGCCCTCTGCTATTGCTTTTCGATGTAAAACTTCAGGTTATCGCCTAGATTAAACGCCTTCGCAATCTGGTCAACTGGGGGCCAGTTCTCTGCCGTGAAGCGTTCACGCGTTCTCTTGTGTGGCCTTAGATAGAACCTGTGCCAGGTCATGCCAATATTTCTTTGCCATTCTTCCGGCAGTATGTGAAATTCTTTCTTTTAGTAAGCGCTCACCAGTTTCCTTTTTTTATTTACTTCAAAGGGGTAATAAAGGATATGGTTTCTTTTATCGAACCTATTTGCATTCATGTCAAAACGATGATTGGGCTCCTAAAACGGTATCATCGGATAGGTCGAATTTTATTTGCTAATAAAACCCCGCGACTGCCAACTCTCGTTTTTCAAAGCATCAGCGGCATCAGCTCACGCTGTTCATTTAATTCTCTGAAGCTTGTTTACTTGCCACCGTTACCCCGCTTAATCCGAATACGATATCCCGATCTGTTTTCTACTATTTTCCTAGATTAATTGTGGCTTCACGCCTGACTGAGTTAACTATAAGCACTATTTACATAGATATCAGATACTAGTAAGTGCCAACTTCTCGAGCTGGCGACGACCGATGGAAGCGCACTCAAATGACCATATTTAAATGTATACTTCTTTATGCGACCTACACCAGAATGTTAAAGACAAACCCAGTTGCTCGCCCAATCTTTCTTGTAAATTGGTCACAGTGGTTTTTACATTCTAATTGGAACGGATTTTACCGCAGCATACGCTATCTAGTGTACTCAAAACATTAACTTCGTTGAAAAGTTCCTAATTCGGTGAAACGCTAACTACGCTGACTTTATAAGCGCCTAATATGAGCTTATTACTAACGTTACGCAAGAATACGCATAGTTGGACATATAAAAGAACGTAAATTTATACACTAGTAACTATCTATATTCAACATGACTCCTCTATGCTTGTGGTACTTTTGATCCACGCTAATCTCAAACTAAACGAATAGCAACTATAAAGCACAGTTACATGCTCACACATTAGTCAACTGGGTGTACTAAATTTAGGTAAACAAACGTTGTCCTGCTCTCCTTGGCTATATTCAACAGGAAGATTTGGAATGACTATCCATAACAAAACAAACTGTACCTCACTGCCTCCGATCAGGGCATTTGCAAGACACAGCTTTCTTCTCATTTCGGCGGATAGGTCTTTTGATAAAGAGCCACACTTATGCATTAGGTTAAGTTTCAAAAGCAGCTCTTCCGTTTCCTGCTTCACAACGTCCGCTTTGGCGTCTTTGAGCTTAGCAAAAAAAGCTAAATGCTCAGCCACTGTAAGATCATCGAAGAGCACATTGTGCTGAGGGCAAACCCCAATACTCTTTCGAGCTTCGCGTGTATTTTTTTTAACGTTATATCCATTAATATACACTTCTCCATGGTCTGGCAATATAAGTCCCGTCAAGATGTTCATGATCGTTGTTTTGCCGGCTCCATTATGCCCGAGCAACATGGTGATTTCATTACAGTACAAATCAAACGAGAGGTCATTGAGAGCTCGAATCGGGCCAAAGCTATGCGATATCTTCCATAGACGAATGACGACACGTCTTTCCGTTGACACAGGTTCCATCAGTTCTGAAAGTGGAAGAAACGTTCCGTTAACACAGTTTATATATATATATATATATATATACCATGTTGATTCCGCGAGATGTTTAGCTACAAGTCAATACTTAAGGGCCTAGCATTTGCCAATGGAACGCTTATTTATAGACGACAAGCTAAAATCTTTCCCTTCAGCTGTTACCTAAATAGGGAAAAGTTGTCGCGCCGGGTTATTACGATTCTTCTTCTGACCATACTAGGTTTCTTGGCAAAACGCATAGAATTACCAAGGAGCAAAAAGCCTGCACTGTGAACGCACGGCCTCAAATTCTGCATGGAACTGTAGCCAGAGGTCTGCCAAAAGGCCAACTTGTTTTAGATCGCAGTACCTAACCTTTGCAGAAGTTCGTCCAAGCGATGCGAATTTTTATTTGGATCGAGATGGTCAGGTTTTTGTCTATTTACCGCTTTTCGGTATCCAAATGTCTATCAAATGTAACTGGTTCATATATGCTTATTCACTGATTCTTGATGGTTACGCGGACTTTTTTGAACTTATCTCCATGAGAGAGTAGAGCATGAATTTTTGGCTCGTTCCCTGCTTTGATAGCCACTCTCAACTCCTCCCAGTTGTAGCGTTTCCAGCATTATTACGAATAAGCTTATTTTATGATTAGGTGTCAATCTTCTCCATTGCAAGACCCATGGCCAACTTACTAGTAGACTCATAAATAGCTCATTTTCAAAACACAATAAATACCCTATAATAGCGATGTGTCTATGGCGCGATAATCACTTCGATCGTCTCATTTCAGCTGCAACCAGACCTTACTGAATATTGGAGAGTCTCCTCGTAAGGCAATAACTTTTTCGTCAAAATCATTAACATGCAAACATTCAAAAAAAAAAAACAACATCAACGAAAAAGCGCCATGTATATTTTCATCTACAAGTATAAATTTCGCTCTGCTAACCTTTGGTACCAGATGATAAGGTCGTTTCGGAAATATCGTGAACAACGGGAAGCCAATATGAAGGTTGTAAAAAGAACAGCGGATGGTTTGGCACTCCAGACTGCCACGGACATATGCTATCAAAATAGACCGCAAATGCAAGATATAAAAACCACGACAACAGCATTGCGTATACAACATCGATGGGCGCTATGTTATCACCTGGGACAACTCCTTTAAGCATGTTATGCCACCGTAAACCTTCACCTGTAAGAAAAGGCGATGTACGATTATTTATAATATCTCAAAATTCCTTCGCAACTTTCCCTATTATGGGCCTGTTAGGTCTGTTCAGTTCACAGCTAAAGAGGATTCGAGGATAATTCTGAATGTGCAAAAGGCTCTGCCCGTGGGCGATGAAGATCAGAAAACCAACAACCAGCGATCTGCACAGGCCTTTGACTAGTATGCAGCCTTGGAAGAACTGTTGAAGTCGCCGATGAAGCACTAGTAAATAAAGAAATCACAAAATGTCAATGGTAACGCTACTTGTTAAATTCGAAGTTTAACTCGAAGAATGAGTGTATGGGACCTCTGAGATCGTCAAGCCTCGGTACGTTAATCCTGCTAATTATTTCACCATATCGGCTAGTGCTACATGAATAGCTTTACTAGAGTAATTTCAACAATAAACCAGCACAAATGTCTTACTTTCTGTATCACTGGTTATACTAATACCGGTTATACTAAATATCAAAAGTTCACTTTAAAACTAATATATAATAAGAATAAACACTATGCTATTTTACTACTATACGTATACTATATATAGACGTACTCTGAATTACTTTAAATTAATGAAATCAGCACAAAATGACCAGTAATTTTACCCGCTAATGTATTCGCTCATTGCTACCATTATTACGGGAATAATTTCGAAATTTCACATTTGACTATCGAAATATAGACAACGGCGGACATACCTTTGTGTTCAGCAAACATCGCAAACTTCAAAAGCCAATTAATGCCCATCGCGGGTACACAGGATGTCCCCAATTTGAACGCAATTGTTAGGGACATGTAGTCTGAGATGCTTTCTGTATTTGTGTCCAAATAACCGTTCGTGATATTAATCGCCAGCAGAGACATTATAAACACGACGAACGCCACAACCGCCATAATCTTTGCTGAATAAACGCAAACATTTCAGAATATTAGAACATTTTTTTTTGGAGACGATGAGGGATCAAATCGTACGCAATGTAAGGACGTCTAACGAATCAACTCACTTGTCATGATTTTCCCTAAAATAATAGAGATTTTGCCGAATCGCTATACCTGTTTATTGAAGTATTATAAGAATCATGCCCATCATTTCCCGATAGAGAATCTTAAGGCGTGATGCTAGCACAATAGATGTAGCGAGTACTAATGTGTAGCTGAAAAACCGTTAAGCTTTTCTCTTGCCGAAAACGCAGAGTAAATTCCTACCAGCACTTGAAAATTTCGTCATCTGAGGCTCTTCCATAGTGCACGATGTTGGGCTAAGGTCTCTAACGATGGGAATGTTTGTGTTTAGTTGAAGAAGGACTTTTTTGCGCTGGTATTATACTCCGCATGTCGAAACTGCTGTGTACATTTGGAGGCTACTTGTTAGTCAGCAAACGTTTGTTACTAGCTGTAACAAAAGATTGCTGTTTCTGTTGTCAAGCTTGACAACAGAAGAAGCTTTAACAAGTTACACCAGAATCACCTCCCGCTTTAGGTTGATAATATGGATGCCAAACCTGTCAACGTGGTAAGGGAGACAAGCAAATGAGCGTACGCTTCTGATGTAGACAGGCCATCTCAAATGCAACGAGAATTCAGCAAAGAGACCCGTCAAGCTCCCGGGCATTGATCAAGGTCGTTCGGCCGTGTTTCGTAATCTGTTTACCAACCTAGTGGGTCTGTTCTTCTAGGCTTTCGTAAGATCAGTCGACTTCCGACGACGTAGAAAGCTGGCATATCAAAAGGCAACCGCTGGGTCTCTTTTGCTCCTCAGTACTCCTGTCTTAAATGAGGCCATCCGTGCGCATTGATAGATGATTTGCGAAAGCTTTATTCATACTGGATCGTTTCCTTTTAGGAATTCACCAAGGGCTCTAATTGGACCCGGGCTTGTCTGGCTCACTATGATCTTTTTACAGGTGTTTTAGGCTGACTCCCTGAGGGTTTACTTACCTCAACGACCTTCAATTACGATATGGTATGGCAATTAAGCCTTTGTTTTAAGAAAGATGGCAGCATTTGTTTGCGTAGGTACGTACGTTCTATCGTATTGCGACTTTTACATCACGCCTACGATATTTTGTACTACATTTAGTATAAAAAATGCTCCATAATCATATGCTGAACATAAGTACATATATATCTAATACGTGTATAAAAGGAGCATACGCGAAGTGAATGGTACGGTAAGCAGCAGAGCAAAACTGACGAGCGCCATCGTGAAGACCATCATAATGAGGATAATCACTGAGGGATCCGAATAAAAGAATACGTTTTTGAAGAACATGGCGGCAGTGAGAATGAGTGCTATCATCCAGCCCCTAATATTGCCTAGGAGCATAAGGTTTAGCCAGTATACACTTCCTGGCAGACCCATCATTCGCATCATTTCCTTGAATAGCAAAAAAAAAAAAAAAAAAAAAGTATAAAAATTAGAAAACGCGAAGCTAACGTCTACAAATTGCACTCAAAATAATAATAATAAAATAAAAAAAATTTAATATTACTATTAATATCATAAAAATATGAGTCGCAACAAGCAAAGCAAAATAGCTTTTGGAAGTCTGATAACTACTGAATTTTATTAGCTTGAAGCTACACCCGCTACTAATCGTATTGAGGAAATTGAAATACACTTACTTGGAGGCGATTCTCTTTCTGGGCGACAACACCTGTCGTATAGGAGCAGAGAAACATTGAAAAGCCGAGTATGATTATAAGGTTAAGTGGTCCAGCACTTAGCGGAACGCCTCCTTCTTGTAAGTAGTATCGGTCCGTTGGAAAAGGCCGCATCAGGTCCAGTACAGAAGCAATGGTTAGATTGTAAAATTTCATGTGTTCCTTAAATCAACAGTAGCATTAATGTTATGATGTGAAGATCCCGCTACTTTTCATATAATGAAAATTGAACAACATGTTGTTCCAGTGAAACACTAATATAATAATCCATATATACAGTATATAGAGAAATACATTAAAATTTTCTTATTATGGCTATTATAATTATTATTTCCGATTCTAAATTTTGGTTTACTTTGACCGTCGAAAACTTAGCACTGTCGGAACGCATAAGTAATCAATTTGTGTTCAAAAACCAGGCCCCGGGAAAACGCTACGAAAAAGGTGTCCGATAGAGCTGGCGTATATGCATAAGTAAGCATGCTCCTATTGTAAAATCCCATTGGCCGCCATTTGCTCGGTACAGATGCGTAACATCAACAGAAAATGATATTCATGGCCTACGTATATATTCAAAAGAAACAGCTATTCACAGCAAACGGGTACAATGGAACCAAACAGGCGATTTTCAAAATGAAACCGTACGCAAATTTATCGAAACTTCCACAAGCTTGACCTTAAGGATAACACGAACACAAGAAGGTTCTTGCTCTTTAACCGGCCTTCAATCTAAAGGGCCTTATAGCTTCGGGCTCAAAAATCGCTTGGGCACTAATTCAAAATAGAAGCTCGCACTCGGCATCGCACCCACACAAGTTCCATGTGTGTCCCTGCGTTGACGCTACCATTTCACAAATCACAGAGACGAAAAAGAAACACATATTCGATACTCTTCCTGGCTAGCTTATATTACATACGCTGCTGTTGAAAGAGTCTCTACTGCTGAGGTAGGCTAATACGTAGTTTCAACGATTCGGCAGCAGTTCCTGCTAACTTCTACCTTAAATTCGTTACGTAGCGACCGCGCCATTGGGGTACATATCCGCTTTTTGAGCTATTGTTTTTAGAAAAACTCCACTGGTTGGCAAAGCTGCTTTGGAATTTTTGATCCTAACTGTGTGAGAATGTCCTAACTATTGTATAGTTAAAACTAAGGACAAGGTTTCCTAAATTCGCGTTTTCTTTCGAGATTCAAACTGAACATATTAATGCTGCAATTCTTTTTTCACTTTAACCAGTGACCCGATATTGGTTCTTCCGAAAGAATCAAGTAATCTTTAAACATGGCCGCAGCTTTATTTAATGGGTTCTAGAGGTTCTATGGGAGTCTTCGGCCGTGGTTTTAAGACGCGACACGCTTGTAAGCGAGACACTCGCCGACGTTTCCGGATGTTATACTAGCTGAAAAACATCGCGGAAAGCTTCGAATGTGCCGTGGCATAAACTCTCCCTTGAGTTCCGCAGACAGCCGACAATTCAGAGACACGTGATGGTCTGAGTGCGAAAACGGGCGTAGGAATTTGGGAGCCAGCATACAAAATAACGTTTAACGACAGTACCGAACTTCATAAAATTCGAAATATTATTAGGTGCTCAAAAATTCGCTCTGGTGTACACTTCAGAAATTACTTTTACATTGTGCAAACTGTTCATCAGCTTCATACTATGACCAACCTCGAAAACTGCGTACATTGTAGGGAACAACAGGTTCTCTTCAAAAATTGACCTCAAGGTCCTTGGTTTCGCGAGCTGACTAAGGGAATCCGAGGAGGCAATTTCATCTTTGAAGCCGTATTGAAGGGTATAACTCAGCTGGCTTGGCTCGCTTACCGACCGGAAAACAATGGCCAAATCAACGGTGCCATTAATATTGCTTAGGTGCACCTCAAGATCGTTGTCATCAGCAAAGCCTGTAACCAAAGTATTTCCTGAAATCGAATTTAGACACATAGCACGTTAAGCTAAGGCTGGACAAGCACATACGAGATCGTAGTAACTGAGTAGCTGAGCGATCTTCAGAACATTCCGTCACCGTTACAAATCGATCGTTCTGATTATGCCACCCTGGCAAATGCATGTCGAGGGAGATTCTCATCGTAATCACTTACCATCTACACGATGAACTCTATCGTTATCGATGAGCCAATAGATCTATCTAAGGACCACACTTACGATGAATTTCAAAAACGGAATCAATGACGAATGCTGTGTAGTCTGTTCGAGGAGCGTAGATCACTTGAAATCTTTCTCTGCTGTTTCCAAAGTCAATGTGCTTCGCCGAGTAAGGACCTTTGTGCGGGTAAATCATTGCGTCGTACCATTTTCCAGCTGCTGGATCTTTCTCGGGAATTTTAAAACCTATAGAAAGAACAACTAGAAAAACGATTCCAAATAATAATGATAAGATAATTGAAAATAAATAACAATGTAAACAATAACAAAAACAAAGTTTCCTCCCTCGATAATCACGAAGTGAATCGGCAGCAGATGGAAACACCAACAGCTCTTCGGACGCTTCGATGGTAACGCCAGTTAATTCTGCCAATAGCTTTGCTACAGTCTGAAGTTCAAGCATATTCTTTACGTGTTATTTACTATAAACTCGACCTATACCTGTGCGTTAGTTTCCATTCGGCCATTATTAGACAATATCTATGATTTGAAAGAGAAGCAAAAAGACACGCTGTACTATTGCGGGCAAGGCTTACATTACTCACAGAAGACCGATACTGGAAACAATAGCTCGAACAAAGAATACCAAGGGTGCCGTTTGATGCGCAAGATCCACATGTCTTTCTTGAGCAGAGCGCACAACTGGGTAAGTATGTACATAGCGAATGCCAACAACACCGGTTGGTCTCGTGCACTGTTTTCGCAGTAGAGATAACGGCCCTGTGAATTTCTTCTGGGCGCCTTGAGTCGATCCTTGAGCAACGGTGACGTTACGGAAATAGCGTTGTCAGTAGGAATTAAAAGTGTGAAGGTTTTGGCATAAATACTGCGCTGAATAACAATTAGTACAATCACTATCCCCAGGAAGCAGTCGAAGCAGGCTCAGTGCCTAATAAACGTCTGTGTAAGTTCGAAGCCGCGAACTCGTTCAATATACCATAGTTGTTGGTTTCTTCCTATTGGTCCTTTGTGGCTATTTGCAGTTCATCATACAATTATTTGGCACTTTACGTTTCGCTCTCGATGTACCGTTTATTGAAAGCTAGCTAGAAATAACTTTATTGGATCTGTCCGCGAGCAAAGTGTCTCTTGATTCGATTGGCTTTGTGTCCTAAGGAGAATGGGTATCGTTACGAAAGCGAGGCATTAGCGTTTTCTGCGACAGAAAATTTAGTACCTGTTGTCGTTCGAGGCTTGGTGGCTATCGACACTACGATTGGTATACTGTAGCAATTTGAGGGTCATAAGGAAACATGCGTACTCCATACACAAAGGATTAGTCTTGAACTTCTACATTTGTATTGCAACACACTGAAAACGTTCGTCTCGCTAGTTTCAGCTTTACTTAGGCCAATAGTTCTGAACTGGACAAAAACAACGAAATATTTCTACAACATAAGTGTAGTTATTTTTTTGATTCGATGAAATATCGAAAATCTAAAGGGTTACATAACAGAATAGGTCTAAGGCACTGAATGCATTTTCGTCTAATAATAATAATAATACGATTGCTACAGTGACTTTTTTACCTAATAATATAGTTACTCTACGACTCTATAAATCTGTCAAAGGAAACCTAAAAATTCTTTCGAATTTTACGTCCAGTACCGCTGTTAGGTATGGTTTCAGGTGACTGGCGTCCAACTCGAGATGAAGTTCTGCATCCACCTTTGAACCTGATTAACCTTACAGAAACCTAAGTAGGTCCAACGGGATGGTTTTTGGAAATCGTAGAAGGGATACTGACAGTAGAGAAGCCGCTTTTGGCCGCTCAGTTTTTGAGAGCTTAAAATAGCCACAATTATGACTGGCCCATCAATATTATAAAGCTAAAATAAGGGGGTTACATAATCCTATTGTATACCTGTTTTTGCAGGCATACGAAGGACTTCCTAAGCCAAGCTGATAATAATGATTTTATTGAAATTAACGAATCGAATCAAATCGGAACTCTCAATTGCATCCACCAGCCCCTCGCTCTCTCTCTCTCTCTCTCTCTCTCTCTCTCTCTCTCTGTTAAAATGTCAGCATCCGACTACAACAATAACGCCATTTCTTCAACTAAGGTACAATTCCTCGCCAGGTGCGACGATTTTTTAAGGCTTTGCTACCATTACCGCGCTAATGTCCTATATCTATGTCAAAGGCTTCAGCGTATTACTTGCGTCTCTTTAGCAATTGACGACTACAAATCTGTAGTGTAGTCGATCAATTCCTTATATGTTAGATTCATTTCTGTACTGTAAAAAACACATGTTCACGTACAAAAACATGCATGTGCCTCTCACGGGTACATTGAGCATACAGAGCCCTCTCCCCACACTTGAAAACACTTCTTAGATTCGGATTTCGGAACCGTTTGACGTTATGCTTCCGAACGTCGCTGGATTTTGTCTAGCATAACAAATATTCCTTTCCTAACGCGTTTTATTTTTAGGGCAACCGAGAAGGAAGCTCGAAAAAATCTGATCGGATATGTGGATGAATAGTTTTTGTCAGAGAGTTCCATATGATAACAATGTGTCATGGTGATCATTTCACGAGTTAGCCTGTTACCCTAGGCTTTGTCTGCTGTTACTCAACGCCTTTGTCCATGAGAGTTGAAGGCCCTCAAGGATAAGGCTCGAGCTTTCGAACATAGTATCTATTTCAATTTCAAGAGATTTTAGAAACCAGGTTTGAAAACAAATTTTCCCTTCATACAAGATGAATTAAATACTTACTTGACAAATGACTCGCTAACTTTTGCTCCATCCTGCAGCTTGGCCTTTTGTTCTCAATATTTCGTGCACTTTGTATGCTCTTGCCTCGATTTTCAAGAAAGGCGTAGTACAGGCCCATCTTTTGATTTTGCCCGACGAATTAAGTTGTTGATCGAATTCAAATCTATCTTTATTATTTACTAATTTTATAAGGTATATATCTACTTGCCTAATTTATGTATATATTACAGCGTTTTATAGCCTGGTTGATAAGTATGGAGCAGGCGTTTCGTTTCCATATCATAACATTTTTAATAAAACTGCAAACTGTAAATATAAGCATTATATATACATTATTATGACTGATAAAATATTAAAGTATCTAGCTTGACCTTTTGTTAAAATCAGGCTTATTTTTGAAGAAAAGAAAAACGCCTGATAAATACAACACGTACGATGAACGAGTAGTTATAACTTGCATTCGATCTAGTATATTAGTGTTTGTATTGTTCAGTCACCTAAATTTGGCCTCAGACGGTAAGCCCAGTATAATCTGCAGTAATAATGAGCGCCTAACTGGGCTTTCGTTGCAGTCGAGTGTCGCCTGTTTTTGCGGTAACCACTGACAAAAAAATAGAGTCAATATTTTCCGCATATCCGCGCCCAGCTTGAACCCCTCGTATTTACCTAGTCATCAACTTCACCGGGGGGGATCATCCCCCCACGAACTTCACATTAACCGTTAAAAACCATTAAATACCAATACCTACTGAAACGCATTTAACCATCACGTTCGTGTGTCGGAATTGGTCGACAGTACGAAACTTCGGCTTGAATCTAAATCTAAATCTAAACTAATTCTACCCGAATATCAACTGGAATACTTTTATCTATAAAAACATGTATCCGCATCGGGTACGTAGTAATTGTCAGACCAGCTTACCAGAAAAAAGGGCACATTTAAAGAGGACATAAATTCTAATAAATACATCAACAAAAAAAAAAAGAGGACACAAATAATAAGCGCATTATTATAATACTAAGTATGCTTTTTCCTTGCTCCATAGATGTGCTCACGGCCAGGAGTAGAGCGATACTATTTTTCGGGTTACATAAACATATACGAATGTAGTATTATGGCAAAGCTTATATAGCTGCAAATAATGTTATTTGTCTCTACTGTTTATAGACCTCTTGGATTTCCATTCAGGTTCGTAGTGCCAGCGCGCTGATATCTTTGTCATATTCTACGTCCGGTACTTCATTGCATTGCTTCGGACAGTTACGACGAAACAAATTGTACCGTCGCTCGGATTCGAACCTAAGCCACCAACTGTTTCAGTTCCCACTGCTCTATATACCGGCTCTTGCCTGATCGTCGATGTTGTGTAATGCCGAAGAAAATGATAGAGCCGGCGGTGGTAGGTCGGCCGAACTTGCTCGATAATAAAAATTCAACGATAAATAGTAAATGTCGTCATTATACATATATATATATAGATTCTTTTCAGTTGCTAGACGAAGTGAAGTTATGTGGATCTGTGCTAGCTCGAGATCAGCGACCGTAGCAACTATCGTAGGGATGAACGATAAAATCGTTCGTCGTTAAGGTTACCATATGCAATGGGCTGTTTGAAGTGCGTGTACGTGTTGCGTTAATGCGAAGGACGTTACCATTAATGGGCTGTGCCATCGTTTATCCTAGTCATTTGGTTGTTAGAAAATCGAGCTAACCTAATACATAACAATAATAAATCGACCACCACAGTGACGAACCAGTCACAGAAACCAATAAACGTTTTTTGTACGAGAGCTAAGCTATTACGAAATGACCGTCCGACTGAAGTCTGATGCAAATAACAGATGCCAGAACAACATATAGCCTATATACATCTAAATTGTCAATAATATGCCATCGTCTTTCACATATCTATTGTTATAATGTTCCCTATTTTCACTGTTATATTGTTGTATCATTTGGGGAAAAGGTATCTGTCAGCGAAATCAAGACATGCGTTCAAAATCACACGCGATGGAAAAGCAGGAGCAATAGCAACATGGCTAGTTACGAACATGATGGAAGGACACAAAACTTTGAAAGCGCTTTTGCTGAAGTCATTACATTGTCTGAGCACAGGTCTGAGCTCGACATATGGATAGCATCGACCCTGTCTGAGTGTTGATCGTGTCAACTCTGAACCGAACTGAGTATAAAAGCAAAGAGAGAGATGAACAATACTTGTGTTTGGCTAAACGTTGGAAAAAAGACAGGGTAAATCAATAGTGTAAGCCAACGGTGTATTGCTTTTAGACTGGTTGTTTCGGCACGCATCAGGTGGCAGACCTGTATCCAATGCGGTTTCATTCTATCCGAAACCTAGTGCTTTCTTAGTAAAAAAAAATCCCTAACCCATAAATGATAACACCAAGCGCACAGTTAACTCTAACCAAAGCCACATATAAACATAGTAGTAATGTAATGTAATTGTGATGCCTACTTATGTACAGTTCGGTCTTAAATACAGCCGCAGGCTTTTGCCCTTCTAGCTAGGAGATCGCCCCCTAACGGCGCCAGAGGCCGATCAGTTGCTGAAAATAGGAAGACAGAATCATTCCTAGATTAAAATAAGACTTTACATGACTTCTTCTGATATCCAATTATTTAGATTGGCATAAAACGACGCATACATCAGTGACTTGGGTGTGTCGATTAATTAAGCAGCTGAAGCAAAGCCCATTTGGATTTTCTAACAACATAAACGAATACGAAGATTAATCGATTCCGTACTGCTATAACATGTTGTCTTCGCTAAGTTCGTACCGTCTACGGACTCAAGCGTAAATAAGAACAAAAAGCACAAGTAGGGTCACGTTTACTTTAATAGCTACAGCTTTATTTCGTTCCGGTATTAGGGCCGTCAATCCAGCGATTCCTCTCAAAGCTCCTATCCCGTTTGCAATGTACTTCCGTGGTACACTTCCATTTTTCCGGAGACCCTGCCTACCACGGGCGCCTCGGCAAAGGACTCCATCACTGTTTGATCTATTCTCGAAACTGCCAATAAGGTAAATTTATATAGCACTTAGATTTCTCACATCCGCTACTTTATCCGCCATCATACCGTGGCCTTGCGTCGAACCTTAACTGCGAACATAGCTGTGATTTCTATGTTGGTTTACATCAGTTTCTCATACTAACTGATATATCTGTTCCAAAGTGTTGTAGCAAGTGGACTGTCAATAGTAAATAGTTTTCAGTTCAGCTTCCAAGGATTTAAGTATATAATTGAAATAAAACAGGTGCCATTGCTTTACAGTAATCGATAGAGCAGTCCTCGGCGTACCAAAGTGGGCTGGGCATGATTGTTTCATATTACCATTTTCTCGTCAAGCCACGACGATATTAAGAACCATCTCGCGTTATCCAATTGGAACTGACCGGGAATTTTAGCGCTTCGTCTATTAACTCTACTTAGTTAGTATAGGAGAAAATAATTGAGCCAACGACAGATTTCGACTAATTTCACTTGCTAGCTCTTGTTGATGGTCTCTTCATTCATTTCATTTCGGCTGTATGTCATGTACATATTAATTGCAACGCACGTTTTCTAGCTATTGCGCCACCTACGCACTTCTCTCCGTGACCAATCTTGACGGTATGATCACCATTATACACCATGATTGAACTAGTTGCTCCGATTGAGGCGCCCGTATGCTCCCGAATCCCTTCCTTACATTTCTGTTGCTCTAGGTTCTCTTTGAAGACGCTCACGTTCTCTATTCAATTCGGTCTCATCGTTGCCCCCGTAATCATTACAATCATTATCATCAGCATCCATTTTCCAAGTTGCCATAATTGCCGCTCCACCTTATTCTAGTCCCATCCTTTAATGCATTCATTCGTTCTTGACGACACAGCGCTCCGGGGGCGGGTTTATATGTAGACCGCTCCCATCAATCCAGCTTTATTTCGTGCTTGCTAAATTAGTAAGTTTCGTTTTCAGGTACGTTTCAGGGGAGAGAGACAGTCTCGACAAGGATCATCACATTTAGACAACGAAGATCTGACAACACCGAACTCTGGAAGCGGGTACATAACGTCGAGAGCTGCGAGGACAGCGGTCACGGGCTGTGGGCTGTGTCTGTGTGTATCTGTTTGTCTGGCGGATTTCCTATAGTACGAACATCGTATGTAGCAAGAATGGCGTTAATTATCCCTCGTCGACGAGCTTGTGGGTCAAGTTAGACAGGCGGAAAAATTGAATTCGATCAGGCAAGCATTTCACTGTTGTACAATCAATGTGGCAGCGTTCAGACAGTGAAGAAGGCAGTAGTGTAACTGCTCACAATAACGTCGATTCGAATTCGAAGGACCAACATGGGAAGCAGAAATCGGTCTAGGTTTTAAGGCGCAAAAGAGCCTCGGCAAGGCGTAGGTGAGGCTGACAATGAGGGAGATAAGAACGACTCAACAGAACACCGGACAGAGACAGACAGAAATAATGAGTTTTCCCTTTTATGTAGCACACACACACACACACACACATACGCGCAGGCGAAATAATTATACATAGATGTCAATGTGTTTTCAAATGAAATAACAAGACGACCATTTAAAGAGAGTAGCGTCTCGCTGGGAAGATCCGTAGGAGGTTTTTCACTACTAAAAGTAAAGTTCGTGTTGCGTTTTCTTCAGCTGCGTCATAAATCGGCAGTTGCCTGATCTCTTCCGACCCGTCCGCTGTCAGAAGTCGGCCGCGTAACGCGACGCTGTTCGGAAAGTGTACGGTACAAAAGCGCCGACTCTTTCGCCTTCGCTAGTATCGTTAGTGTCAAAATTTCCGCCTAACTCGCAACCTATACTTGCAATTAGTTCATTGTCTGTATCTGTCGTTAACGTTCTAAATAAAGCATGTAAACAACGGCATGTTTGTGTGTTTGTAGATGTGTGATGTTTATTCGGCTGTCGACATGGCACACGATGACAAATCGAAGAAAAAATTCAAGAATCTATCTTAGTCATGTTTGTCATTTAGTTATTACCAACGTACTTGATTGACTCTGAAGAAGGTAAAAGAGATCGATAGAAGGGAAGTGTATGACCGTTCCAAGACGGCCCATAGGTCGGAATGGTACTAGTTCTTCGTAAGCATTAGAATACCACTGACTGTTCTGCTGCCCTTTTGAAAATCACTCTCATATAAGCAAATGTTGGTATAACTCAACGAACATGTTTGTATCGGACTGAGAAACAAAGGCTTTCCTCTGCTGGTGTCTGGCATCATTTTAACCTAATATTCTGATATAATACAAACTGCAGTTATTCGATCCAAAAAGATATCCTTTCTTCGCTACTCATAGTCCGTACTGGCTGCGAACTTGAGATTTTACTTATAGAAATCAACGTACCGCCATGTTGGATTATTGCTAAGTGTAGCCATTATCCTTTTACACTGCGATGCGACTATAATTCCCCAGAAAATATTTCGCAACTGCAAAAGATTTACGCGTGGGTGTCCGCGTGCTTATGAACACGTCATTTGTTTTACTTTATCTATGATTCCTAATCTATTTTGAAAGTTCTACTGGTAAATCGGCTCTATTGATAAAACAATGTCGACAGATCTGTCATCTGTCATCATGCCCCATTGCTGGTAATATATTTTATCATTTCTATGATTATCATCATTATGTTATTCGTAGGATTCATTCGTGCAGCAATAAATGAAGAGTCTGCTCGTACCTGTTTTGGCCTAGTGGCTGCAGCTGATCGACCAGGACTTCATTTCGATTGCAATTATCCGCGTTGGTTCTTAAACACTAACAACTAAACGACCTGTTTTACTATTGATAACATAGCGCTCAATATATGTTGTTAGAAGTGGCAAGGTGCCATTGCAAGCCCCTGATCAAAGACGCGCATTACTTCACAGAGAAACGTATGTAAATGTAAAGCCAAACAAATAGCTGCATGTGTCGTGAGGGTGGCACTAGCTACCGCGATGCTTGATCGTCCGTCAATAGCTAGCTAGATACCCCTTGTTGGGCTTGCTAATATTTGTTAGCAGTATTTGTTCGACTAAATTGCCTGGCTTCTTTAGTTGTTTTCCATTTTGTTGTCTATCCTTATTATATATATTCTTGCGGGTCGTCACTGACTCTTGAGGCCCGTTTTGAAGTTCGTAAGTATCGGCCTATGCTGCCTCGAACTACAGAACATCGCCACAACGTCGAATATCGAAGGCCGATTCGAACTCAGCGGGCGAACCAATCAATTTGTTGCTGTGTTTATTGTTGTCATTGCTGCTGCTGCTGCTGCTATTATTGTTCTTGTTATTGTTATCGTTGCTGCTGCTGCTGCTGCTGCTGCTAGGAATTGAACGCGATTATGTAATTACTGTATATTGGTGTCGTTCTCTATGTCTTATTCTACGTGTCTTAATAGTAATTATAATAGTTTTCTCTTGTTACTATATAGTATGCACGTAGTGAGTATGGATAGTACATTATATGTAGTTGACATAATTATTATCTATCAATCAATCAGGGGCATCACTTGAATCCGCAGTATTATTGTTATCCATCGATCAGCCGGCAGTTCCATTATACTGACTATTACTCTTACGTCATCATCGTCGTCGTATAAATGCGTTCCTTGCGGTTTATAGAAATTAGTAATGTTATAATTATGGTGCCTCTGAGTGTAAAGCTTTTTTCATTCAATTCCAAATTATTTCATATCCTCTAGCCATTATATTTTGTCTCATCAATCAAGATCCTTAGCTTCTGCCTTCAGCTTGTTATACTTGTTAGTATTATCATAATCATTGTTATTCTCCCGTTTGCCTGCTTGCATGCAAGCCTGCCTTGTCCTAGTATGTATGTATGTATGTATGTATGTATGAATGTATGTATGTATGTATGTATGTATGCATGTATGTATCTATGTAGATATATTAAACTCTCATTATGCCTCCTTACCGTTTTATTGTGTTTTCCTATTCGACAAGCCACACTTGGCCTGTTCTATATTGATTACATATAATAATTATGTAATGTATACTCATGACTTTTCGTTCGCGTAGATAATGTCTCCGCCATAGCAGAGTTTCAAGGTTGCATCACCACACCAAGGAAACAACAACCGTAAACGATATAATTCCCAAATAACAGTTGCCTAATCGGTGAACGGAATATACAGTAATCCGGGAGAGCCGCTTAAACGCTTCGTAACTATGTCTATAACGCGCACGGTCACATCCGCTTCTTCGGACCTCGCGTTCGATTGGACCTGTCAAATTCTGCCCGAAAGTGCAGCACACGAATGCGGCGAAAAATCGCACATAATTAATTGCCCCCTTCATAATGGCCAGTCGGTTTGCCCTCCCATCCTGTTCCGCTCCCTTGCTGTATAATGTAATCTACACCAATGCTTAACCTTATTTGTCAAAACGTTTCAGGGGTTTTCACGTCAATAAAGTCGGAGAGTAACACCGTTTGAATCTCAAACATTTCTCCCCTTAGCGGAAAAGACCTTCAGATCCTAAAATTTCAACCTTAAACACTTCCATTCTAGGCGATCTGTGTCTTAAGCCAATTGAGGTATGATATCATGATAACTCTTTTTGCTGGGCTTTCTTTTTTTTTTATTTGTCAGGTTGGGAAGTGTGTTGTACAGTCGAGCAGAAGGCAGGTCGTGGGCGCGATGTCCCTTAAGGATAACACGGAGTCCTCCAAAGGACGGAAGTTCGTCCGTTTGGCATAAGCAAATCGCTCCGGATAATAAATCATGTTAGCCAGCATCATTTGTATAATTGATGTTCAATTAACCTCGACTATTTCGAGGATACTACACGCTAACCTCGTCAGTCGCTGCTTGGGTCGTCTTCAATGACATCATTTACCTTTCAACATGAACACAGAGTACGGTCATCGGGTCCATTAGCGCCACAGACTGCCGCATCCTACATCATTAGTATTACTTACTATTCAGCCTATAAGACTAGTCAGCAAAAGCTGTACTCGCATAGTTGCTGCGAATACCCCGCTCAGGTGATGATCTTCCGCCACACAAAACGAACAATTATATTGGCTAGACAAGCTTGCCACATCATCACTCCGTAGATCCCTAATTATTACTGCTATTATTAAATATATAACGGTGTAATTACTATTTTTATAATTATTACTCTCATAGTAATTATTGTTATAGGTATTATTGGGTTTTAATTAATGTTGCGAGAATTTCATTTATCACTATTTATATTATCTTCATTATTACGATCATCATATTCTTCTTATAGATTTTAAATTCTATTACACCATATTTTCTCGATTATCATCATAATCACACTCTTCCATTTACTCAGAGCTTCTGATTGAATCAATCTGGGTGTACGTAGTGAATCTGGCTGTACCCCGCTGCCTTCGCGGTTTCAGATTATTGTTTTTGTTAATATCGTTATTACTTGCATTGTTAGTATTGGTATTACGTTATAGCTAATGAAATTTACGCCATTCGTTTCTGCCTCTCGCTTAACTCGCTTCTCCGGTCGCTCGCTTAACCAAAATGCTACCCTTTACCTAAAATGCTTCAGTTCTTTTTCAGTACAATTCACGCGACCTCTCTCTCTCTCTCTCTCTCTCTCTCTCTCTCTCTCTCTCTCACTGTCTATTTGTTGTATCTGTTGTGTTATTGTTGTTGTCGTCGTGGCCTTCAGTCGTCGGCTCGCTTCCGCGCCTAACGATTGATTATTACGTAACAAAACGACGACGTCATTATTTGTGTTACAATACGAAGCTGAACTTAGATTAAGGCAAATGTTGTTGCGGTGTCGCTTGTTGTTTGTTAGGCTTGCTGGAGAATTTAGCATTAAGTTTTTTTGTGGCGAAAGCAACAACCTCTGCCCCTCCTACGCGACGCTTAGCTAGTGGCCACAACGTCGTCACTGCTATTTTGTCGCAAATGTTTGTTGCCTTCAATCAAGAGATATACATTGATTCAGTTACGCTTGATCACATGGCTTTGCGCATAGTGCTCAATGTTACCGCCCGTAATACATACACGGGGCACAGCTTTGTGTTTGACGCTTTCATACTTGTGTAAAGCGTAATTTTTAGCTGACATACACTTGCTTACTCCTTGTTTAGGCCGGGGCCGGGCAAATGGGATATCCCATGAGCCTTACGAGGTTCGTCCTGTTCGATCGTTTTCAAATGTCGTCCGCCCGAAAAATTGCTGCTATCTTTTCATCTACTTCTTCAAGTCTCAGTTGTCGTAGATGTACTGTGGTCGGCTCACTGACGCTTGATAATTGCTAATCGTATGACCGTAGACAAGCGTTAATGCTGGCCGACATTGCCATCGTCAATATATGCACTGTTATTATCTAGGTGTCATTATGGGACCTTTTTTTCCTATTACTTGTACACGTTATGATAATCGTATCTGTAAGCGAACGATTAAAACGACAATCTTAGATTGTCCTTCCTCCCTTAGTTCCGCGGCGCCGTTAAGCCTTTCCTTTGGAGAACCTCATGCAGCCTTTCATGTTATGTCATCAAACGTATATCAGCTGTCTATGAACTGAATCACAAATAGACAACCGAAGCTCCAAGAAATTATTTTTTCAACGTAGCTTTCCACTCCAACTCATCTTTCCCTAAACTGAAAAAGCTTCGAACTCACAAGCGCTCTGATTTGCGTTAGATACTCGAAAATTAACGTGTTTATAAGTAGAAGCTTTTATAGGATGAAGCCTGAATAGGCAAACCTGGCCCCTGCTAAAAGGCAACAGCTATTTCAGACAAAGCCTTCAAATCCAGTGTAGAGATTAGAAGAAGGCTTGGGAAGAAAACGATAGGAATATATGACCTGCTTCGTCCTTATTAGACTATATAACCTCATATAGAATTTTTCCACGTTCATATGCACCGAGACAACGTAAAATTGAAACACGCTATTATCTACTTGCACACTGCAAGTTCAGGTATTCCCAAGCTTGGCCTAACACTGGCCCATTTGCTCCTTTCTGAATCTACAATATATATGTATCTGCGTGTGTCTGTGTGTATAAATCACCGACTATTTCTACGGAACGGCTCTATCTAGTTCGCCAGCCATATTCATTTTATTACTAAATCTAGTTACCCTTTTCTTTTCCGTGGGATAGTTGTTTTTGATGTTGCCTTGTGTTCTACAGTTAAGTATATAAATTATAATAGTAATACTAAGAGAAATATGGTATATGCAAACCAAGAAAGCCAAGCAGGTACTTGACATCCATTGACATACGTTAGTAAGATATACTGGGTTAGCGAAAACAACCCATTCTGTGGTAAATGGTAAGTTCGATCTGGGTTTGGCCATTATCGTCACATGACCCTGTCATCACGCTTCAAAGCTTAGCGGACCACCCACTCTCCGTGCAGCTACTACGCTTCTAAATGGCGAAGACCGCTTTATTCTATTCCTATATTCTGGGCAACTTGGTGATAACTGGCACGTAGCGCATGCACATCGAATTTAAACACTAAGTTGTACCGAACGCAGGCTCGAACATATACTAACAATGCTCGATTAGATAACACCTATTATCGTCGTCAAAGACTTCATCCACTGCAAATCGTTGCTGCCCCTTGTCGTCGTTGTTCAGACATAACCGAGACCATGTAGATACATCTCTTGACGATTAGGTCTCCCTCGGGCTGGACCGAAGCATCAGATTAGGAAAATTAGCCGCGTTAGATTTTACGCATCTGGGCCGCTATGGTAGTTTGCAATGCGACTTTTGCACTGTGACAACCAACGGGTCGTCTGCTCGTTGTACAATAGAGAACAGGCGAATTTCTGTTTTGTTCCTCTATCATCGTGATGGCGACCGGTGATAGTTTGATTGTAGTTTGTGCCATGATTGTTATGGCTTGACGAGACATTTCGACTACCTCTAGTCGTTCGAAAAGACATTCATGTGATGTTAATGACCACCTATTTGCGCGGTATGTAGCAGCTATGGTCCAGTAGCAGACAGCATACTGGACAGGGAATACTCAGTCTTGAAAGAATGCAACGTTTCTTCTATAAATTTCTTTGGCTTTTTCGTCATTCCTAGCTGTCTGCACCGTTTCTTCTAACGATCGCCAACTCTTCGCCGACACATCTATTTCTATATTCAACGCCTGACAAACCGTCACAATGTAGCTCTCCCCCTCCCCCCACCCCTCAAAAAAATTGTTAACAGCAGTATTCTTTGTGTTGGGGCAAATAGCGGAAGAAGTCACCCAGAAAGTTATTAATAATAAATACTTCTTATAGAAGTCTATGTAATAAAACTGCCAACGAAACAAAAATTACAATTCACTTGAGTAAATGTTAGAACGTGGTACGCCGTTACACTGAACGATATCGGGTCTCTGTATGGTGAACGGAGGTTGCGCCATTGTCTCTTTCTTGCTTCTTGAATCAGATCTGATCCTTCATTAAATAGCGCTTTGGGACGGCTTGATAAGGTCATTCGTCATAGATATATCTACGGTAACCCTGTGTTTAACGGCACGCTTTTCAACGTTTATTTAATTTAAATAAAATGGCCAGACATATTTGCCTATGGAGCATGTTAAAGGAAGCAGCTACGTACGATAGTCACTTTGCTCCGCTCGATGCACGAAAAAGCACTGGCATGATCTCCAAAGTTGTATCGGCGGCATATTCTCAGAGAGCCGTCCAACGATATGCTTGTCTAATATGCGTAAGTCTGATATAAAGACTAAGTCAGGACTCCAGTCTGAATTTCATTACAGATGTAACTCAACTCGCAATAAAATCGGATAAAAAAATCTTGGTTGATCTTCGAACCGTTTGAAAAACGTACCAAGTAATTAGAATTGCTTGAATACATGGAGTAAAGCTAGTCCCCCCTTCCCACCTGAATGCTTTAAGTATAATACTAAATCCACTGTTCAATATATAGCAAACACCTGTTGAAATGTGTTTCTACTGGTTAGTGATACAGGTCTGCGCGAAGAACGTTCCAATCCGTAAGCGTTTTTCATGAAGGCCATCATATCAGTTTATCGCCCTTGACGTGCTGGTCACGTGGCTGTAGAGTCGCAGGAAGCATGCTTTCAGATGTAGTACATTGGGACATCAATCGCATGTAGATCGAAGGTTAACCAGTCGATTCATTATACACCTAAGCATTTATAATATTACCACGTAGGCTCATTAATATTATTAGATTACGGCGTTTGTTTGCCGAAAAAATAAAGAAAAAAGAAAGTTATACTGCTATGAGTAAGTTCAATACTCAAACACCACGTGTAGCTTCACCACACATAGACATAATGATTTGATGACTGATCTGAAACACAAAATGGTCTGTCAGTTGTTTTTTTGCGGCTGTAAATACCATCAGTGGCCGATAACCCTGTAATTGCTCCTTGCGTGGCACCCTTTCGTCGCACGACTTAGCTGGTGATTCTACGGTGACATTTGCTCTTGTCTTCCATGACGCTCTCTTGAATGGCTCGAACATTACGTGGCATTATGACGAGTAGGGAGCCTCATTTGCCTCTCTCGAACATAATTATATATTAGATGCGTTTGTGCAGTTAGCGATCTTCGGATTTACTCAGATTAGGTAAATTTAAATCCTTCGTAAATTGCATATCTGCCCTACAATGCACAGCCCAAACATACGAAAAGTAAAGCGGTACAGGTTCGACGTTCGCCGTATCGCCCCATATTTTGTCCTCTTATCTTTCAATTACGACAGGAGACGCTCAAGGCGGGACGGTCGCTCTCCTGCTTACTTGGCCATCTAGCAATAAACTGTCATATATACATCAAAAGCATGTTACGAATGATCTGATCTGTGCTGACACAACGATATCTGATCATATACTATTCAGTGCTGACTTAACGCCAGTGCGTATCTATTTACATGGGCAATAAATGTTCGCAGTAAACCAACAGCCTAGCACTGTCCGACCCGTCCGGCAGTTTCATGCGTTTTCTTTCTGTTGTGGCCTAATTTGTGGCCTATGCCCCGTTACCTGTTTGCTATTTTGTGGTCTATCTTTTTTCCGAAATCTCAGAAGGTCTGCTTGTTTCGTCGCTTCCTATGTGTTGTTTTTTTTTCTACAAGGCGATTACGTACTTTGATATTTGCCTGCTGTGTTTTCTGCCGGAAATGCAGTTGATAAATATAACGCTAGTCTCAACGGAAAGAACAACAAACAATGCGTCTGTTTGTCGCTGCAATAGCCAGTGTTGTTGTGATGGTCGCCTATGTCGTCTTCAATCGAATCATGTCGCTGGTTTCAGGTCTCAGACCAACTATCAGACGTGTTATCTGTCAGCCGTGTTGCGTAATTGCAAAAGAGTCAGATGCAAGAACACATCGTTCCGATCAGAAACATGTATTCTTTTATGATATCCCACTGTTTTGCTGAGTGAATGCCTAAAATGTTGTAACCACTTAGTGCTATCATACTATGTATCTTTCTCTGTCACCTACGTGACCCTTGCTCTATTCAGTATCTAAGCGTGTGCTATATCCCTCGATGGCATGCCCGCCTTGTATAGGACTTGTCCTTTTTTCTGCTCGTAGCTGACCTTTTCGTTCTTACTTAGGCAGTTACTTCTGTTCTGCTCAACGTGTCCATAGTGTCCGCTGTCGTTACTTTGAAGCTCGACGGACTCTTCTCGTACATGTAAACGTTGCCATGCCGACGATTGATAGTTAGTTGTGCTTAGAAGAATTTGTTCGAAGTCTAAGGAATGTATACTCGATCTTCCTTCGGGGTAGCCTTATTTTACGAAGAACCTATGCTGAGACTTGGCAGCTTGGGGATGAACAGCCGAGTTTGCTGTAAAAGCCGATAATGAGACGGTTAGTTCAAAGAATCGCGACGAACGACTACTATATCATCAATCAAACGATATCAATGTACCAGGAACGAAGGGTAGAGCAAAGGAAAGCAAGGCCACGCAGGGGTATTACCGCACGGGCGACGCAAGCTGCGGCCACTTTCGTCATAGCAGTTACCGGGAAGAAGAAGGAGGAGAGAGGGACAGATGGTAGAGGCAGTGCCACGAGGGCGAAACAACAATCCGAGGGGCAATGACGAGGAAAGCTTAACGGATTTATTTGCGTTAGTTATTTCATGTCGGAACAGAACGACAAAAACAAGGAGTACGTTGATAACCATAGACGACAATGACTAGATTCATCCCTGTCGAATTTTCACGTGTTGCCTGAGTTTAATAAAGAATGGATATCGGCTCAAGGCTTGCTTTCGATTAAGGAACGTCTGGAATTGCGGCGGCTATGACTAGTGTATGTGGATCGTAAGCGTATGAAAATGCTATTGCTGGAGGACCATTTACATGGTTAGATTGACTTTGAAAACGACAGGCTGCATGAAAACCTTGCCAAAGCGTGCAAGGGTAGTGTGTTTTCTAATACGGTTTTACTTGTGCTACGCCTACGATCGTGTGCTAATCCCAATAGAGTTATCGACGCAATAAATAACACTCCTAGCCATTGGCCTAATCCGATTGGCTGTAGGTGTTTATCATCCACTACACCGACGTGACCTACAAAAAAACGTTGTATTAACACGATTTCAAAAACAGTCGTTTATTAAAATATTGTGTAGTGAATTCTATAAGCTATTACTATTACGATTGCACATTTTCTACTGAGTCACTATTATCGAATTGATGTGGTATCTGGTCCTATTTAAGGCCATAGAGCGTGAACGGGCAATAACGATCGAACTCGCCGGAAGTTCATAAGTTGAGCTGGCTATCTAGCAGAGGGAAGCATGCATGTGGTTCGGGGAAAGGTATCGCCGAAATATATGGAAGGGTAGCCTGAGAAATAATACCAAAGCGTTCGACTGGGATGATCTATTGAACGAACAACCTTGCCTTAAAGGGAACATCTAATCTAGGGAGCAAGCCGGTCACAAAACCGCACACGTTATAATGGCGATTACCGCATGTGATAAAATATACGTCACACGTGTTACATAGCTAACTACGTGAACTAGTAGACAAGTTACAATAGAGTGTAGCCCTCAATGAGTACAACTTCAATATACTATAATATAATATATTACAATCTGCACGAGGCTCGAGTAAGGAAACAGCTGACGAAATCGTATATTTACATGTATATAAATGTAAAATTTATATACATTTAAATATATTATAGCTATTCATGGTGAACGTTAAAGACAGAAGCCAGCAATGGATGACTAGCGTAACGTACGTGCTAGGTGAACAGTGGTTCACGATATAAGATATATAAAAATCAAACACACAAATCATTTACATAGTTAGCCCTAAATAGATGATACGCGTCCAAAATAGTAAATAATGAATACCCACTGACTAGCTAAATCCAGATTGCTGGCGGTGGCAAAAGGTACTGATGTCAACACACGACTTTAAAACGCTAACAAAAAAAAAAAAAAAAACGTTGTGTTTGGCCGATCTAAAACTTCCAGCTCTCTATCAGGCTGATCTGTAATATTTTTCTGTTCTTACGCTGATCTACTTTGTGATGGATGTATGTTATACAGCGTTGAGAAGCTCTCTTGCCATTTTCCGTTTAATGGGCAATATAATCCTTTCCGCGTATAATGAAGAAAATATAATTCCTATTTTGCCTCTAGAAATGAGTACGTAGACGGTAAAAAACACAACCATCATTCTCGATATTTGTCATTTGTTTCTGCCGCGACATCCCAGAATACGAGTGGAGGTGTACAAGAAAAACTTTAGAGCTGAAAGTGCTACTCAGGACTGCATTTCCTAAGCTGAAAAAGATTGCTTTCTAACGTTAGATAGCCCGTGATCGTCAATCACAACGAAAAGTGCACGATAAAAAAAGTGCATACTAATACGCAAACTACATAAATAGCAGAAACGCTTGATAAAGTCTCGTATTGTGATTTACAATTGACTAGTGCAACTCGACAGCATCGTAAGTAGGGGAACTCAAATAAAATATGGCTGGCCAAGACCCAGAAAAAAATCTAGATATTGGGCTCACTTTTGCCCATATTAAAAGCACTATCCACTAAAATTGTCATAGACACGCTCATCATACTGTCATAGGCGCACGCGAATCGTCATATATATTGCGTGGGTTCGGGTCTATATGTGTCATCTACAGTTACGTGGTGAGCCTACATGCGAAAACTATCGAAGCAAGTCCAATTAAACCCTAAATATATATATATATATATATATATATATATATATATATATCTAACAATGTTATCATTCAACTTAACAGTGACCCATTCTTTTTTCATAAACTATAGTCTCTCATCGGAGCAATCGGCATGAGCTTAATGTCAGAAGGCCTTGACGCTGAAAGGTCTATGGATATTAATCGAAAAACGGTAATATATAGATAACAATGCACCCATTCAAGAGTTTGTTTGATTAAAACACGTTTGTTCGTATATATGTTTGTTTCCAGTGCTTATAAACCGTTACTATATCAAGCATTATGAAGAAAACCTATGCCTATATATATATATATATATATATATATATATATATATATATATTTATTAAGTTGAAATAAATAAAAAGTAACATATATTATTGTTTTTTCAGTTTTTCGCCAAAACTATATCCAGAGCGTTTTCGAATCGAACTCGACGACCGAGAACACGAATTGATGCAGCCGTTGAAGATATCTGTGCTTAAGAGATTGATGATTTGAATTGCGATATATTGTATACGCAGCAAACGACACATAAACGAAGAATGCTCGTGGACCTGTAACAAAATCTGTGCATCTCGATAAAACGATCATCCTACATTGTTAGCACCACGCTGTCACACGGTCAGGCTTCCTATCGAGGTCGTTTTTGAAAATCGCCAAAAGGCCTGATATCCTATTTTATCTGATTGTGAGTGGACCCGGAATTGCTCATGGAAGCCAACTCATAGAGCGGAGCAAATGTCTGATAAATCTTAATGGTTCCCGTTCAGGCAGCAAAGACAGTAAATTAAATAGGGATTATACAGGATTGAAGCTTCTATGGTGGAAAGAAAATTGGCTTACGTTTAACAGAATAGTAAAGTTTACATTGGAGGATTGCATAAGGATTGCAACTAACTGCAGCTCAAGCTCTAAGCAGCTGCTAACGCTGAAAACAAGTCATCAAAGGTAGAGATTATCCTGAGGCACGGCGAAACTCGTTCAGAAACTTTCAGAGGTCTTAAATCCTGCATTACTTACGAAGCTCGCGCAAATGATTGATTATGCGCTAATGATTTTCTGGTTTTTGCTTGGCGTTAAGGACCGGCTCTGAAGAAATTTGCATTTCTTAGAACAAAGGTAAATGGTAATCATATAGTTATTAATATAATCGTCACATGTCTAAAGTGGTGCCAATTGTCCTCGAACCGCAATCTCGTCATGGAGAGCAACTCCATATATTTTTTTCAAACAGAAAGTTTTACTTTCACATACTATGGTAGGTATTTATATATATATATATATATATATATATATATATATATATGATAGTCAAGCGTCTATGATCTATTTCATCGCAAATGATCCTGATTCATTGAGTTCGGCCTTGAAAGGCTCAACACGATCGGGTCGTCGCGTCGGGAGTGGTCGTACACTCGACGTTATCTTACGAAAGTACCATCTAAAAAATTTTCCCAACGATCCAAAACGTAGATAGCGATTTCGAGATACTGGCAACAGAATGTCATCGCCTGGGTACTTTTTCATCTCATTATTACTTTAGGGAAACATAGCCACTAGCAACGGCACGGCAGTATACGGTTGCTAGCTAGAAGGGTATGGCTGTAGAATGGTAAGCCGCGCGCGTAGATAAATACAAGAGTAGATGGTAGAAATCATGATACAGCTTTTGCTAGATGACGTGGCGCACTAGAAACGGGCGGACAACGGTAGAAAGATAGAGAATGTAACATACAATGAACGAAATTATAAGAAACTAGCCGCGGTGTAGCAACAGGCGGTTGAGGGCTGACGTGAACAGATGATGTAAGTACTCCATTAGCGAGAAACGGTGCGGGAGTGAAGAGTGAGCCAGAAAGAAAAGCGACGATGGTATTACTGTTATCGTTTGGGATGACGACGACGACGACGACGCCGACGGCAATGGCAACAAAAAACGTCCGTAAACAAGTGGATACAATGAAGTGCCTGAATGAACAAGCGGTTATAGTATGTAAAATACGATAAAAAAGAAGAGTGAAAGGGACGTTTGTTACTCCACATGAGTAGGAGGGGGGAAACATCAGTGTAAGCTGCAGTATAATGTATGAATGCAAAGAAAGAGATCTTAGAACAGCACGCAGACACCTCTCCACAAGCAACGATTTTGTGCGCGTCGGTCCTGTGTGACCGGCGAAGAATGATGGTGTCGATCACTATTATGATATTGTCGAGACACGGAGACGGGATAACGTAGAAAAACGTAACACGATTACTGTGTGCTTACTATAGAAATTGAACGTACAGACGTATTCGTTGTGTGGCTCGATCGTATTTATGAGTTGATGAAGGATGCAGCATTGACGACGGAAAATATAAGGCAAGATAGAAAAAGGTGCTCAACAGCATCCTAGTTGAGGCGGTCTGGGCCCAGCTTCTGAGTCCGCGTTACTGGGCGGTGTCAACGAGCAAAACGCGAACGTTTTTGAACGATCTACGAAAATCTAGGCATTCGAACGATGTCACTCGACCGTTTTTAGCGAAAAGCATTATAAATAATGCTTAAATTTAATGCCACCTAAAACAAAGGGATATGAGGAACGGCTGAATAAGAATCTATTCAGATATAATATGGTAGAC